ATCCTGGGTGGACGTGTGCGCTACACTCATCGGTACAACTGGGTGCCAGCGGAGAACCTCCTTAACTAGTGCATCCATATAGGGAAGGTTTTCTCGATCTCGGAATTGGGGTAGTCGGTTACTCCCAAGCACTGTATCGAGTTCCTGCTGAGCCTTGTGTTGCGCCTCCGGGAAAAGGGCCATAGCGAGGAAGAAACTCGCAATCGACGAGACAGTCTACCTTTTGTTAGCTAATATAATGCGGGCAAGTCTGGCTTTTCCCTCACTGTATCTGCACCCCCGGCGTATAAAGACCCGGCTGACCACTTGATGATATCCTCTTCTTCGGTTCCAGGGTCGACAGGATTGTCTCGAAGGAGATTGGACAAGAAAGATGGCACAAAGCGACCGTTGCTTATCTCCTGCTTGGTGAACGCATACGGAACGTCACTGAAGGCTTGTGCTCTCGACTTGTAGGTCTGCGAGATCTTCACGAATCGCGCCCCAGGGAACCAGGCCGGGAGATATTTCACTAGCCAGAGAGTTAGATAACATTCATTCAAGATCCACGGGTGCCTCGTTACTTACGTATCGGAATAAACTCCACCGCCCATGTTGCTGGAAGCAATGCATATGAAAAGTCCTCCATCGCCTTGTCGGCCAGATCCACCAGAGGATCCTGAGCATGTGGTTCAATGGTATACCCGTAACCAATTTTCAAGACGATCGCTCCAGCATCTCTGATTCAAATTAGCCCTTTGAAAATGAGCATACCATGCTTCCGAATAGAGGCATTGACTCACTTCCGTATGTGCTGATTAAGCTTGTCTGGCTCATCCAACACCCTCAACAGGAAACGACCGACCTCCGTTGTCTGAACATCGTTGAAACGGGAAACGGAATTCTTTGAACCGATCTCTTGATACAAGTGTTTTCGTGTCTTTCGTACGTGATCTGGGTTTCTGAGCGCCCCAAGAACATATTGCCAACCCGACCTGGTGATATCAGTCACACACTGTAGTGTCATCTTCATAATGCCTCCACTTACATGTCAACAAACATATTTTCTGGACGCCCTGAGTGTATAGCGGAACGTTTTTCTAGTAGCTGCACCGCCAACTTAGCGTCGTTAAGGACGATAACATGTCTCCCCAGCACAGTGAGTGAGCTAATGGGTCCTAATTTGGGTATGGTCAACATCCCAAGTTGGTATGTCCCACAGGAACTGATTCCTACCATATAGCTCTTTATGTTTCAGCCAGTGCATCCAATCTTGTTGATCTGGGGTGGGAAGGTCCTTCAGATTTCCAATTATGGGTTTCTGTTTAGGACCGGGAGGAAGAGGCAGCGGATATCTTTTGCGGCCGCGGACGGTAGTAACAATCCAAAGGCCAAAGACAATAAGAAGGCCCAACCACAGCGTTAACAACATGACGATAATCGATGTTAAAGATAAATATCCGAAAGACGATGGTAAGTGAGGGGTGTACGTGCTTTGCTGGACCAGCCTGGTTTTTTAATGCCTTAAAGAGGGGTTATCTTCACACAAGTACCTACAATATAAATAGTAAATATTGATTGGTCTTGGGAGATTTACGGGTAATGTTGCAGGATATATGCATCTGATGCAGCACCTATCACTCTACGATAGGCCGGTAATCTGCACGTAGGAGGGGGGGCGGGATGTACGTGCATATTCATGTGGCCGTTTCGTCCCAACGCTACTCTGTATATACATAAGCTCTCTGATTGGATCTTGAGACTTATTTTTTGATGGTTTTGCAAAATCCTTGCGGATTGTAGCCTCGGTGTCATTCATCATTCTACCATTGAATCGTGATGATCGGAGTGCTAAAACTCAGTACATCCAATATAGAAATGGTTATAGTAGCTTATATATAAAATATTATACCACAATGCTAATTTACGGTAAATCGGCGAACGAAAATGCTTAGCCTAGACATCGAACCAACCTGGACACCTGGGCAGTTCATTCGCTCCGATAGATGTTACATGTGAAACATGGGTTCGCTCATGTGGAACATGTAGAAAATAGATGAATAGAGATAAAACTGAAATGCTCGAAATAAGGGAATCGTCGACTATGGTTCTCTATATATTTGCTCTTCACTTCTTCACTTTGTCCGTAGTCGATTGTATGCATGGATGTGGTGGATGGTGATGATACTTATGAGTGTTGCACCCCTGTTATGTCCTTGAATATGATAGAAGGCACACGGCTATATCACCTCAAAATCCACCTCCGCCGTCAGGCAGGAGACTCCCTGCTTGCCTCTCCCAGCCAAGTCCGCTCACCTGGGCATGCCATCACCTCCGACTTCCTTCTAACCTGCCACTAGGCGAATACCTCATCCTATTTGAATAAAGATGGTGATAGATTCATTGGAGTTCATTGTAGTGTGAAACTGTTGCTAGGGTGATTGTCGGTGGCGGGCCGAGGTTGAGAGGGAACTTGAGCAGTGCAATAGTAAGTGATGGAGATTGATGGCTGACGTTCTCCGTGGGCGATGGCTGTGCCACATTTTGCGTTTTTAGTACAACTGATACGGAGTTGGTAAGGTTAACCTTGTGTGTGACAATTTTGATCCACATATGTCATGGAAGATGGAAACGCCAGTATCGATTTTGTTGCATGAATACAACCATTATACCAACTTGGTTGCGCCATCATTGAGCAAATAAACAGACGATCCTGCCCATGGAGTCTCCATGCTTGTGTCTATGATAAGAGCCTGGATACCAATAGCGCTGATCGCTACTCTTGGCTTGCGATCGACGTACTTTGGCCTGTAATCTGTTCAGAAGGCTACGAGGATCCTACGCTGCTGATAATGATGATCCAATTGCAATGGTGGCGTTTGCAAGGCGTCGAAGTCGCATTAAGCGATTTCAGGATATGTGGAAGGATAATGTAAATTGCATAGGATTTGAGACAAGAACACCATACATTTAGAAAGGAGTTAAAGTGGGTTATCAGGGTGGTGTTAAACACTACACAATCATGGGGTCATCAACTGCACATGACTATGGACTCAGATAGGGTTTGGTATGGATACTAATTGTGGAGGTTTGGAAGCTTGCGGTGCTGGGCGGGCGGAGATGAGGATTGGGTCTGGTCCGGGCTAGGGCTAAGTACATAGAAGGCATGTGGGCTTGGTTTTTCTTTATGGAGCTAGAGAGCTGGAGGCTTGGAGCGAAGGTCGTTGGGGCGGATGGTAGTCGAACTGCTGCCAAAGAGGGATGTCTACATAGCCAAAGAGGGATTATAACGAGACATGAGACTTATCCTGCTTCGCAGAACGTGTACCTAGACCCAAGCGCTCGGCATCTGTATTTTCAGCCATATGCCGATCTCGTAGGAAGAACTCCGTGGAGATCGTTGAATTCATGTTGCGCCCAGTCGTGCCAAGCCAAGCCAAGCGAAGCCACAAGCCTTTTCCGCACCACATGGCGAACGAAGTGACCTTTTCTCCGCGCTTCCGCCCTACTGCTGATAATCTGCGAGCTTGGGTCTTCTGATAAGTGACACAGCGCACCCCAGAAATATTCCATTGTGGCGGAGCAATGCCATTTCGCCTCGCAACTGTGGTCCGAATAATAGCCTATAGCGAGAATGGCGATCCTGTTAGGCTAAGACGTCTCGTACTGCGAAAGTGCATAGCGGCCGAAGGCGGGGTGGCGGAGATTAACATAGCTGAATTACTAGTTATGGTAGATTCCATAATAAGAAAAATTCCTCCCCGGGCGCCAAGGTCAAGTCCGATCCCTAAAAGGGGATTATCCACTTTGCCAACAGAGATTTAAGTGCCAAGTGGGCTTACCTTTTCCCGAAGCATCAGGTGGGAAGATCTTAGTTCCAATTAATTTGCCCCACTCAATTGGCACGAATATCAGGAGATATTTGGGTATTTCGGGCAATGAAAGCGATGAGAATTGGCTCAGTATTTACATACGATATACTCATGCCGAAAGAGAGATGGCTATCTTTTCCTCCCAATTTACTGGGGTCTTTCCATGAGCTTTGGCATGGAATATGTGTTCACCGGGAAGGCCAAGGCCTTGCCCAGTCAATCGTCAACAAAACACCAGTCTCCCCACATCTTCGCTTGAACGGTCGTAGGCTTCCGGCCCATCGTCCTGGCACAGACCCTTCGATGAGGGCCCAGGTGAACAGCCCTAGAGCCTATCAGCGTAGGTGAAGTCGGTCCTAATTTTCTTCTAGGAGTCCAGCTATTTATTGAACATAAAACTGTGGCAAGTGATCTTACCTATTGTAATTTCCCCAGCAGACCTTGAAAGTGAAATAATATACGGGAAAGTAATTGAGGCTCTTTCTATCTTTTTTTGATCGTTGAGACCCTGCAATTCTCATCGATGGGACATGTTCAGGAATGCAGAACGAGTAATCAGCACCGTAGGGAAACAGTGTTGTATTATACTAAATAAATACGTGTATTTGGTCTAGAAAATCGATGAGCGGCTAAATAGTGGTCTAGGTGGTCGGAAATTAAGTGGTTACATAGACGCAAGCGCTACTCAAATCAAAGGGACATGACTCGCCAACATAGTTTCCGATTTATGGGGCAAAGGAAATAGGGGTAGTGTTGATTCACGGATATTACGGGGACCTCTGCACGTCATTCTAGATCGATACAAGAAGGTGGTTCTGTCTGGTCCAGTTATATCAGTTATATCTTGGGACAATCCCTATGTGCCGAAAACATGCACCAAAATAGGTTTTTGCTAGCGCCCAGCAAAGTTTTTCCAAGACTTCCAAGGCTTCTTTCTACAAGAGCCGGAACCCGATGCCCTGGTACCGGCAAATTCCAGCCTTGGCATATAGGGTTAGACCGGAGTCTATATCCACTTGGTATTAAATTACTACAGTATTGCTGGGGTCCTTTCTGTTATATACCTGCTACCCCATCCGAAATTTCGAAATTCGAGCCTCAAAGGTTTCATAAGCCACCACTTGACTCTAATATTGCGACCTTGACGCCATGGTTGTCTATGCCGATGCGGCCCCGTCCCTAGCGGGCAGCACTATCATGTTGACGATAGTGGCCTTCATTACCTACGGCTTGCGGGTTTACTGCAGATTGACCCGCAAGTCATGGGGAATAGAAGATTGGATTATGACAATAGCACTTGTTCGTACCACACAAGAAATTTCTTATGGCTTGACTAACACGCGATAGATACCATTTGCTGTGCTTGTCGCAGGATGCCTTGGAGGAGCCTTCAATGGGATTGGTGCCCATAATTCAACACTTGCAAAGCCTGGCAATGAAAAGTACTCGGTGGAAGGAAAGAAGGTGAGCGCAACTTTTGTCACGTTGTTCGACATAGCACTGACGATCAACAAGTTCTTTCTTATCTTCGAAGTCGGCTACTGCGCTGCCATCATCCCAATCAAACTCAGCATCAGTTGGATGCTGATTCGAGTGGCACAGGGGCGCAAGGTGTACCTCTATGCACAATATGTGGTCATCGCTATGTTCGTGCTTATGAACATCATTGCTTTGATATTTATTCTGATCAATTGTATTCCCGTGGAGTAAGTTTTCCCCCAAGGACTATCTTCTATCTCCGCAAAAAGCCAGATGCTGACCCCGCTGCAGAGCCGCCTGGGACGAAGAAGCACTTAAGAATGGAGGCCATTGCCAGCCCAGTTACGTGCTTGCCGATGTGTACTACGCATGCACAGCTGTCAACATCCTTACCGACTGGGTGACGGCTTTCCTGTACGGACTGAAGACCCATCTATTTTGTATCAAAGACAAAATCGCTGACCGCACTGATAGGCCGATTCCATTGCTTTGGAACGTACAGATCAACCGCAACACCAAAATCTCGATTATTGGCCTGATGGGCCTCGGTGTCTTGTGCGTGGTTTTGCATTCTCCTCTCGTATTTACGTTCCCATATAGCTGACTTTCGGTTCTTGCAGGGCATCACTATCAGCATGCGTGCGACTCAAGTACACTGTCGCTCTGACAAACCAAGTTGACTATCTCTTCGGGGTCGCGGACGTGGTCATCTGGGGATTCGCAGAAAATAGCATCGGCATGATCGTTGGTAATGTGGCAACCCTCCGCCCGCTATTCCGCATCCTCCGCGATCGCAAGACCTCAGACTACAAGAATTACAACCGGTCGCCCGGATACGGCACTTCCAACCGCAGTGGCAGGGCAAATGTCTCGCGGAACTACGAGCTCCCCGAAATCGTGAAGGGCACCAACCATACGACCACTACCTCGGTGATTGACCACAACCGACGGGGAAGTGTGAGCGATGGAGACAGCCAGAAGGAGATCCTTGACAATGGTCAACGGCCCGGTGAAGCTGATATTATGGTCAGCCGGCAGGTTATTGTGGCGTATAACTAGAGTTACTGGGACTAGAGGTTGATTCTATGCTCGATATACATAATTATTGGAGAGGAAGCTACAGAACAGAGAGTAATATAATGTATTGATAATGTCTGACTGCTGATTCGGGGAAAAGAGAGGACAAGAAAAGAGGAGAAGCTAACTGCACTATAGTGCTAGTGCACCGGAGACTAGGCCAAAATAGAAATACCGCTGGACCGCTGGACAATCGGACGTTCTGATCGTCGCGATGATCTTCCTAAGTTTGGACTAGCAGTTAATTTTCCAGGTCCTCTTAGGTAATTAGTCAGGTGTACCTCGGTACCTCTAGCCCTGGAGCGCTGGAGGGCTAGGTATGTACTCTGTAGGTACGGAGTAACGGCCTGATTGATTACACCTTTTCATCCATGGATGACTAAGTCTATTATTTACCCGACCTAGGTACCTTGGAAACTCGGAACTACTTTAAGACTCTATAAAAGACCCCATTTTTCTGTACTATGTCTTGGGAGATTGCAACAGCTAGCGAAGAATGGCTCATCGAACTTTGCCATAAGGCAAATAAGGAGGGGGGTCATATCGGGGGTCCGGTGGGTGGTGATCAAGCTTGACAGCTTGATCACCACATTGCGGCCAAGTTTGGATTAGGTGTCGGCGCCTCTGAAGCAGCTATGCAGGAGTTTGCCTATAACACAGTGGACCGCAATATCGTTCGCATTCCAAAAGTCTACCGCTATTTGGAATCAAAGAAACGGGATCCTCATGGGTACCTTTTCATGGAGTATATACCAGGGCAAAACCTGCAAGATGTTGACTTAGAGGCGAAGGAGGACATTTTGCCCCGAATAGCAAATATTATTACGTACCTGGGACAAATCAAAAGTCAGATTCCTGGCCCGGTTACCGGTACTGCACCAGTCGGTTACATATGGGGGGATTACGGCGCCAGAACGACCTTCAAATCTGTTGAAGACATGAACGTGTATATGAATAGTCGCCTACAGCATTTAAATTCGAACATCGACTTGATGCCGCACCCTCTTGTTTGTGTCATGGTGACATCTGCCCGAGGAACATCATTCTTGCAGAAGACGGATCTATTTGCTTTCTCGACTGGGCATATTCTGGTGTCTATCCTAGATTTTTTGAATTGGCCACAATTTCATGTGCATGGTATGATTCCTTTCAAGAGCCTCTCATGCGGGAAGTTGAGAATGCAATGAATTTGACGGACGACGAGCGACTGGACATGCAACTTCTTCTTCGTGTACGCCATGCAAATTTAAGATGGACATTTTATGAAATTCCTTCCGTTTGCTATAAATGAACGAACAAGCTGATTACCTAGCATGGAGAAACAACAACAGACACCCGAGGAAGAGGAAGCATATGAAGCAGCACTATTTGAGAGTGTTTACGGCAAGGACTGGAAGCCTATCATTGCGAAGATGCGTGGGTTGACTACCGATATTTCCGATACCGGCTGATGGAAATGGGGAGGGCACACATATTTCCCATATTGGTGTTCATCAGCGTGAATCGAATGTGAATACTGAGAGATCTGATGGGGGGAATGGAGAGGGCATAATTGGACGCGATGTCAAACCAATACTCTAAGCAGAGAGACCAAACTTTCTTAATTTCTGAAGCATGAAGACATAATTACTCATTTCAGAGTATCGGACGCCGTGCGAATGAAAGGATCAAAATTTTGATTTGTGGGCCTGAGTATGGATCTAGTACCAATGTGACTATTAATTCAACGGCCTACAGCAAAGAACCAGCCTTTTATGCACTAACGGCCTCGAGAGATATTAGGCCGTCTCGTCATGCTTCAGCTTGTCGTAAGTGTTACAGATCTAGGTGTGCTACGATAGCCGCGGTTTTCGGCTGGTCGGTGACTGGGTTAGAGGGTGATGCCTTGGACGAATACGACATTGATCCGAAGCTGACAGATTGGACTGGATGAGAGTAGAATATGAGATTGCCTATGCTGTTATCCCGCACAATCCAATGACAAAGGATCATCATAGCCTGTTGTCTCATAGTAGTCGAACAAGCTCGGATAGGTCCGTCGAATAGCAGCCTCCTGGCTACGGAGTGTACGGACTACAGAGGAAAGGAAGAGAAGCCAGAAAAAGCTCGAATTGCTGGACTCTCACTACTACGTGCTTTGGCGATAGTTGAACATAGCTTTGGCGGACCATGTTTTGGAGACTGAGTTCGAAGTGGACTCTATGGTTACCTGTCAGAAACGAGTTCTTGATATCCAAAATGAAGCATAAGGAAATGTGCACTGACAGGCTAGTCGCTTATTTCTTGGACTGCAATCCGAAGCCGGCTGCCATATCTTCCCATACTTTCTGGAGGCTCTCGATATTCTCGTCGGTGGCGGAGAGACGTGCAACCTGGTCAGCGAGCACCGCACGCTGGCGAACTATCTCATTTTCGATGCCGTTTCGCTCCAGGATTAGCTTTCTAACCACGTTGTTGAGCGACACGAGCGCGTCTCGTTGCGATTTGGCTCGTTGGGAAGAGTCCGCGGTAGTCTTGGGTCCACCTATGGAGGCCTTAGGATCGTCATCGACCGGGTCGCGAGGAAATCCCGGGGAAGACATTTCTGTACTGCAGTTAGCCATGTGTTAGAACCAATTCCCATCTAGATTCTCGCGTAGCGTACCGAGGGGATGCGATTATGGGGTTGAATAAGACTTGGTAGATATGATAGGTTAGGTGGATGAGAGGAAGTAGAGTTTGTTGAAAGAAGGTGAGAGGGAAGGGAAAATGATTAGAAGAGAAGTGCATGAGATGTGGAAGTGAGAGAAATATGAAGAAGAGAATCCAAGAAATCGGATTGCTACACTCTAACTATACCTAACTATACGCGCTTTGGCACTAGTTGGGCATATCTTACGTGCACCCTCGTTGTGGAGCTGAGTTTGACGGGGGGACTCTATAGGTATCAGTTAGCAACGAGTTGTTAATATCCAAACGAATAAAACGAAAGACGTACTAACAGGCTAGTCGTCTATTTCTTAGACGGGAGTCCGAAACCAGTTGCCATGTTTTCCCACGCCTCCTGAAGGCTTTGGATATTTTCTTCATTAGTAGAGAGGCGTGCCATCTGATCGGCGAGCATCGCACGCTGGCGCATTATCTCGTTTTCGATTTTGTTTCGCTCCAGAATCAGATTTTTGATCACGTCGTTGAGCGCTACTAGCGCCTCTCGTTGAGAGCGAGCTCGTTGGGAAGATTCCGAGGTAGGATTAGGTCCACCTGTCGTGGCCTTGGGGTCATTGTTGACCGCATCGCGATGCAATTCCTGATCCTGAGAAGACATATCTGTATGGCAGTTAGCAATACATTGGAGCTAATTCGCGTTTAAATTCATGCAGCGCGTACCGAGAGGATGTGATTGTGGGATAGGCAAGGTGGGTGACGGTCAAGAAGAGTTGGTTGAAGGAAAGGGGTGGGAAAGGTGCAGTGAGATGTGAAGTGAGAAATATAAAGAAGAGAGAAGTGTGAAAGAAGAGATAGGGAGGGAGACAGAGTGCTTTGAGGATTGTGCGCAGAGCAGTTCAGATGGATCCTGTCGAGCAATATCACCATATCACTATAAAAATTTATACCGAAAAAAAAAAAAGAAAAAAGAAAAAGGATTTCCCTTCCCCTGCCTATATTCGCAGTTTAGTGAAGGAATATACGCCTCGTAGTTCGAAAGGGGACTGGCACTCGGATGCAGCGCCTGGAACTGTATCCTATGACCGAAACCAAGAGCGAGGGTGTCAACTCCTAGACGACGCTATACATCTTTTCTGGCCCAACTCTTATTCCTCTCCCACGTTGTGTAAGAATTCAATATATAACAGCTTGCCCGATTGGACAGTGCGGCAAGGGTGGAAGTATAGTAGTTGATACCTTCAGGGAACGCTTGCCGTGTTAAATTGTGGGCTGCAGTTTGGTTTAGGGGTTGGATGAAGGGTACCTAGTACCTTGTGTGCTGAAGCAATTTCGGGCAGGTTATTGCGAGTATTGGCAGCTGGAGGATGGGGAGAAGCAACGTTAATGATGAATACACAATACGGGCGCACGCTTGCCTAGCGCGGCTCCCGGCTTCCGTAAAGTGTAGAGGTCAGCCCTCTAGTCATAGGCGAAGTAGTTGAATATAATATATCTTGAGGCTACATGCTACCAAGGAGATGGAGGAAGAAACTCTTGGTATTCAAACTAGCAGAGCAGGGCCTTTTTTATAGAGGCCTGCATTGACAAACAAAGCGCTCAGTCTGCCACGATAACAAGGCATCCATGTAGGATGGGATGATGTCAACAATATATCGTCTCAACGCGTTCGACATTCGTGAGATCATGATCCCTTAGCCGGTTTGAATACCACAGGTACCAAGGCAGCCAATACCGGTAGCACAGGGAGAACATCTGTTGGAGTTGGACTCCTGTGGGACCTCGAATACGTTTGTCTCGGAACTGTAGGCGAAGAGTCTGGCTGGATAGCACTGAATGTGCGGGTGCTAAGGCTTGTATGGATGTCCGGAACTTGAAGATAAAACGCGCATTCTAGCCGCCTCGTTACGGTTGATTCTGTGAGAGTGGAGCTTGGCTGCCGAGGAAGAAGAGCTCAAACTGTCCAAAGGGTCGTGATCTCCGGCCACAGTTCCTAGATGGATTCTCGTCCATTATCATTTTCCGGATACCCTTCCTGGATGGGCGACGCATCGGTGGCTGGGTATGTGACGACCTCGTCGGAGAAAGGCCTGAGATACATCAAGTGGGCCATTCCAGTTCAAGACAGTGAGGCTGCTGGAGGAAAAGTCATGAAAAGAGCAACTCTGGGTTCTCAAACATACAAGTAACAAAGTTCCTGGCAAGAGCAACATCTCACCTTGTATCAGGCCTCAGGCCACTAATTAATGGCCTCAGGCAGAAAGGAGCAAACTGGCCTAATTTCTCTTGAGACTCATGCAAACTTTCACATTCACTCCTTTAACTCAAATGTTCGTCGGCCGGACTGGAAAAAGAAATCCCGCTTTTTACCTTAGCCATGAGTTCTAAAACAGCCCGGGACTTGGGGGACGGGAACGGGAACCTAAGCGCAAAGGTTGACCCCGCTGTTGCTGCTAGTGAGTATCAACGAACGATCCCTTGTTTGACTGTTTGACAAGTCCCACGATGATAACGAGCGCTAGAACTTCCGTATGGTGCCAAAATCGTGTCTACAGAGAATCATGGCTTCAGCTTCCGGGCTACAACCGGGCGCATTGATGTTAAGTTAGTGGACGGGTCGCGCCAGAGATTCTTTATGAAAGTTCTATTAGAGGAGAGAGGCAGAGCGATGGTTCACGGCGAGTTTGAGTCAATGACTGCAATTTATAATCTCATCCCTGATTCCGTCCCGAAACCGATCGGCTGGGGTACCTATGAGACAATACCCGACACACACTTTTTCCTATGTGAATTCAAGGATATCGACCAAGAGTTGCCAGATATACGCAAGTTCACCGAACGTCTTGGGAATCTACACAAGAATAGCAAATCACCGACTGGGAGGTTTGGATTCCATGTCCCTACCTATAACGGCAACCTGTCACAGCACACTGAGTGGTCGGATAGTTGGGAGATCTTCTTCGCGAAAGCACTGCGACACGCACTCATGCATGAGATTTCAGCTCGTGGCCCCAGCGAAGAAATCGACATTTTGAGTCCTGTCATATTTGACATAGTGATCCCACGTTTGCTGCGGCCGCTTGAAAGTGAAGGTCGATCTATCAAGCCCTGTCTGATACATGGTGATTTATGGTATGGAAATACCGGAAGGGATGCTACCACAGACAATCCTGTTATGTTTGACGCCTGCTCTTTCTACGCTCACAACGAATGTATGTTGTATACTTTAATCTAATCAACAGCTTTACTAATCTGATAGATGAACTTGGGCAATGGGCACCAGCTTGCAACCGGTTTGGTTTCGAGTATGTCCAAGGATATCATTCACACTTGCCCATATCATCTCCAGTAGAAGACTACCAAGGCCGTATCGATCTCTACAAACTGTGCGTATATCTTGTTCCCGCACGTCCTGTATATCAGCCAACTCAACTGGAAATTTAGGCGATTCAACACACATGTCTCGGCCCTCTTCCCCAAAAACAAAATCTTCGAGAACAGTACGCAACAAACCATCCTGGGCTTCGAGTTGCACGGTCAAACTAGCTGACATTACTAATAGAATGCTTCACGATATGAGAGACTTGATCGCTAGATATGGTGACATATCCAAATAGCCTGCAATGAGGTTGCCTCGGCAACTTCTCATACATTTCTGTTGTTCCGGAGTTTATTCTCTCGCCCACCGCGTTGTCAAGCACAATCTTCTTTTTTATAGCAGTGTACGTGTCTGCGGAATTGTTACTATTTTTATCCGATCGCCTACGTCATTCTCATATGCAAATGAGATGCCATTGCCTCAGACTTCAGCGAAGATAAAATTCCCCCTAGCCATGTATGTACGTAGCAGGTATGTATGTACTCCGTACATAGACATTGGTCAATTCACAACAAATGATCTGATAGGCCTATATCAAGGGAAATGCCAACAAACCGCCCAAATAAATAGGCATAGTGGGTAATGATCTGCAATGTCTCAGGTATATCTGAAGTGGACATAGCCTTACGTAGTCCTCCACCCCGGCCAATCGCCCCGCTTATCCAACGCGTGGCCTGCTTCCAAGGCAGCGAATTTTGTTGAAGGGTGATGATTTTTGTTTTTATTACTCTCATTGTGCATTGCTTTGAATCTATCTTTAGTCTCACCGCTTTCTTCACTCGTTTGACTCGGCGGGATTGTTTTGTTGTGGCTTAACGCAGACAATAGGGTATACCCTATCGACTACACTGTCCGCCCTTCAGGATGAACGATTATTATGCTCAAAATGACCCTGGCCACTTTCAATCTGGCCATATGTTGCAAAATAAGACACCGGTGGGCAGTGCACACCCGCCTGATTACGGAGACTGGAGTGGAGATGCCACAGATCAACAGACAGATCAATACTCCAGATGGGATCCGCGGGGATGGTCCTTGAAGAAGAAGATTTTCCTAGCGGCTGGTGTTGTCGTGGTAATTGTGGCCGTTGTCGTTGGCTCTGTTCTAGGAGTGCGAGCCAATCGGTACCCCGATTATTCGAAACTAAACTACACCTTGAAAGACAACTTCTCTGGCTCGTCCTTTTTCGACAACTTTGAATATTTTACTGGCGCCGACCCGACCCATGGATTTGTTCAGTACGGCATTTGTCTGTAGAACCTTGAGCCAAGCAATTAAGCTAACGTGTAATCCAGGTATATCGACCGAGCTGCATCCACATGGCTTAATCTGACATCTGCCACGGACACCTCAGCGGTGCTCAAGGTGGATACGACATACAGTGGATCAGAGGCTGCTAATGGGCGCCAATCTGTGCGAGTCACATCCAACAATACCTATGCAGATGGGCTTTTCATCTTCGACGTTATTCATACCCCGTACGGGTGTGGTACGTGGCCGGCCCTGTGGCTGACAGACCCTAACAACTGGCCTGAGCACGGAGAGATTGATGTTGTGGAAGCTACCAACGCTGGAACCTTTGGAACCCAATCGACGCTTCATACATCAAAAGGCTGCTCGATGGGCGTTAAACGGAAAGAAAGCGGCACCGTGGATAATGAAGATTGTTACTACGAGGCGAATGGGTATACCGGCTGTGGTGTAAAGGGCACTGCCAGTACTTATGGCCCTGAGTTCAATCGCCAGGGTGGCGGAGTAAGTGACGGTGTCCCAATTGTTCATGGTTCTTCCATCGAGACTGATTTACTAATAAACACCGCCTTCAGGTTTACGCGATGGAACTCCGTGACGCCGGTATTCGCGTATGGCAATGGATCCGTTCTGAGATCCCGTCTGATATCACTTCGGGCAGTCCCGACCCATCCACATGGGGTAAAGCATTCGCAGACTTCCCCAGCACAGAGTGCGACATCGGCTCGCACTTCAAGAACCAGAGTATCATCATAAATATCTCTTTGTGTGGTGATTGGGCGGGAGCCAGCAAGTACTACACGAAACAAAGTAGCTGTCCTGGCAACTGCAAGGCATTTGTGCGGGACAATGCGACTAGTTTCGACACCGCATACTGGGAGTTTGGTGGCTTCAAGATCTACCAGGCCTCGTGAGCCTTTTTGGATTGCCAAGTGCAACTCTCCTTTAATGTGTTCATGGATCGATGTAACGAGGTTTCTCATGGCGTTTAGGTGGTGACTTTTATTTGATAAGGGCGGACTTTCCAGGGAGACTGTGCAAGAATAGAGACTTACATGTCATCAAATAGATAAAGAACAGAAACACCCATTCTATGTACTTTGACGCTTGTAATAGTAGGACATTTGACTAAAATGCCAACATCTATATCTCCTCGTGTCTTTGAGATCCCTTAGAGATCCACAAGTTGACTTGGCGACTATTGGACCTTTCCTCTAGAGTCGACAGGCCAGATTTCCTCAATGACTCCCCCTCGATGGGCGTAATAGAAATCATGCAAGTTAACGGTGGGGTCAATGTGACTTGGCACCATCTCAACGCGATCCCCAACCGAAAGCGCCGGGGTACCCTCCTCCCAACTGAGTGAGCCGTGCTCGTCACCAAGAACACCATAAGTATACCTCGGGTCCTTGCACTCTGCCAAGCCACTATCTGTCGTCAACGATTTCAATCCGCTATCGATTGTGACCGACCGAGGGCCTTGCTTGCTCAGAACAGTTGACAGAATTGTAAGACTGTTGGAATAGAATGTGCCCACGGCATTTCGGTAATCCGTATCCATGAAGATGAACGACCCAGGCTGAAGTTCAGTCACACCCGGTACTGTAGCGCAGAATTCAGCCGTTCCAGTTCCACCTGTAGTAACTACTTCGATGTTGAAGCCTGCCTTCCGCAGCACATCTGCGGTATTTGTGAGGGTCTCCATGGACTGCAGACATTGACTCCTGCGGTCTTCCTTATCATGCAAATGCTGCAAATGACCCTCATATCCATGGAGCCCGATCAGTTTTAAATGCTTCAGACCCTGAACATGTCGTGCCAGGGTCATGGCTGGGTCACCTGGTAGGACACCGGTACGATGGAGACCAACATCGAGATCAATCAAAACCGAGATTGGTTCGTCGATACCGGCTGCGGCCAACGCCTTATCAATAGCAGTTGCGCCAGCTTCGCTGTCAACAACTATCCTGATCTTGCGATGTTTGCGGTACAGTTCCACCAGCCGTTGTACCTTTGCAGGGCCGATGATCTCGCAGGTGATAAATAGGTCGTCGAACCCGGCCGCGGCGATGACTTCAGCCTCGCTCACTTTGGCCACGCAGCCTCCCTTCGCACCCGCTTTCACCATCTTGTCGGCGAGGATCGCGCTCTTTGTCGTTTTTAGATGGGGCGGATGTCGAGGCCAGTTGGTAACAGCTTGTCCATCAACTTCTTGATGTTGGCTTCGACGAGATCGAGATCTGCGATCATGGATGGTGTGTCGAGGGTGTCGACCCTGTCGCCAACTTTGGGGGAATACATATTTTTTTGAATTCGGTCTCAATGAGGTTCAAAGACAGTTCCGTGCTGGCGATAGTCAGTGCCTAAGTTTGAATCTTGAGAATCCGCGTAGGACGCAAGGGTGTGTCGCAATTTATATGTTGACGAGAGAATGCAAGGGGTAAATATGCGCCCCCATGCTCCATGATGTACCCCCGCGCTAAGGATTGCCGATACAATAGGGTGGGGGAAGGTACAACCTTCCTCATTCGTGCGGGGTAGGACCGTTGAGGTGTACGAGAAAGTGCAGTTTCTTCTTTACATTGGTATTTACCTCAGACGTTATATGTACGTCCTAGAGGATTTACAAATTCTAAGAAGTTGGTTCAGTTCAGTAGAACTTGGGTACCTAAATGCCAAACGAGTTTGAGGTTTATTTGGATGTCTTTTCAAATGCCTTTTTATATGTCATTTACAGAGATACGCTAAGCACTACAATACCACGGATCGACCAAGACTAGCCCTGATTCAATCCATGGATGGCGCTTGCCCTCTCATAATGTTTTTATGAGATTTTTATGAGATGTTCTTGCCCAGTTAGTTACATCTTCCACTTCGTTCTTCCCCCGTACATCGGAAACAAGCATGGAACAAAACCCGTACCTCCAACCCATCACTCTGAAATGGCCTCAAGACTTCAAAGTTCACCCAACCTCTCCTCGGAGAATCTGATGATTGAAGAGTACCTGCAGCGGTCAAACCCATATCGATCGACGACAATGAAAGATCCCTGGCCTTACCACCTCTATAGCGTTTATATGATTAATAACAATGAGAATTCCTATGTAGCAAAATTGGGTACCCATCACTTTTGCGGGTAATTCCCGTAACATTTTGATTTAACGCATGTACTTTCTACAGGCCAGACTTTTACATTGTTCTATCTATAGCACTCAGAAGGGGAAAACATCGGTGAAAGACATCTAAAAGAAACATTCAAAAACAGTCTTGAAAGACAGCTGAGACACAGCTAAAACAACATTTGAATAAATAACATCGTACGCCTCATATAAACCCCTAAGTTTCCTTCACTTCCTCTTCATATATGTCCATACATATATATTTATTTCCTGCATATACGTCGAAGTTCGCAACCGGATGCGGTGATGGAACTGGAATGGAAGATGGAGACGAGATAGAACCACATGCGAACCCCTGAATACTCTCGTGCCGTGACTCTGGACCACTCGTATTCACGGCATCCCATGTGGTCATCGGCATACTTTTCGCCGGCAGCAACAGTCACTCTATGTCCTTTTTTACGCCTATAAGTTCCAAACCGAGGGTGTGAACTGCCAGGCCAACCATGCAGCCTTTCCAACAGTAACCCTACGGGTGCCCGCCTAGTCGACTGACCATATTATTGTCGGTCTCTTCATGATCGTGGGGTATCACTCCCTGCGGTGACCATCAACGCTTAACAAGCGACGGAGACAAGAAACCTACCGCTGATCAGGCCGGGCTTCGGTTGTGGCTAGCGTTTCTTCCCCTTTCAGGTCCGGGAGTATAAGGGCAAGTCGACCCCGTCTATCATTACCTTCGAGGATCCATCCAGCCATGCAAATCGGTATCTCCACAACAAGCAGGTGCTCAATATCCTCATTTTTATCTTAAGGTGTATATGCCCTTTCCCCAGGTAACTAAACCCTCACATGTCTTCATCACTCATCCCCGTTTCTAACTTATTGCTCATTTCTCTCTTACGCTCACTTTTTTCCCCTCACGTGCTTACTGATGGATTTTGCAGCATAGCTCTCGCTCAAGGTGTTTAGTACAATCTTTTATGACCCTTCACACACTACGAAATAGGGCGAGGTTCTATGGGCTACATTCCTACATGCCGTACAGAGCATAGGGTTCGGCTCTGAAAAGAACTATATGGCTCAGTCTGTCAGTTCACAAACTCAACCGTTGATCTCGGTCATAGTATTCGGTTCCACGGACCGCATCCCACTGCGAAATTCCTTTTCGAACTGCGCGGCACATTGGTCGGCGCTTGAACCGCGCCTAAGGCTAGGGGGGGACACACGATAACACTGACCCACAGGGTAATAACAGTGCTAGCGAGGGATCAGAACAGGTGCAGGAGGACACGCAAAGAGGAAGACTCGCAGCGTCGAAGGTTGTTGCTAAACAAAGCACACCTTTTATCTACGATAACAAGCCGCTGCATGTCAAAATGGCTTCCTCACTGCCGAATTTGCTACATGAAGCAATTCAACCTACACAGGAAGACGCTGAGCATGAGCCTGTCTATCCTCAGCAAACTGATCCACCTCTCCGCAGATCAACCAGGATTAAAAAGCTAAGTCGTTCTATGCTAGAACGCCTCGCTTCCCATGGTACTACTTTAGATCCTGCTGCAACCGCTCTCTATGCATGCGGCAACAACAATGTCATACTCTCTATTTTTGCAGCCACCCAAAGCCCGGGGGACGATACATCTCAGTCCTCCACCAAGCTCACATCAGATGACATAGATACATTCCTAACGGCTGGGTCGACGCTATGAATTGCAAAGAGAAAGCTAAATGGCTTATTGCTGCACAGAAAGAGCTGGAGTCTCACATACAAAACGGGACATGGAAAGTCGTTGACAGAAGCATGACAACGAAGAAACCGCTCACTCTTCGCTAGGTCTTTGATATTAAGAAAGATGACGGCCGATACGAAGCTCGTCTTGTTGCGAGAGGCTTTAATCAAGCCAAAGACGTCGATTTTCATGAAGTGTATGCTGTCGTCGCTAAACCTATGTCGTTGAAAGTCTTCTGCGCAATCGCCGCCGCTCTCGGCTGGGAGCTGCACCACTTTGATATCAAAGCTGCATTTTTGAACGTAGATACCAAAGAATCGAGCTTCATCGAGCTTCCGGAGAACCAGGTGGCTGGCGGTGCTGATAGGATCCAGCCTGTCGGTTTCGAATACCACGAGCCTGACATCGGCATGAAAGGCTAGGTTTGACAAATGTGGGGAGCTTATTGTCTAGAGTCGGGATACAGGCTAAGCCCGGATGAATGCCTCCGCGTGATATCAATATCATGCGCTTTCTGCTAGATTGTGCTTCCGAGATTATGCACATCCAGCCAGAGGCACTACACTCGCCACACGGCTTGTAGGAGGCTTTGGCTAGTGTCATTCTTCAGCCCGAGCTACCAGCCCTATCCACGTATAAGCCCTATTGGCATTTGCCATGGAGAGAATCATCTGCCCTAACTCTGTTAATGCGGGCTATTTCAAAATCGACTGGCCAGAATTGCAATGTCTCAAGTTTACATGCCAGTTACCGTAGGAACAGGCCGCCCAATTCGGAATGGGTCATCGGGTGGAGCCAACAAGTGATCACAGTAGGATATCGTCAACTTTTATGCTAGAAATACTACAGGGATATTTTTGAACTAGTATACCATGGTCGACGTCGGGCTGGAAGCCGTGGTATTTAATGGGTTCTCCCTGCACCCGTGGACGCCATTCCTTTCTTTCCCCTTTTACCCATCTCCATCATAATCAATCACAACCACCTGCATATCCAGCGGGTTACGCTCTATAATATTAACACCAGTGATGATAACCACGCATACTATACGGAGCCAGGCTATATTCTACCTTTAAAAAGGAACAATTGGGCACCTTGGCCGCCCTAAGCTTCACCGCTCTTATAACGCCCACTCCTTAGACGATAATGCCTATAGCTATACGCGACGAGGAAGCAGTGCTGAGGTTGAAAGAATTATCAGCATGGGCATTCACATGCGTACAAATGGAGATGGAGATGGACAACTTTTTCAGATGCGTTGACGAAAACCGCCACGCAAAAGTACACCCTTTTTTGTCTCGAACCGGGTTTAACCGTCTAAAGGTGAGAGGATGCCCCAATCGTGTAGGATATGCCTAACAGGTCAACAAAATTTAGGGATTCGGGTATAAGATATGTCGAGTTACGGGGAAAATCGCCCTTAAGAAGGCTGCTCACTACCGGACTCTATTATTCCCTCTATCGATTGGAGCGGGAAGTCGCAGTATAGGCTCAGGGGAGCTAATGACGGATTTTGGGGTGCTTAAACCAGGATATGGGGCTGAAATAAATTCCGTCTTTGTTGTTGATGCTCTTATGGATTGCCTTATTGTCCTTTTACCGGAATTGGCGCTCCCAATGGCGCAGACCCAAAGCCAGAGCCGGCAAATCGAGTACGCTGTTAGATACTAGATTGGATGGAATTAAAGCAATGTGAGCATTCCTGATACAACTGCACTCAATAGTTCTTATTCTATATATTTGGAGAATACATATTTCATGTAAGTGAAGAATGGTAATCGGTAATTTTGCAATACAGCGCAAAACAAGTGATGGTCAACCATTTCGAGGATCATGTTGTATTGATACCGGTAACCAATACGCCACTCCACAAAATCAGAGTTTGAAAGTTATCACGCGTATGTTTCACACGCTTTATATTCCGACCTTCAAGATCCGAGACAGCCAAAAAGATCATGGAAGATCGGAACAATTTCCATGAGTTGCCTACCGAGCCACACGGCATTTTCTGGCAAGACAACTTTATCGATGCCGAACACGAGCAACGACTCATCTCGGTGTTCTCCAACGAGCTAGAATGGCCTGACCGTCCTGGCCGGGTATCACTCCACTACGGCTATAGCTTCGACTATAAAACATTCGGGATAGATCCCGATATTCCATACAAGGAATTCCCAGAATGGCTCCAACCTCTCATCCCAACAACCGAGGACCGACCTCCAGACCAGGTCTGTCTGCAGTACTATCCTCCAGGTGCGGGCATCCCGCCCCATGTAGATGCGCACAAGCCATATGACCAGCTCTACGCGTTATCGATAGGTGCGCCGGCGATCATGATATTCCGCCGGGGCGAGGAACGCATCGAAGTCGATTTGACCCCGCGGAGCATGATGCAGATGAGCGGCGACTCAAGGCTGCACTGGACGCATGGTATTAGGAAGCGGAAGAATGATACCCTTCCGGATGGGACGGTGAGGCCGCGCGGGAAGCGGTGGAGTATCACTTATCGCTGGCTCAGGGATGGGGAATGCGAATGTGGAAATCTGGAATTGTGTGACACGGCTCAGCGACGGAATGGGATTGAGAAGGAAAAGAGGTCATTAAAGGCGTTGGCGGAGCAGGCTGCACTCAAGGAACCTGTTGTATAGATCGAGTCCAGATGGTTTGATGACTTGGCCAGTTTGTTGTGTAAATAATATTAGAGCGAAATATACCCGGAATCCGCGTCAAAGCCGAGGCAGACTATGGATGGCGTCCGGCAAAGGAAACATGTCCGAAATTCCAGCATTCTGTTGGTGTTTAGGCCTCCGTCGCATGTTGATAGAATCCGGGACGGAAAGGAAGCGATGGTGAGCCGCCTTCTCCATGCAGGTGTTTCCGTCAGATTTCAAAATTACCCCCTCAAGCCAGTGTTTTCGGGTGTACCGGCATGTCGGCGTTTGATTACGAAGGTGTATTGATTTCTTTCTCGAAGTTGGTCGCTGATGTGGAATGGCAAGACCGTGGAAATGGTTAGTTGGCAGGATATCACGGAGTTGGGGCAATGAAGATAGTAAATTCCAAACAAAGAAATTCAAAGTAAAAATCACTATAAGCTAGAATATTTGTTGCAGGGTTCAGCCCGTCTGAATATCCCTCGTTATTCAGAGTCATGGGCGACACGTATATTGGAGATTGGATGGCTCGTGTGTGGATCACCACAGCATCCACGGGACCAGATTATCGAAATCGGAGTCAACCCCGTTTACAAGGACGTAATCTCCGTCCGGCTTCGTAAGCTCTCCGCGTATATCTATTGCCTTCTCTAGATGCAATGCACTTTCCTCGAGGTTTCCCAGGCCTTCCAGGACCTGTGATGCCTTGTAGTTTGCGCGTGCGAGATGCCCTAGGCCCTCAGCCTGGGGAAGGGCTTCAGATATCACGATACACTCTTGGAGTAGTTGTCTGAAATGCGTCAATCTTTAGTTGTCGATTACTGTCTATCAGTGTGTACTTACTGAGCAAGTTCCAACTCCCCTGTCTCGTGATGAAGAACCGATACCTGATAAAGCGAGTCGCAGACCTTGAGCCGCTCGTTGCAGTATTTCCTTCGGAAACTTAAGGCCTTGGATGCAAACTTGAGCGCTTCGTTACAATGCCCTTGAGCGTACCTGATTCTGCTCAATAGCACCATATCCCTGGACGACGTTAGTTCCGATCATAGACTTCGGGTTCACAAGGAGAACCGACCCAGAGAATCTAGGATTTCCGGTCTGGAGAAATGTCTCATCTGAAAAGTCCTTTAATGATGGGCAACTCTTGAGCATAGCTTCAGCGTCGTCGGGCTTTCCCATCCTCAGCAGCAAACTGGCCATGTTGCTGTAGGAGTTACCAATTCTGTCACTGCTGTGCATGATCCGGATATCGATTGACTGCTTGAAATAGCCATGAGCCTTTTCAAACTCGCCAATCTCAGTGAGAGCAAGACCTAGGTTGACCTGATTGGCCGCCAGGAACAAGTCATCACTCGGAAGGACGGATTTACGTATTTTGTATGCTTGCTCGAAGGCCTTCAACGCAGCCGAGGGATGGCAAATGTCAAGATCGATTAAACCTCCAAGATCCACTGCACTCGCGTACGTCAGAGAGTCCTTTTCTATAAATTTCTTCAGAGCAATATCGACGTATGAACGGGCAAGACTGTAGTTCTCTTTCTCATAGAGATACCTGTCTTGGGTTAGATAATGTCCGGGGCTATAATATTGGAACGCACCAGGAGCAGCGGAGCAGAAGCTCTGCAAACCGTTGATTCCTCTCTTCAAAAATCTTGAATTCACCACCTTTGTCCACAATGCTCCCAACGTGGGATAGACTCTTCTCGCAATCCTTCCAGGAGGCAACCTGGTGACCTATGTCTGCACTGTATGTATCTGGGAAGATTTCGGCGACGATTGCCATGGCGAGCAAAAATGTCCCCTCTCGCTCTTCGGTGCTCATTCGACGTATGACAGCGAGCTGAACAAGACGATGCATGGATATAAGTCCGCTTTCACTAGATTTGTCTATAAGGGATCTTTGGAGGAGTTCTTTCTGGGTATCCAAAAATCTATAATAAGATTAGTAGTGTTGGCCCATTAGATTTCACGCACTTACTCTATCTCATCTACCATGAACCGCAAGGCTGGGTCATTTGCCCTATTCGCACCGTTTTTAAGGACCGACTCGTCTATACCGTTGGGATCCAGGAAGGATAGAATCATGTGCAGGACCTTAGCATTCGGCGAAAGCTGGCTCAGCGCCATTTCCCACACAGTTGCAAGCGTATGACTGGAATCCATGCTTTCCGATCCAGTTTCATCCACACTAAGCGAATTTCGGTCGTAGAAGGCGAGGAAATCCTCGAGGGGCATTTTCCTTTGGGCAATGAATCCACCGATCTGGTTGAGCGCGAGAGGCAGACCTCCAAGCTTTGAAGTGATTAGCTTAGCTTCGGCTTGGTGCGAGGTAGACTCGGAATCCAGTCCGAGTATGTCGAGCAATGCGGCAGTTCCATCCTCTGTATCAAAAGCAGGTACCTGACAACCTGCCGAGGCGGGGTACAAGGGCGCTGTCGAGTCTCGGCTGGTAACCAGCACAGACCCTCCATATCCTGCAGGCCAAGTGTGCTTGATTAGGCTCAAGTCATCAGCATTGTCATATATAAGGAGCCAGCGGGACTCTTCATTGTTATTCGTTAGCTTTTAATATCGTTCGAGCCCTCAGGTAGGGTGTCCATTGGCTTACTTGCGGCTGATAGCCAGTCCTTGACTTTAACTATGATCGCATACTCGTCCAGCTCTGTGTCTGGTTCAATCAAATCAAGTATCTTGGAGATCCTTCGAAAGCTCTGCCAAATTGTTACCGGATTCTCGGCTGAAATCCATAATATAACATCGAATTTCTCACGCGACGCGTTGGCGTACTTCAATGCAATCTGTGTCTTTCCAACTCCTCCCATGCCATATAACGCGAAGGATCGAAGTGAGCGAGTAGAAGGATACACGAACAGCGCTTCATCGATCAGGCGGAGAATATAATCTCTACCATAGAAATGAGAGCATTCTGCGAAAGGGAGGTAGTGGGCAACTTGGTTGACATTCTTCGACCTCTGAGTTTTCAACTCCGCCATAAAGTCGAGCACAACACGGTATTTCTCATTGTCCAGTTGCACTCTACTGAGGTCGACCTCGCGCTCGATATCGCTAGACAGACGCTTGGCTCGTTGGATGGTTCGGTGAAAGTCAGCACGGAGGGTGGGCCATGAGCTGCGCAACAGAAACGCTTGCAAAATTTAGTTTGGAGTCAGGAGTGAGTCTGAGAACGCAATACTTACAGTGCCGGCAATCCCGAAAAATACGGATGGTGCGGGCATAGAAGCAAATGAACTCTTGGTAAAGGGCCAGCAGTGCGATTTCCATATCCGCATCCATTGAGATGGTGTGCTCGCAGCACTTCAGACGCGGTAGTGTCAAGGCCAGCTCTTCAACCATGTCGAATATGTCTTGCAAAATGCTGTCTGCGGTGGACGCTAGCTGCATAGCAGTCAGCCTCAAAACAGAGTTAGTCAGCTCTCATAAGGTAGGACACCCACCGTCAAAATCACTCGTATACTACCCCATACTAGCGCGGTTTGAGCCGAATCCGCGCCATATGACATTTTCAGTATCACTAAGAAATCACTCAACAATTTGAATGCTGGCTCGAGTCGATCGATTGTGCATGGAAGTTCTCTGTCGAAGGGATCAACTGGCTGTAGGACATGGGTGTCTGCAAGAAGCTCCTCGAGGCTTCTAGTCTCGAGTATCTTGGCAAATTCCTTGTCACTAGCAAGATCCTGATGATAGCTCTTCTCAGCATTCTCCCATAAAAGGGAGAGATTTGCTTCTGAGGTCTGTCCTCCCATATTGAAGATATATAATTGATCAAATATAGCAAGGGATTTTATTAGAAGAAAAGCACAAACGGACCTGCTCTTTTATGTATCTGACTCGGGCTTGGTGGGGTAGTGTGGAGATATGCACTACAGGAAGCGACAACGATGATTGATCGATTAGACGCCCATTTCGATAGGATCGGCATTCTATAAATAATTATTGTTATGTCTTGAACAAACATTTCACGATACCATATAGAGACTAAGTGCAGAGTTCTGGGACTCGCAGAACATGCGTGGACCTTAGAGACGAGATACAAGTTTGGTCAGCGAATGCGACAATCTAGTAAAACATGTGTGAAAACGATACTGAGTTCTCAGCTAGTATAGTCTCTATCTTTTCCTAGCACAGGTGGTGTGGTGGGCTACTGTCTCATGGGATGTGTGCCACGTCATTCTCCAATCTTTCACCACTGGTACTCATGCCTTGGTCTGTTAGCCTTAAGCTACATAACCATTTCTAATCTCGTGCTTTGAAAAATGTGTGAATCTGTATTTAATCTGCGACATGAATATAATAACTGCCCAGAGGAATGGGACGTCCTAGTGAGGTTAGGGCACTCTTTTTAGGGGGTTTATTAGGTGGTACGAATAAACTCACCAGGTGGTTAGCTGATCTCAGTTGAAAACATCCATGGGATGCACTTTCCCTAGTCTGTGGAACGTCGTTTGGCCAGTACCTACCTACTTGGGACCTCGGAAGGATATCCGTCGTCAACTTTCAAAATTGGTTCTTGCATCACCAACAATTCCCCATCTTCTACTTGATTCAGGTCTCTTGGGCTACTGGTCATGCTAGACCTTCATAATGTGGTAACCATTGGTGTGATAATGGTCGTGGTCCTATCGGCATCGTACACTCTGTTCCACAGTCAAAGGGACGAACCTCCCTCGGTGTCGAGTAAGATTCCATTTGTGGGCCACCTCATCGGCCTCATCCGACATGGCCCAGGATATTTTGGAATATTATGGCGAGTCACCGATTCTATTATTTGCACAACATAAACTAACGCAACATATTCGACAGCGAAAAGCACCACAATCACTCAATCTTCGCAGTCGACATATTCTCCTTCAAGTTCTTCGTGACCTCCTCACCTGCCATCATGCGGGCTGCTCAGAAGCACCCCACGATCATCACATTGGAACCGTTGCTGAAGTTAACGCAGAAGCGTGTATGTCGAACTCCAGGGGGATACACTAGGGCGTTTATGTGATCAACGCTCTGGTCCGAGTCTCCTTTCCAGAATTGTGCATAATTCGATACATGTCCTTGCTGGGGAATATCTTAACAGAATGAACGAGACCATGCTTCGGGAGCTACTAGCCATTGTTAATGACATGGGTAACGATGAGACTGTTGATTTGAACGCATGGCTTCGGCATGCCATTACCATTGCTAGTACAAATGCTACATACGGCAGTTTGAATCCATTCAAAAGCCGACACATTGAAGACACATTCTGGTGAGTCTAGCAACCTACAGTGGCTATAGGATTGCTCAAATACGGTGGCAGGGAACTTGGATGTAATGTGGCGCTACTACTGGCCAACATCGTGCCATGGCTGATTGACCCAAAAGCGTGGAAGGCACGCAAGGTTCTGTGTGCTGCGTTCGAGGACTACTTCGACCTCGGAGGTCATGAAGATGGCTCGGAGCTGATAGCCATGCGGTACAGTTCATTTCTGGGGGCTGGGCTTACTCACGAGGAAATCGCATACTCGGAGATGCCCCCGATTGTAGGACTACTGGCAAACACCGTTCCTGCTGCATTCTGGGTCCATTTTGAGCTTTTCTCGAGACCAAATCTGCTTGGAGAGGTACGTGAAGAGGTAGAGCAGTGCGCCCTCGAGATTGCGCCCGACGGCACACACATGATTGACCTAGGGTACCTCCGCGATAGTTGCCCACTCCTTCTCTCAATGTACCAGGAGGTACTGCGAACAAGGACAACAATGGTACCGATCCGGTTCGTTACCCAAGATGTTGTCCTAGCGGACAGGTACTTTCTCAGATCTGGAACAATGCTCTTCATGCCCCCGAAGCAAGTAGGCCGAGACCAGAGTGTCTGGGGGAATTCAGCTGATGAGTTCGACGGACGAAGGTTCATGAGATCTACTACAACAACTGTGAATAACGGCGACAAGAAAAAGGATCCACGGCGTACTGGCGGGTTCATGGCATTCGGTGTTTCTCCATCAATCTGCCCGGGACGTCATTTTGCTACTAGTGAAATATTGGCACTGGTGGCCATGATTGCCTTGCGCTATGACATTGCTCCAGCCGATCAGGTCTGGCGTGCACCGCCAAGGACGAATTCGGCAACCACTTCCAACATGGGACCAGTTGAAGGAAAGTTCCCCGTGACTGTGAAAAAGAGACAAAAGTATGAAGGGAAGTCATGGCAATTCAGACTCACCGAAGGCAAGGGGCAGTTCGCTTTGGCTGTGGGTTAAAATCCGGTGCACAGAGGTTAACCCACTGGGCCAGGGTCTTGCATACAGAGCCTAGACTCAGGTGCGTCTAGCGAAAAGAAACAGGTAGGTTGTATCTGCATCACACTTAGTGATATGTACTACCATTGTATTCTAATTCTGGGTCCGTTGTTTTCCTAATTACAGGGTCGGGTCGTACATTTAATCAGGGTGGCTCAAGTAGGTCATTAGTGGCTAAATTGGCCTATATCTTATGGGATAAGAATGGCAAGCTAGAGTCTGAAAAGACCTTCTTGATGGGATTCGTGTAATTGGCAGATAAAGGACCTGTCAACAGAGGGAATTGAGTATGCACCACCAACATATCTGTCTTACACCTTCGTTCCCCCCTTCAAGTGATACCAGACACCACTATTTACATGAAGGCTGCAATAAGACAGCCAGCAAAAGCACCAAACACCAGCCCATTGCCCGAGTTAATCGTAGCACCACCATTATAGACGGGAGACGAGGAAGGAGTACTAGCAGTCTACTCCAAGTTAGCTATAAGTCCAGTGGTAAATAGAAGAGAAACCAACCGAGCTTCCAGTAGGTGTTGCCGAAGGGATCAATGACGATGGGCGAGAAGAACCAGAAACATGCGGGGGGGCTCACGGAAGTTGTGGCGACCGTAGTACCAGCAGAGGAGGCTGCCGTATCAGTGGTCACAGTGGAACTGACACTTTCTTCTGCAGTCTTCGTAGCGCTAGCAGCATCGGATGTAGTGGTAGCACTAACAGACGTAGTAGTGGAAGACGTTTCGGCCGGGGTGGCATCCAATCCACACGCAGTAGCAGCCTTGGACACAGAACCCCCGTAATACTTCCAGATGTCGAACTCAACAGCACACTTCAAACAATCGGCCAACTCGGTCTTGAAATCGTCGGTATCACAGTATCCGTTAGTACGGCCGGCGGTAATCACGCCACCTGAGCTATCAGTTTGGGTCATGGTTTGTAGGATCAGAGGATATGGGACATACCGCAGTTGGCGTGGCACTCGTACGCAGGAGTTCCGGGTTCCTGGCGTTTGTGCAGAGGGACGAAGTCGGGGAACTCAAATGCGCTGGCACCGATTACAGCGCAGGCAAAAGCAGCAAGGTTGACAAGACGCATGATGGTATTAAGGAATGAAATGAGATGCGGATTTAGTATTCGGAATTGTAGAGACAGAGGATGCAGACCCCAAAGTGACGGCAGAGGAGTGCGTACTTATTCACCCATGGATGTTACCTAAAACAACACAATGTCTTGGCTGGTCCTTTCGGAAGGAGAACTATCTAAGGTGGTATGAGCGAACAGTGAACTTTTCGGGTGAGATTACCAGTTATGGAAATGTCTCACCTTCCAAGGTTTGACCCAGGATGTCAAGAGAACATGTGGAAGCGAACCAAACAAAAACAGCTAAAACCGCCCTAGAAGACCCCACCCATCTTATCTGATTGATCTAATCTGATCCAGACCTTGAGCCATTTCCTGTACGCTCTTTATCCGCGGGTACCTCCGGCTTCAGTAAATTAATTCTTTGTCACTAACAAGCCATCGAACTATACTATTTATCTTGGCTCGTGGCTCGTGACTCAACCTCAATGGGTCCCTCACAGTGGTCCAACCTCGGTGAGAGCATTCCGGGCCATAACATCCAGGAAACTCCGGCTGCCATGTGCTTGGCAGATTGTAAAGCCCTCGGCAGTGGAGTCGGCTCAAGCCGACCAACATCCATCTCTGTCGACGTGACAGGAAGTTTATAAACGGCGATGTCTCAGTTTTTCCCTTTTTTCGTTGGAGACCCCTTCACAAACACATTCTTCCCATCATACCCTTATTTATAATTATGAAGAACTACATTGCCCTACTCGCTCTCTCTGCTATTGGAGGACTATGTGCTCACGGAGACGAAGCGAGCACAGAGATGGGCCCAGCTGCCTTTATGTGGCCGCCCGATCGTCTCTGGGGAGCAGCATATGACAACAACGCCCCTTGCGGCTCATCAACTGGGCCCGTGAATCGAACAAGTTTCCCACTGAGTAAGAGCAGTCGACGCCGCAGCCCAAAAAGGCACGTACACTGACAAGACACTCTAGTCAACGGCAAACTTGCGCTTGTAATCCAAGACGAGTCATGGAATGTACAGGTAGCGATCTCTCACAAAAGCAGTAAGTCAAATGGCATCGTTCCCCTATATCCAGACTAACTTTCCACTAGACCCAACTACCAATGATGACTTCGAGGCCTTCATCGATAGCTCTACTCTTTCCGACATTGACCCAGGGCACGAGTGCTACTCTGTTCCTAACCCATCTATCGACGTGGAAGAGGGAATGAACGCCACCTTCCAGATCAAATACACTTCAGATTTCGATACCGATAAAAATGAAACCTACTACGCATGTGCGGACGTTACATACATCGCAGCGAGCAAGTTCACCTACCAAGTCCCTTGCTTCAATGTGACGTCGGATGAGTTCACCGAGGTGACTACTACAACCGCAGCTGGGTCTACTGCTACGGCAAAGTCGGACACAGCAAAGGACTCGGGTACCACGACCGAAAAAAGCTCTGGTCTTTCAGGGGGGGGCTATTGCAGGTATTGTGGTTGGCTCAGTGGCTGGATTGGGTCTTGGAATTGCATTGCTGTTCTTCTATAGAAGGCTTTTGCAGAAGTATCGCTTCCTTCGGCAGAAGGCTTCCACCCGCAATGTGGACTGGAATGAGGAGGCGCCTCAGCATAAAGTCGACGATGATGTTCCGATTGGGCTTCGCAAGATTAGATGATTCAGTTGGGGTCTTGTCTCTTAGATACAAGATGCAGAAGGGGAAGTGCGCGGCTGTTGATGTGTTATCTCCAGTAATGATGTAACGTTCTTATGTCCATATGGCTTTCGATTTATACTTGTGATATCTTTCTGTTCGCGTCTCGTTAGTCGACAATCTGAATTATGTCTTAATGCATGAATACGGCCCCTGTCAGATCTAGAAACACCCTTGGTATACTTGTTGACCATACCTTGACTCCCAAATATGAGGCGAATCCTATGAACTAAATAAGTTGCGCGGAGTTCACCAAAAATAAATTCACGGGGTATCTTGAGCCTCCTTTTTCCAGCAGTTCGTATCTCCTTCCGATGGCGAATTGCGTGAATTTAGAACGCATATTTCGTAGCAGGCGAGCGTCAGCTTCATGATAGCCGACCCCGATCCAGGCAAATAGATGCCACCGTAAACGGGCCATCAAACACCAGTCCTGCGGAATGTTGAAATTGTACATGGATGCGTACTCAAAAGTCACAGGATAAAAACCAGCCAAATCCCAGTCGAGGAGCGAAAGCCGACCAGAAGGCGAAACTAGAAGGTTGCGTGGCGTGAGATCATGATGAGTCAAGACAAATGGTTCGATGGTCAGTGGCACCTCCACGGTGAAATCCGGTGGATCTGGTACTTGAGGTTGCTTTGGGACTTGCATCGCTCGCCGCATAGACGTAAAATTCGCCCAGAATCGAAAGAAGTGGGCAATTTCGGCAGGGCCAGAATTCGCCGGAAGACCGTTGCGATCGTCTAGCCAGAAAGACCTGCATTCGCCTGTCGCAAGCGATCCGGCAGTCGGTGAGGTAACAGACGTGAGGATCTTCACGAAGCGGCGAAGCTGCAGACCAAGCACAACTGTCGTGAACCAGGCCAGTTCCTTCCAGGCGACGTCCAACGTAGTTCCCTCAGCCCGATCAATGGTAGTGTAAGCATTCTCTTTGTTCTTAATTGTCTTTCGCACGGATGGACCGCAGATCCCAAGCTGGCTGGCAATTTCGATAGCCTTCAAAGCATCTTCGATCTCTGAAGGCTCATATTGCTTGGCTATGAGATTCGAGGAAAGGTTGAATACCCGCGACGTAGGCGCGCAGGACGGTGAGGATACAATGTGATGAGCCAGTTCCAAGTCAGTGTACCCCTCTAGCAGCTCTTCACGAAAGGCTAACGCCATACCTCGGCGAAATATAAAAACAGGGGTGGTGAAAACAAGAAGTCCAAAGCAAATTCGGGATTACTGATGTTCCGCTGATGTTCCGTGCAAAGCATCGCCATCGAAAAGAACCAGACACAAAGAAATTTCAACCATTTCCAAAATACCAAAAATACCCAATTGAACTAATAAAAGCCTTTGGTCGACATACAGATGAGCAAAAAGCAAAAAGTTAATGATAAGAGTGGGATTCGAACCCACGCCCCTTTCGAGACCAGGAAACTATTGCTAGTTGTGGAGTTAAGGTATACCTTAACCTGGCGCCTTGGACCAACTCGGCCATCTTACCAATTATGAGGGCAGTTTTCCCTTGCTGGAGTATGTGTAAGTACGTGTACCTTTCCACGGTGCCATGCTGGAAGACGAATGCCTCACGATAGGTATCTCATCAAGTACCTAGCTATAAAGCTCCACCTTGATATCAATCGTTTTTAAGTCAGGATCCTTCTCTTCTCTTCTCTTGCCGACTGAGGGGGAAGAGCTTGAATTTCCATATCACTCCGTATGTTGTAAGGCCACTTCGGCAAGCTTCCCGGCAGGCTAATAGCCTTTATCAAGGGGCGCGCGCGCACCCCTTCTTGACCCCGCGGGACTCATTTCTCTGGGATTCCCAGCTCACCTGGTCAACTGTTGATTTTGTTGTTGGATGAGGCAGGAGTGTAGGATCATGATTACGTCCCAACGCACACATCTGGTGAAGAAGAAGCAAACAGCCACGTATTGAGCGAGGCCCTGGGGAGAGAGGAAAAGGGAGGACGAATCAGTCGTGGAGGAAGAAAGACAAGTCCTTCTACTCACCTGAGTACAATAATGCACTGGCGAGGCTCCGACATAGCCGCTGGACATGGAGCTAATTGTGCGACTTTGATATATATATTCTTGAAATTCATGATATGGCTAATGCTCTCCGCTATATTCCTCGCTGGAACTTGCTCATTCCAGATTCGTTGAGCTGGCGGTATTCCTAGGCTGCCGTTGCTGAGCTTCAAATGCCTCTATGACATCAGGGCAGCTCGATTGGGCCTTGGCTGATTGTCTAGCCAAATATTCGGACTCTGTCAATCGTGCTTTGAAAATTTGCTTCCGAGTCTTGGAATGGATAGCCGAATGCAAGCTTTTGGCTAAACCCTGCCCCGGATAGGCTACTAGACCCAAAGCACCTGAAGATGATCCATTAGCATAATCCCGCTAGTCGCGTGAGGATACAGTGCGTGACAAACCTGATGCAGCTTTCGTCCCCATGCCAATGGGTCCTTTGACAAATCCTTTGATTGCGCCCCGAATTCCATCTTTCTGGCCACCCTCGTAAGGCTGTCGGAAGATATCAGTAAGACCATGCGAGAAACCATGGGCAAAGTTATCTGAAGCCGCAGCAACTCCAGACTTAAAGTCTCGGATGTTGTCGTAGTCTTTTACCTCCTCGCCATAGAGCCTGGGAACGGCTCTCAGGCCTTCATTCACTGCTCCAGGTATGTCTACCAGAACGCCCTTGTAGTAGTAGGCTATGATCCTTCCCACGCTTTTGGCGGATCCCCCGACTGCCTTCCCCGTCACTCTCCAGTCTTCATCCGTCTGGTTGGTTCCAGAAGTACCTGAGATGCCGTCGGGTGGACTTTGATCGGATTGGGGATTTGTAGACTCGATGACTACAAGTTCTGGCTCGCTCTGTTGACGGGCGCGACTAAACTCTTTGTAGGGCCGAATGACGACGTCGCTTGATGCTGTGAGGATGTCCTTGTACATGCCTAGTAAAGACGATGTGCCGCCCGTGACAGGATCCCATCGCCGAGTCTGAATGAATATTGATTTACTCTCGTATCTAGTTCAACATATGTGTTAGTATAGACATATGCGAATAAGATAGTTCGGATAGATGTTCTCACGCTTTCAGGTCCTTCGTATCAATGCGAGAATTTTCAATCAAGATCCCCGCTGCCATTTTAGACAAATTTATAGGGGACTTCGTGTTTTGCTTTAACTGCCATACAGCCGGCTCAGAATCAAGAAACTGACATTTCATTTTGTCGACGGGTAAGTTGCGGTGGAAAGACGCAACAGCCGCTGAGACTCCAGCTTCCTCGCTCATTTCACGAGCAAGGTCACCGGCTGCTGCTAGAGTATCAGGATGCAGGCAGAAGCGGATTGCTTCCGCTAGATTATCTGCGTTCAAAGACCGGTGCGGAATGGGCATTGGTCCAATCCCGCGGGACGCGACCATGTTTCCCCAAAATAGCTGACTATGACAAGTTAGCGAAGAAATTGGGTAGGCATGCAGAGAATTACGGACTCTCCAAAAAATGGTACAATGAGAGACGGCCTTCCGAATCGTAATCCACATGCTGTAGTCCCTGCTCCTCCATGATGTACAACTGCAGCGACCTTCTGAAATAGCCATTCATGCGGACAGTCTCCAAGATAAAAGATCTGATCGTCTGATTGTGCTTCCCCGAGATTACTCCAGCCACGGGATATGATTGCTCGACCACCCCAAGACCTGACTGCATTGACGAGCGTGGCAGTCATGGCTGGGGGATCCTCAATTACGATGCTCCCAAAACCGATGTACACCGGCGGAGGCCCGCTTTGGAGAAATGCGTCAAGGTCTGGAGGTGGTGCGAAGTCCGGAGGAGAGCGGAAGAAAAAGCCACAGACGTTGAGATGTGCCGGCCAGTCAGCTGGTTTAGGCATCAATGTAGGCGACCAGCAATATGTGAAGGGTATCTTCAAAGTTTCCGCTAGACGTGGACCTTCCGTGGCTGATATGGGTTCTAGGTCGATAGTCTTTCTCCAATCGTTGATGACATCGCCTAGGCTATTGTGAGGTCAGCGTATTGAATCAGTCATTCGCAGGGGGGGTATCTGATTATTACCCTTGCCATGTAAGCCATTCGACAATCCCGTAAGAAAGGTAATTAGCCATTTTAGGCTCAGTGGATGAATATTTCAAGTTTGCCAAGGGATGGGGGAAGGATCTTGTGCTGGTCCACGGCATGGTAAACATCATATGTAGAGGGATGCCAAGCGCCTGGGCGCAGTGGATATGGGCGAAGCTTGGAGGGTTCGCAATAATAGCATCGGCCACAAATGGCGTCTTGGTCACGGGGTCATCCGCAAGACAGGACTCCCAGCATCCCTGTAGTATTTGACCTACCATGACACGCTTGCGTTGAATATCTCCTTCTTTGACAGACTTCATCTGTGGTATCAGTCCTGGGTTCTTCACCATGTATGCCATCAGCTCCGAGGGGTCCCCTCCAATAGAATAAAATTCTAGACCGGAGTCGCGCACGAAGCTTTCAAACACACCATGTGTGGCCAGTCGTACGCGGTGTCCATGACGCTGAAGCTCGTTTCCTAGAGCGACAAAGGGCTGGACGTCGCCTCGACTGCCAACGACTTGGATAACAATGTTGAGCTCGAGATCACATCCGAAATAGCCTGACGGCTCTGGTTGTGGTTGAATATGTTGTTCCGTATGCAGAAATGGTATCAACTTTGACACTTCCCTGCCCACTTTGGAGTCCAGATCGATCTCAATTCGACCATCATCTTCGCAAAATTAGCACGCTATTCTTGCGAATGAGCCAGAAATATAGGGTTGTTCCCACCTTGCACGCGTGTCCCATCCTGCGTAAATTGGTTGCGTTCAAGCGTAGAAGGCCGGCGTGGTGGTTCTTCCATCGCTGCAGCCCGATGACATCACACGCGGGGGGGTAAAAGAATCTTGCCGAGGTAGAATATTCGCCAAACAACTAAATGTGAGTGAAATATTTCCGAAATCGAGTGAAGCATCCAACGTTTTCAAAAAAGAAAGGAGTATATCAAGGGGAGTCGTGGTCCCAAAACAACTGAAGACCATGGTAGCTATGACGGTTCTGGGCCCGGGGTGGATCCGGGGTTGAGCCACGTGATTATTGGTTTGAACCAATCACAGGTCATATCAAAGACATATGACGACATTCCCAGGGGAGTTCTGCGAGTCGAGGCCAACAACTTCAACCTTTTCTTTGCAGCTACCCGGATATCATTCATCGGCGGATACCAATATACTGATCTTGAAATATCCATGGACATATTTACCTTGAAGCCAAGAGATAACGTGAGCCGGCAAAGCAGGGTCATAGGCTGTTTGCAACAGCTCATTCTAGTTTCCCTGGTGAGGATTGAGTCCAGGTGAAGAAATACACTACCAGGTCATAGAACCCAACTACTGAAATGGAGGACTGAAGTTACTATCTACACTAACAATTTATATTCAGTCTTTGTAAAGTACAGGTTTGTGTCTTTGCTTAAAGGGCTTTTCCTCATGTTTTTCATCGTTTTCTCTTTTTCCCATGTTCTTCTTTTTTTTCTTTTCCAGAAATTAACTTCTTCCATAGAATCACAGCTCCAGAAATACCCCATAATCGGCCCTTCTTAAAATCATTACCATGACTTGGGGCACTCGCGTCAAAGCCAGGCCAGTGGGGAATCCTAAATTAGGAATGGAGCGCCAAAAAGTCGGGGTCATTGTTGAGAACATCCCAGACCGACCTATCCAGAGTCAAATTCACATCGACGGCGCACGGAAGATTGTCACGATCCAAAGAACGTCTGTTACGCTGGCGTCGAGGCAACTCTTCCTCGGTGGACATGATAATTGCCAAGCCGTCAACGCGGTACCCTTCACTGAAAGCTGGGGACACGAGAGAAGGGGCAATGCGTTTGCCATTGGTAGCGACGTCAAAGTCAACCCCAACGTAGGTCTTACCCCTACTCCACTGGGTAGCGACGAGGCAACCATCTGGAACCATCACCTTGAACCTGACGTGGCTTTTGTTGGGCTGTGCGGCAACCCATTCGAACTGTTGCTTGACTTCGTCCATATCAACTGAGTGGATTGCATCATGGATAACCTGTGCAACCTGCCAGAGTGCGCCCTTTTCGAGTAATTCATGCGATGCGGAAGTCGAGGGGCAGTGGACAGCATTTGGAAAGTAACGTGCAGGGAGCTTCAGACGTGTGGAGTCACGCATATCCATGGTCGTCCAGAAACCACGAAGTGGCTGTAGCGCGTCGAGGTCTAGTGTGGCTCCCTTGTCACGCAGAACCTGAACTCTGGCTTGATAAATCCGTTGGTAGAGATAGGCTGAGATGAGCTCGAATCTGGTGAACGTGGTCTGTCCCTGGGTGTTTGGGTCGGTTGCAGTATTTTTGAGTGCGACCAGATCTTGACCTTGGAAGCGCAAAGGACAAGTGTAGACAGATGGAGGGGCTGAGACCTCGGACATGGCCGTGATGTTTTCATCCAGGCAAAAGTCTGGGGGGGTTGAATGCAAGGGCTTTCTCCTTCTGGCTGGCCGATGGACTGTTCGTTCCTCGAAAGTGTGAGTAAATTTCGGGGGGAGAGATGAGTGTTGGCGGAGAAGAATCGCGCAATTGTTTGTAAATCTCAGCAAGATCGCGCACAAGCTGCATAAAACCAGTGGCATCGCAGACCTGATGATGAACCCGAATGCCCAGTGCGACCCCTCCGCAGCCAAATCGAGTGTGTTGAATTCCGAAGATAGGATTATGGGAGACAGCTCCCATTGTCGAATGAAAAATTGGAAGAAGTGCATTCCCAGAATCTGGCAGACGGATCACCAAGATACGGGCTGAGAGAGCAGACTCCGCGATACTTACGAGCCTTCTGGGGCACTGTGCCTCCCAAAGCTCAGCGCCAGCGCCCAGGCTACCAATCTCTGGAGCTAGGCTCTCTGCATTCTGCTGCAGACGACCAGTTAAATGCGGGTAATAGTCTAGAAGGTGTGATACAGCCAAATTCAAGCGTTCAACCGGAAGGAAGTTGTCGTCTGGAAGATTTGTCGGCTTTCTGTAGACGAGGATGGCTTCGATAGTCAACATGGCGGGTACGGTATGGTCCATCGGCCCTAGGCTGAAAGGGGACTCGAGTGCAGCGATTGTTGCCTCATTGGCGCAGTTAAGCGTATGCCGCGTAGAAACGCGGACTTGGTCGAGTACCATCGCTATGATTGGACGAAGCAGAGACAATGATAGCGGGATAATCAAGACGGATAAACCCGTAGAGCAGTTGACAAGGATGAGATATGACGAGGATCAAAGGTAACGAGGATGAAAGAGGATGAAGATAAGAGAGTGAAAGTTTGTACTGAATTAAAGCAAAATGGGTAATTGTCACTTCATCCCATCTTTGCCTACGTTGTTGGGATAATAGACCCGTTTGTTCCCCTGGGCCCTTCATATTAAGATAAAGGACTACAAGGGCACCCAGAGGGAAGCTGGCCACGGTGTATTCGACTCTGTAAACTGTGAAAGAAATACAAAAAGCGAATCAAAGAAACGCAACCCGGGGATAGTGTGAACACATTTCGAACAAAGAAGCGGACCCGTAGATGATATTTTTTACCTGCACAATGACGGTGGATTTTGTCGTCACGGGAACTAAATGACGTCCTATATGGCCATGTCAACTACATCCTCTACAAATATGTTCTGGATAATGTTGAACTAGTTTAGGATCTCAATCCCACGCTATAATCCTGATTTAGAAATACCTGCCATCGACCTAGGACACTCCCAGGGTATGAATACCCGCCTCTTCTCATTTCTCATTCCTCCTTCTTCCTTCATCAACACTCTGGGTCCCATTGCATAGCGTGGTTCCTGTTGATTACTTTCCAATTTTTCGACCTTTCTTCAGCCCCAGATTCATATTCAATCATATGTCTCATGTTGCCCAGTGAAGGGGTACCGGGTACACTGAGGGCACCCATTGGGTCTTTGATGCGGTTCAGTTGAGTCTGAAATTAGGGCCGAGGTCCTGGTCTAATGGCACGAAGCATGCCGGGCGGTCTAACAGGCGTCTCAAGAGTGTGATGACATTAGACGACGCACAGTTTTCGGTATCGGACAGGATCTGGGACCGACAAATCGACATTCTTATGCAAGGATTCATATCACTTGACGTTACTATTGGCGGGTCACCTGTAGTGTGGCCCTTTAGGGGTTAATGCACGAACATGAGGACATACTATCTGAGTGCTGGACTTCAGATTTTGATTCATGACATGTACACGTGGTGGATCCGAATGGCCAAGGACATGTGAAACGAGGGGGAAAGCGCATATGTACATGCAAGTATTGATCGACACTCGAGCACCAAAGCCAAGTACATACAACATACCATAGATATTCTTGATAAGAAGAGGCCATGACAAAGAAGATGATTGATCTAGCCCAGAGCCTTCAAAGGTTCCATCCGGATCTATTCTTAGTAATATGTATGGCATCACACTTCACACTGCACCACGGGGATTATACATCAAGGTCTGTCCACTGGTTTTCCTCAAAAGCGAGAGATAAACGACAATCTGGCCCGAAAAGACACTAAAAGCTTGGCAACGGGATAGTCAGTCTCATCTTAAATTCTCACAGTGAATTAGCAAAGGCTGATCGCGAAACTCGGCAAAAGGACGGATTAGCATCTAGACCCTTTTAGTACCATTCCTACCCCGCTGCAAAGCACTACAACAGAACCAACCAAGTCCCAAAAATAGTGGAGGAATGTGATGGAACAGAGGTACCAGCAGTAGTGCTGGATAGTCTACTTTGCATTCTGGGTCTCGTTGTGATATGTTATATCGTGCAGCGTTTGGACAGCACACTAACCTCGCAGTTTTTATTCACTACTCTTGATGCATCCACCATGATCAGCAAATCGGTTAATGGGAAACACCCATCTATCCTTGATTCTTTCAGATTTTCATGTGTCGACGCGTCACAACCCGCAAGCTTCATTTTCGCAGCGAAAAATGCCACGATTGCTCGCTTCAGTAGGGTAACGAACGTTAGAACCTCCCCTCACACAAAACACGTCCACCGCATATCTCGACTTTTCGAATTGCATATCTGCTGCAGATCCCTCCATATGTCTCGGAGCTCAGATATTGAAGCCAATAAGCATTGAGCAATATGTATTGAGTAATGCAAGTGGGGTGGAACAATCTTGGGAATTCCTGCAGATAGGCGGAATAAAACACCCAGCGGCCCGCCCGCCTTGGCAGCCTTGTGCATCTAGCCTATTGTAGCGCTACATAGTCCCACTTTTTTGACGGATAGAGTCGTCTTCAACGTTCACGCGAGACTAGATCATTCAAGCTCGAGTCATGTCCCTTGGCAGGCTGTTGTACTTCGCTCTATATCCAAATGGAACTAAAGCTCCGGAGCCAAGAGCCCAATGAGCTCGCTCAGCTATGGTCAATCCGCGTGCGCTACTATTTAGCATATGTGAAAAGTCCAACCGATGGCCGATCAACAGATTTACCCCGCCCGCTAAGGATGAAAACAGGCTGTAAGTCGTGGCCCTTCATACAAGGTGCCAGCTGATGTACATACACAGCTCAAGTACAAATATCGATACAACCCGGGCCGTTATGCTTGAGAATCCCAAGGTTTCTTATTTACAGCAAGCGACTGTAGCTATGGCACCAGTGTCTTTTGACCTCTTGCAGGTTCCCTTTTACGGCCTCGTGGCTGGGGCTGTGGTCATTACTTGGTCTTTAGCGAAAATCGTACGAACCTTTCAAAGTGTGTAACTTTTCCTCGTTGACAGTGAACCAAACACTCAGCCTAAAACCCCATTTAGGATGGAAGTACGCTCGTGAGAATGGATGCCAACCCCCAGCGCACTTTGTATCCCACGGCTTGTTCGGTATAGGCATGGGCATTGAACTAGCCAAAGCCGGCCCCGAGCACAGGTTTCTTGAACTTCTTCGCAGTTGGCATCAAACCTACGGCACGACATTCAGAGCGAAAATCGCCAATCGAAATATTATTTTCACCGTCGACCCACAGAACATTCAAACAGCCCTCGCGTTGAAATTCAAAGACTTCGGGGTGGGTTCAGGTCGAATAGATGCACTCCGCCCACTCATGGGCAAGGGCATTTTCGGCGTAGACGGCCCCGAGTGGGAACATTCACGGGCTCTCCTCCGGCCTAACTTCTCACGCACTCGGATTAATGACACCGAATTATATGAGACTCACGTGGCCGAGCTCATCGGGCAGATTCCGCGCGACGGGTCAACCATTGATTTACGCCCGCTGTTTTTCAAGGGGGTACGTTGTCAGTCTAGATATCCCGTAAAGTATAAGACTGACTGAAAGCAGACTCTCGACACCGCGACCGAATTTCTGTTCGGAGAGTCCGCTCATTCGCTGCGCACAGAAGGATCTTCTGCAGGAAATGAATTTGCGAAAGCCTTTGACTTAGCTCAATTAGTCGCTTCCATGCGGTTCCGACTTGGACTTTTTGGGAGATTCTACCGTAGGAACGAATTCACCAAAGCCATTCGAGATACCCGCGCCTATGTCGAAAGGTTTGTGCAAAAGACTATCGATTACCGTGTCGCAGCCAACAGCGGACGAGAAGTTGATCAAGACATCAAGCGGTTGACTGAGAGTCGATACGTGTTCTCTTACGAGCTGTCGAAGCAAACACTTGACAAGACCAACATAACAGACCAGATATTGAGTATTATGTTTGCTGGTCGCGATACCACTGCCAGTCTACTAAGCATTGTGTTCTTCATCTTGGCCAGACATCCTGATGTGTGGAACAAACTTCGGAAAGAAGTGCTCACTTTAGATGGAGGAAAGCCATCATTCGACGATCTCAAATCAATGACTTACCTGACCTGGGTTCTGAATGAGAGTAAGCAACTCTACCACCATCTCTGACTATGCAGTCTGCTAAATAAACTATAGCTCTGCGCATGTATCCAATCGCACCCTTCAATATACGCGAGGCCAACAGAGACACATATCTTCCCGTCGGCGGGGGGCCGGATGGAAAGTCTCCTGTTCACGTACCCAAGGGTCACGAGGTTATCTACACCGTGTACACAATGCACCGCGAAAATGAAGTCTACGGACCGGATCCGGATGAATTCCGCCCTGAGAGGTGGGAAAAGCTCAGGCCAGGTTGGGCGTACCTCCCTTTCAATGGAGGTCCTCGGATCTGCATAGGGCAACAGTTCGCATTGACGGAGGCTGGATACACTATTACTAGAATTATGCAACAGTTCGAGTCAATCGAAAATCGGGATCCGAATCCCTGGACGGAGGATTTTGGGTTGACGTTGTCGAACGCTAACGGAACAAAGGTTGCTTTGACCCCTGTTCAGAATTGACCTGGACATACGCACTTGGTCCCATCTCAATATTGAACTTTTACAATTTGTCAATATCCTTGCACCTTGAATTGAACGTTATGTTGTTCTAGTATCAGAATCACAAGGCTGCGTGCTCCCGCGCTTGTATATGAGGTGCTTCGTAGTCCACTTCTGTCTGCCTCCTTTGGGTGGCTTTTTGAAGGTCTTTGTCATAATAGTAGTTTAAAACTGTGGAATACAACACGTACACCCGGCCATTGTTTTCATAATAAGTGGTTTAATCGGTATATGTGTTCATACACGTGCCGGATTTTTCGGGTTCTCTCCTATCCCTTTTACGATGTGGCCGCCTTATCCGCGTGCGAACTCTTGATTTCCTGCCAACTGTGAATATGGTAATAAATTGTTGTTTTGACTTTTGGTGGCTTGGGCCAGACTGTGGAGAATTAAATCTCTTTCCCAACCATTAGGGTGGAAAGCAGCTTCCTAGTGAAACATTTTTAACGGGCCCCAACTTGCTCTAGCGCTATCCAATCATATAGACACATAATAGATAATATTGCTGCCTTGACCGCCATGCTCCGATACTATCGTGTCTAGGAAAGAAAAACCAGAAGAAAAAAAGCCCCTCCAGACTTTTCCATTATAACCGAGACAAAGGTCTCTAACGCCGAAAATAAGAATAGCCTTATCAGGTCCTTGGCCTCTGGAACACAGAGAAGCACAATTTAAATAGGTAGACGCTTGATGAATAGGGTTAAGAGTGAATCAGACCTAACGCATGCCCATCTTTCGGCATTTGGAGTTCTAATCCATGCCTAGAAAGCTTATGCGTGTAGCCAAGCTTTCCCCCAACGGAACCCGCGGGAGCCAAACTTTCTATTAAAATTTTATCTGATCGAATTTATCTGATTGTATGGGAATATTTATCAGATCGTAAGATTTAGAAGTTATCTGATCATACAATTTATCTGATCACGCCACTCGGATGGACGCCTTGCAGCTGACCCCCACCCTAATCCATGGATATTTTACTAAGGCTGAGCTATCTGAGACCCGAGGTCGGCAACTCCCTCGGGATAATTTTCTGCATATGGAGTACTGCTGCAGGGGTTAAGCATTAGTTGTATTAGAGGACTCCACCCTCGCTTACACGACCGGAAAAGGTCTAAATTTTGATACATACCCGAGAGAGAGAGTTTAAAGAAGATCTGCGCCCCTCCAACCATTCATTCTGGCTTATATCGATCTTGTAGGCTTCATCGACCTACCTGACGCTTCCAGCCGCCATGGATACGGAGAACATGGACACCATCAAAGGGGCCACTACGGAGCGCCCGCAGCCATTGAACACGGAGGAATCAGAGATTCCAGACGACAAGATTCAGCAAGATGGTGTTCAGGTTGCCGACGCGGTCACAACTACATGGTCTCGCAAGCATCTAATCATTGCTTATACTAGGTGAGAAAACTTACTCCAATACTCTTCTCTGGAATGTCCGATTTAATGCAAACATAGTATGTGGCTGGTGTATTTCGTCAACAATCTCAACAGCAGTCTCACCGCAAACCTCTCCGCTTATATTACGAGTGGCTTTTCCGAGCATTCGCTGCTCACTGTGATAACAGTGGTAACCAGCGTTATGGGTGCTGCATGCTTGATGCCCATCGCCAAAGTCCTGAACCTGTTTGATCGAACTGTTGGATTCGTGATCATGATTTTGATTGCAATTATGGGTCTGATCATGATGGCTGCTTGTAACAATATTGCGACATACTGTGCTGCACAGGTATGTTTCTATATTATCCATACCCTTCACAGCTAGGTCGAAGTCGCTAATTAGTCAAGGCATTTTATACTGTTGGATTCACTGGTGCCATTTTCTGCATTGATGTGATTACTTCAGACACCTCATCGCTTCGTGATCGAGGCCTTGCTTATGCTTTTACCTCCTCTCCTAGCATGATCACAGCCTTCGCTGGCTCCCCTTTGTCAAATCAATTCCACGAAACCAATTGGCGATGGGCGTATGGGACAATTTGCATCATTCTCCCTATCGCTGCGCTTCCCTTGATTTTAACCTGGGAAATGGCCAAGCGAAAGGCTGACAAGAATGGTCAATTGCACTTCAAGGAGAAGACAGCACGATCCTGGATAGGAAGCATTTGGTACTACGCCATGGAATTCGATGGTTGGTTAATATCTCAAACATTTCTTACATCTTTGCTAACCCCTATTTGCGGTGCGCAGTCCTCGGAATCTTCTTGATGATAGGCGGCACGATTCTTTTCCTGACATCTTTCAATATCGCTGGCAACACCGAAGGCCAATGGCAGTCGCCTAAGATCATTGCTATGATGGTTGTGGGATTCTGTGTTCTCGTGGCATTTGTCTGTTACGAGCGATGGGTGGCTCCGAAGCCTTTCATTCCATTCTACCTAATCACCGACCGCACTGTCATTGGCGCTTGTCTACTCGATATTACCTACCAGGTGTCTTACTATTGCTGGGCCAGCTACTTCACCTCCTACCTCCAAGTCGTCTACAACACAAGCCTGACGCAGGCCGGTTACATCAGCGCCATCTTCGATTTCATGGACCCAGTTTGGCTCATTGGATGTGGTTTCCTCATCCGACACACCGGTCGCTTCAAGTGGCTCCTCTGCGCCGCCCTGCCTCTTTATCTCCTGGCAAGCGGCCTGATGATCTACTTCCGCCAACCAGGTCATAACGTAGGATATATGTGCATGTGCCAAATCTTCCTCGCAGTTGGTGGCGGAACATTTATTCTGATCGAGCAGGTTGCTGTTCTTGCCGCGGCGTCACATGAAGACTATGCCGCCATGCTGGCACTTCTCAGCACGTTTGGAAACATCGGTGGCGCGGTCGGCAGTAGTGTTTCCGGCGCTATCTGGACCAACACACTTCCTGGCAAGCTACGCGAGAATCTGCCAGCTGAGTTGAAGGACCAGTGGGAGACGATATACGAGTCCTTGGACGAACAGCTCAGTTATCCGGTTGGTTCGCCTGCTCGCACTGCTATCCAGAATGCGTATGCATTCAGCCAGCGAAACATGATGATTGCCGGTACAGCGGTGATGGGACTTTCTATTGCCTGGGTGCTTATGATGAGGAACATCAAAGTCCACTCTAACAAGGATCTTTCCAAGGTGCTTTTCTAGATGGGTGGCTAAATAGCAAGGGCGTGGGAGGATATACGTAGACTGGTTCAGAAAAGAGACATCTTTCCTCAACCTGGTGACCAAGGCGATTGTTGTAAAGTCGGTGCAGAGCAGGATTAAGACCACTAGGCAAATAGAAGATAGAACACCTTCAAGGAGTGAAGTGTTGCAGGGTCAACTCTATTGACAGAATGAAAAATAATAATATATCAGCTTAGAGCGGTGACATCCCTGCGCTATTTGACAATGTCCCCTAAATAATAAAGCAAGTGAAGACTTTTGTATCGTAACAAAAACTGACAAAGAAGCATGACCTTTCGATATCCATACACCATAGCTCCAACCGTAACCCCGATACACACTGCCAGATTCAGAGATTAGTTCACAGCAGGTATCAAACGATTTCGCGGTGAACATTCCGGATATGTGCAACCAAGTTGTCCTTCCGGTTGAACGACTTCTGGCACTCTTCCTGGGGGCATTCGTATAGTCCTGGCGAGATGTGCTTTGTTTTGATATGGCGTAGCAGGGCTCCCATTTGAGAAAATCCACCTGAGTATTCGCAGTGCTTCCATTTGCACTTCAGTGGACTGCCACGTCTAGATCTATCCAAGATGAATGTTAGACCACATCTGAAAAGGATATTCCGCGGGAGTAGAGAGTTACTCTAAAAGGAACATACTTAACACCCGTCGAGACTTTGCCATAAGACGTAGGCCTCTGAAGACTATCATCTGCGACAGTAGCCGGTCCTTTCTCTTCGTCCGCAGTGGAGGCAATTGTAGAAGTGATGTCAGACATCCCGTCGTGGAGGTCAAGGCTCGGAGTATCGACAGCAGAGGCATCATCGTCCGGCGGGGAGCCCTTATCGTATTGGACATTCGTGATTTCATGGAGAGCGCCGGCTGAGGCAGAAGTCGCAAGGTCAGGGGCAAGGGGAGCGGAGGGAGGTTCGAGAAAATGGTCGTATGGAAAATCGTCGACAAGAGGGGGCCAGTGGTCAGAAAAGATACAGTAGAACGGGGGATCACTTTCGTTCCACTGATCTCCTCCTTCTTGTTCGAGGTATGACAAGCCATCTTCAACTGGTTCTGTCATGGTGTAGATCATAGTTCGCAGGAGCGTAAGAGACTAAGCTTAACGAGTATCATGTAAAACGAGAATGATGAGGGCTACCCACGCAGAAATGCGGGGAAACCCCTGGGGGATCTACGGCTTATATACTGTAGGGTTAGCCATGACCTACCTACCTGGGTGCCTTGAGAGGCATTTTGACAGAGTTTTCATATATCCCAGTGTACCCCAGCGCCACACGTCACCATGATTGGCGATTTTTGCAGAAATTTTCAAAGGGGGCAGCTCGAGCAGTGGCGCAGGCATGATCTGGAAATTCTGCATTCTTGAGATGTGACTGGATGCGCACCTTCAGGGCTTGTTCGGATGCCTTGAAAACGGCTTACGTGAAGAAGAGCCCATTGCCTCCAATTGGCCTGACAGCTACGAACTGTGGCTATGATTGTCCATTAGTTGGGAAAATCGAAATCTGACAAGGAGGATTTCCTTCGTATGGCCCGAGCTTTTCCTTTCTTTTCTTTTTTGATCGCACCCCGCGCCTGGAAGATTTTGCCCATGTCATCATCCAGGCGCAGTATGATAAGGCCTTCTCTGGCCAACCAAGTCGCTGGTTTGTTATGAAGGGACAACAAGATGCAAAGAAGAAGCGTTCATTATAATGTGTTATTGAACAAAAAGCCGAAAACAGGAACACATCAGGGAGGTGAGATGAGATGTCGAAGGCAAAGTCTAACCACTTTAGGCGGTAATCTGGCCTGAGGCCAACTTTCTGACGAGTGAGTCAAAACGGCCCTGAAAGGCATCGACGCATTATTTTCCGGTGCTTCAGGGACTAGAATCTATTAGAATTTACTTCGAATGAGAAGTTATGAAGAATAAAGATCATATAATTACAAGTTGGACACTCGGATAAACTTGAGCATAGCCATATGAGATTATATATATCAGCCAACTGGTGGCAGTGCAATATTGTGCCCAGGTGCTCTGCATATATTGCGGTCGAAGTTTCACCCGCAGTTCGACCGATGTAATACCAAAAGTTCCACTTTTGGTTTCGAGGGGGATCATCATAGGTCAACAAGCGCGCATATGAACACATCTAGTTCTCGTACTTCAGCATAGTTTCCTCGAGAAAGTCTGGTCTAGGGAATTTTTGTTGCCGGTAACTCCCCAAGCACAGGTTTGGACTGCATAGATGATGATTGGATCAATTGCGAGGGCTATTATCTACCCTTCCACCTATATAGGGATTAATAGGAAATAGTGAGGCTAGCATAGTATAACCCACTAACGAACCTCGAAGGGCAGACTAAGAAATGATAAGAAATGGTATAATTTTTTATACTCCATTGATATAAGAAGATATAAACTACCGTTTTTTCCTCCCCCGATAAGGACTAGCCTAGATGTGTCCGCCCTATTGCCTAGAACTTAGTCTTAGCATTTTAAGGCTTTTAGCTAGCTACTTAAGGCTCTTAAGCAACGCTTGCCAATCAGTAAGATGTGGGCCTCGATTTTACATGAGGATTGCCTAACTAGGTGGATCGAAGTTGGTTGACTTTTTGCCTGGCATGGGCTGTTGCTGTATATTTTCACAGTTTGTATTGCAGGCCAATTACTTTCAATCTTCTGACTAGAAGAGGAAGAAGATAAGAAGAGCTATAACGAATAAAAAGAATAACAAAAATTGCATGTCACGATGGCCCCAAAATACTCCTGGCCCGGTGGAATGTCTCCACGGAATCACTTTCCTATCCTGGTGCGCGGGGATGTATATTAAACTCCAAGGTCTCCTCGTGGCTGTCCAACTTGAAATATTTCCAACTAATTTCAAAAATGACACAGATCTTCCTGTTAGTGGTTCTCGTTTCCTTATAGAGCATTCATTCATGTTTTGCTAACTGGTAACTCAAATTCTAGTACCGGCGCCACGGGCTACATCGGAGGCGAAGTCCTCCACGCTTTGCAACATGCGCATCCTGATTACGAGGTCGCCACCTTGATCAGAGATAAGGAAAAAGCCAGCAAGGTTTTGGGTACATTTCCTAAGGTCCGTGTGGTCCTTGCGGACTTGGACAATGTCGATATCATTGAAGAAGAATCGCGCAAAGCCAATATTGTCATCCGTGAGTCACTTTACGTCCAATAGTGGCAGCACCTATCACTAAATTTCTCCATTTAGATGCTGCTAGCAACAAGCATATCGCAAGCGTGAAAGCGATCGCAAATGGCTTGGCGGGGCGTCAGAATGGTACGCCATCTACTACTGCAATAACTTCTTTCGGTTTGCTCGCTAATTGAAGCAAAACTGCAGCCCATTACATTCAAGTTACCGGGGCTAGCGTTTTAGCAGGTCCGGAGGTTGATAACAACTCATACGGCGAGCCCTCGGATCAAATCATTGATGATTTGGATAATGCTACTGATCTCCGGGATATAATTCGGGCGTACAAAGATCGTCGAGTGGTGGATAATTACATTCTCGACTTGGGATCAAGTGGCCCCAAAACTGCCATAATTTTCCCTCCCATTATATTTGGCATTGGTAAAGGTCCTGTCAAGCAACGCAGCGTCCAGGTTCCCTCATTGGCCCGGGCCACTCTCCTGCAACGTGTTAGTCTATACCTTGGCAGGGGACTAAGTCGATGGGGAATTGTTCATGTCTCTGAATTGGCTGATCTCTTTGTCAAATTGGTGGAGAACGCTGTCGACGCCACCCCCAGTCCTATCTGGAATGAGAACGGCCTTTTCTTTGCGGAAAAGGGCTTCGAGGTTGGTTCATGGCCTAATATATTCCAACTTATCCACGCTGACCCTTTCTCCTTCTTTCAGAGCTTCAAAGATGTCGCTTCAGTGATCGCCAAAGAGGCGTATAGCCTCGGTTACATTGATTCGCCTGATTCAGTGAAATCCATGAATCTCGAAGAGTCCAACCTAGTGATACCCAATGGAAGTGTCTTCCTAGGTACAAATGGCCAAGGCCGAGCTTCACGAGCAAAAAAGCTATTGGGATGGCAACCGGATGGCGAGAGCTTCCAAAGCGCCGTGCGGGAGACAATCATTGCTGAAGCGGCACAGCTGTGATCAGTGTCAAGGAGCCATTGCAAGCCAATGTGCGATTTGTAACCCGTATTTCTCGGTCCGAGAATCCTTATTCAATTCATCCCGTTCATTTTACATTCTTTGCGTGGAATCTGGTCGTTCCTGGTAGTCATAGTGTAATCTTAGGGCTTCTGTGCACACGGGACTATATATATTCTATGCGCTCAAAAGCTTCGCGAAAATACGGGAATCACATACGATCTGTGTCGAATTATCCATGGACTATGATCTGAATTCCGCCCAGGTGTTGGACATAACTGATAAATGGCACTTGGCACCGAGCAGGAGGGGATTGGATCAATTGAAAGCAACCACGAGCCACCAGGCTAAATGTCACCAGTGTTAATCCTCCCCGCTTCAACTTTAAATTAAGCGTATCTGATTATTAGAAAGAAATTGATACATTTTTTTTTAAAAAAAAAAACAGCGAACAAAATTCATCTGACGGATTTAAAAACCTGGGCATATTAGTCGGTGCCGCCCCGCCGCCTGTCTGACCGCCTCCAAATTTGCCGGACTTTACTTTTTTTCCTTTACGATTTTTATCACCGCCAAGCAGCCCTCTTTCTCATCCCAATACATTGTTTTCTTTGTCTCTTCTCCACCTCGTCGTCCGCAATAATCATGGCGACTCTGGCGGAGAAGCTTGAGAAGATTAAGTCTCCCAAGCTGCAGAACCAGCATCACGTAAGTTTTCCCTCTACACACCCAATCAATTGACACTATATTGATCCATGAACAGACCGCTGTGGTGCTCTCTGCAGTTGAGGATACTCTCCGTGATCAAAAGGCAGACTTCTCACCAACAGCTTATTTTGCCGCTCTTCTTGCACTGCTCTCGCAGTCACTCTCCGCATCCCAGGGCATTGTCAACAAGGACCTAGCGACATCTGTTGTCTACCTTCTCGACATCACAACCGTTTACGTCCCCGCCCCAATCCTCTGCGCCAAATTCTCTCAGATCCTCGAAGGCCTTGCACCCGCACTCTCTCTCCCCGAGGTTGAAGCCCCTCTCCTGCGTCCTTCCATTGGCTGTCTTGAGTCTCTTCTCATTGCCCAGGATGCTGCATCATGGAATCTCCCCCACACACAGGTCGGCCCGCGACGCGCAATGGCAGGTCTGCTGAGCCTGTCCGTTGACCACCGGCCCAAGGTGCGGAAGCGTGCCCAGGAAGCTCTTGTCAAGGTTCTCAAGGCGCCCCCGCCGAGCCCGTCTTTGGACCACCCAGGTGCAGATATGTGCGCTCAGTCTGCTATGAAGACTCTGGGCGATAGCATCGCAGCCGCTCACAAGCAGAAGAAGGGTCGCCACGATGCCCAGGCCAACAACCACGAGCCCCTTGTCATTCACTCGTTGCAGCTAGTCAAGACCATTGCCGCGGCCTCGGGTGGCTGGCCCAGCAAGAAGATCGAACCCCTCAGCGAACTTCTGATGAACGCTTCCCGCTCTAGCAATGAGTACATCACCATGGGTGCCTTCGAGGTATTTGAAGTCATTTTCGAGGGGATGGCTGATGAGTTTTCATCCTCAAAGCTGCCCCGTCTTTTGGATGCTATCTCCGAACTCAAGCCTGCACAGAATGACTCCCAGCTTCTCCCGCCTTGGATTGCAGTGCTCTCACGTGGTTACGATGTGGCCGCACAAATCACTCCGGAGGATACTTTCGAGAAGTTGCCGGATCTGTTCACCTTGATTTCCGGATTCATGGCTTCGCCTTCCAGCAACATCCGCGTTTCCGCGTCTGAGTGTCTGATCTCATTCCTGCATAACTGTATCCCCAACAGTGTTATTGTGGACCCATCTGTCTATGATGAGAAGACATTGGAGAAGTTGTCTCGCGCAGCCGATGACCTCCTGTCGGTGAAGTACCAGGCTGCTTGGAAAGAGGTGTTCAATGTTTGCTCCGCCCTGTTCGATTGCTTCAAGTGGCGATCAAGCCCATATCTTGACAAGATTGTCTCCACAATCGGTGAACTGCGCAGCAATGGCAGCTTCCACGGCAAGAAGGAAGCCGATGCCGTTCTCGGTAGTGCCATCGAGGCAATGGGCCCCGAGGCAGTGTTGGAGATTCTTCCCCTCAACATTATCGAGCAGAAGGCTGGTCAACCCGGTCGTGTCTGGATGCTGCCCATTATGCGCGACAGCGTGACCAACACGAACCTTCGCCACTTCCGTACCGAACTCGTTCCCCTGAGTGAGGCACTGTACCAGAAGGTGGTGAACTTCGGTGCCGCTGAGAAGTCCGTGGAAGTGAAGATCTTCGAAACCCTCGTCCAACAGACCTGGGGTACCCTTCCCGGCTACTGCGAGCTGCCGCTTGATCTTGAGGAGGCATTTGACCAGACGTTCGCTGAGCTGCTGTCTAATGTTCTGTATAAGCAGACTGAGTTGCGTGTCGATGTCTGCCGTGCTTTGCAGAACCTGGTTGAGTCTAACCAGGCTATCCTGTCTGTCGAAAATGATGAGGATGATCTGATCTTGCAGCGACGTATCACTAAGGTCGCTGCACAGAAGAACCTCACTCATCTCGCTGGTCTTGCGAGCAATCTGCTGGCTGTTTTGTTCAACGTCTACAGCCAGACCCTTCCCCACTACCGCGGCTACATTCTGCAGTGTATCAATGCGTACTTGAGCATTACCCCTGAAAATGTAAGTTCCCACGTCAGTTTTGTATACAGATAAGCATGGATTAACACCCTTCATAGGAGCTGAACGACACTTTCAACCGCGTTACTTCAATGCTTGAGTCTTCTTTGGCTACCGAGCAAGAGGCAGCAACCAAACAGGGTGCTCAGGCTCAGGGCTCGTCCGACAAGATGCCACCGACGTCCCACACCCTGATTGACCTTGTCATCGCTATGTCAATCTACCTCCCTCGCTCCAGCTTCAGTGGCTTGTTTGCCATGGCAGCAGCTATCCTCAACAGCTCGTCTCCAAACCCGGATCAGCAACTCATCAAGAAGGCCTACAAGTTGATTCCCCGGCTTGCAACGACCGAGACTGGTAGTGCCGCCCTCCAGGAGCGTAGTGGAGAGTTGCAGGCGCTCATGCTTGCCACCACGGATACCACCCCTGCGTCTGGCCGTCGCGACCGTATGCTCGCTATCACTGAGATTATCAACCACCTGCCCACCTCGGATCTGCACTTCATCCCGGCAATTCTGTCTGAGGTGGTTCTCGGCTGCAAGGAGAGCAACGAAAAGGCACGCACAGCGGCCTTTGACCTCCTGATTCTTCTGGCCAAGCGCACAATCGATTCAGAGCGTAACCCTCCCGGCACTGTCATCCGCAGATCCCTTGTGCCAGGTGTGGCGGACGATTCCCCGGATGCCCCCGCTACCCTCGAGGAGTTCTTCACAATGGTCTCAGCCGGTCTGGCTGGCTCGGCTCCTCACATGGTGGGCGCCACTGTCACTGCGCTTTCGCGCCTGTTCTTCGACTTCCAAACACAGCTTCAGCCTGAGATGCTCAAGGAACTCGTTGAGACAGTTGAACTCTTCCTTACCTCCAACAACCGTGAGATCGTCCGCTCTGTCCTTGGCTTTGTCAAGGTTGCAGTTGTTGTTCTCCCCGACGAGACCCTGCGCCCCCGTCTGAGCACCATGGTCCCCAGCCTCATGGCCTGGAACAAGGAGCACAAGGGCCGTCTCCGTAGCAAGGTGAAGGGCATCATCGACCGCCTCGTTCGCCGATTCGGTGCTCCCCTCTTGGAGGCTATTGTCGGCGAGGAAGACCGCAAGCTTATAGTCAACATCCGTAAAGCCCGTGAGCGCAGCAAGCGCAAGAAGAAGGAGGGCGCCGAAGGCGAAGACGAAGACGAAGAGGAGAAGGCTTCTAAGCCCCAATCCGGCAATGCCTTCGACAAGGCCGTTTACGGCTCTGACTCTGACTCTTCCGACAACTCAGACGACGGCGACAGCGACGTTGACGTCGATGACGTGGCTCAAATCAAGGGCCGCAACTCCAAGAAAAAAGCAGGCCAAAGCACCCAGTATATCCGCGAGATGTCCCCCGAAGACAATCCTCTCGATCTGCTCGGCTCCAACGCTCTGGCCAGCATCTCCACCACCAAGCCTAGCCAGCGCTTCCTTAACACGGGCCCCGGCTCGAAGAAGAAGCAGCGCGCCGCCAAAGTCGACGCTGATGGCCGTCTTGTCCTCGGTGATGATGGGGATGTCGTCGCTGATGACGTCGAAATGTCCGGTGCTGGTGACGGTGGCGTCAACGCCTACCTCGCTGCAGTTAGCGGACCCGACGCCGTCCGTCGTGGCCAGAGAGGCAAGGTGAAGATGGGCCAGTCGTCAAAGAAGAATGCTGGCGATAGCATGGATGTCGATGAAGATGACCTGAAGCAGGACCTGCGCGCTTCTGGATCTGGTCAGAGCTCTGGTCGTCGTGGTCTTGGTGCGCCCAAGACTTCCGGTGCGCCTGGCGGTGGCCGCATTGAGAAGCGTCGCAATCCAGGCCACGCTCCTCGGGGTGGTAACCGCTCAGGATGGGGCAAGAAGAGATAAACTATTTACTTTACAGTAAGTCGTATCTCTTTTTTTGCCTTGTCTGCTGGGCTTGGGTACTGTGGGTGGAGAGAGAAGGAGTGGCATCTAGCAGATCCCGGAGTTATCGTTCTGAGTTCTCTGTTTTTGATTTCTTATTTTTTTGTTTCTGCCATCTGGTCTTCGGTCCCTGTCGTGCTTGGTTAGTGTTGACGTTTTCTGATAATACCCTCCGCTGTGGTGATTCCGTTGACTCTGGGCCTTTTTCTGTTTCAATGCAGAGTTATCTGACTCCGTGTTTTTCATGATATGATTACGATTCTGTTCAAAAGTTTCTCTTATGTTCAATGGACATACATATTGTTTTGCTCTTGGTGTAAAATGTACGTACATATAGCCTACAGACTATGCATATCCGATGACTAGCCTTTTTATATTTGATAAAACTAGTCTCGCTACATCGCTAGGGCGAATTATCCATTACTAGAGTCTCCAATGATCCAACTACAGCCAAATACCCAGAAACCCAAATGCAGTGTGAATTTTATCATATTCTCATTTGCAAAGCAGTTTATCATGCAAAAAAGAAAAAAAAAAATTTGTATCGAACATATCAATCAGAACTTCATGAACGCGAGCCAGCCAACCAGGCAGCTCAGCAGCATTTCCCACAGCCCCCATCACTCGCCCAGAGAAGTAGATGTAGAGTGCGACGCAAAAGGAACAAATAACAAAAAAGCTCGCGAGCTCAAGACCAGACGATCCTCACATCCATCACGCCATAGCGTCGACAGCTTCCTCGCAGTATACAGCAGATAGTAGTAGCCTACTGCTCTGCCGAGCATCCGAATCCAGCCAAAACTCCATTGTCGATGCAATTCCAAATAATCACAATCCGCCACGGCGCAGAAATCGACACCGTCGCTCATCAGGAGGTTATCGACCGGTCTGTTCTGTCGCCCCTTCGTTCATTTTCAACACTCAGTCTTCAATGCAGGTATCAAATATCAAATACCACACCCGGGAAATAGGGCAAGCGATAAGTCAACAGACCAGAGTCTGGTCTAGCACGCACTGACCCCAACAGACCAATCACACCTGGGCACAACAAGTAGGCAATGATAATAATTAGAACAGAATCTCCCCACTGTGTTCGGGCTCGAAACCGAGCGCTTGGAGCTCATCGTAGCGCTTCTTATCGCCCATTTTCCGCTTCGCGTCCTCCTTCTTCTTCAGCTCGAAGACTTCTTCGAACGGAGCTCTAGTCAGTGTGGGCGGGATATCGTCTTCGCGGTCGAGGTCCTATCAATTGAGAATGCGTTAGCGGAATCCTCTGCTAGAATACCTTGCATCTTGAACAGGGCAATTCCCGTAACCTTGCAGCACGGAATTGAGAGTTGAGGAATTGATCATACCACTTCGCCTAGCAGGAGCACATTCTCTCCACGGACAATGAAGATCCCGCGCGGGACATCGGCGTACAGTTGTCCGGCATAGATGCGCTCTACGGTATCCTGAAAAACAAGGTTTGCTGCGAGAATCGAATATCAGATAAAATGGCCAGAGAGACGGGGGTTGAGTGCGACTGGCGTACCGAACTGATCCCAGCTTCGGAGGACGCCGATGAGTTTGCGGCCGTCGCGGAGGATGAGGACGAGTTTCTCTGCGATTGCGTTAGGCATATTCTTCTATCCTCCCCTCTTTCTGGTAATGGGTCGCTTTGAGCGCATCTGCGTAGACATACTATCTGTTAGGTCGAGCAGCTGTGCGGCGGTCGTGAACATCTGCGGGGGTAATTGCGGTGGGCCGCCTGTTGGCTGGGGGCCTGCTGGGCCGAGAGCATTCTGGGAGAATTGTTGATTTTGCTGCGGGGTTCGAGGGGCCGGGGCAGGGCTTTCGTTTAGAGATAGGCGCTCCATCGTGCGGTGTCTGATCTTGTTGGATTGGCGGGGAGGAGAAATTCGGAAAGCGGTGGGGAGGGGTAGGTAGGGGGTAGCGGCTTAGAGGACGCTGATGCAGAGAGATTCAGGAATTTGATGTGGACGTTCTCATTCTGTTTCTTTGGATCATCGCGATGGAGGATCGAGGTCGCAAAGGCCGTCATCAAGGGCGGTGAGTTTGTCCTGTTTGCTCGGGATCTATACATTTTGGTTTTTGATATTCCTCTCTCAGAAGACACACAGATACTCCATGCAGGAAACAAATACACTTTTAGTTCTAAAGGCCTCAAGAAAAGTACATGCTATACAGAAGCGAAAGGGGGAATATCCAAAAAGAAAAAAAAAAACCAAAACCTCGGACCAGAAGCCAACAGAAAGCGTCTATATCTACAAAACCCCGACACCCCTCTGCTGCCCCCTCATCCTCTCTTCCCGCCTTTTACTATACGGTGCACAGTATGGCTCATCAGCAGAACCGATACTAGCCCTAACACCATCCTGTGAGCGATGATAAGCCGGACTCGACGGTGCGGGCGGCAACTGCATAGCCTTAAACTGCGCATCCGTGATAATCCGCATCCCATAAAGATACCGCATAAGCTCAAAATCCGGCCGACTCCCAGCAAGCGTCTGGCCAAGACAGTAGTGGTCCGCAGCGACATGGTCCAGCATACGATCCCATGCAGAGGGGACGTCTCTCAGCGGGGCTCGGACAGCGTCGTCGATAGAGCGGATCGACTCGCCATCCTCGAAAACAGGCGACGACACAGGGTCCGAGATACCATCGACAAACTTTGTATTCGGACACAGCGGACACCGCGCTGAGGGCGGCGTCGGGTGCGAGCGAAAGTGGCTGAAGACGTGAGTGCGCCACTCTGCGCCGTCGTCGAAGGACTCGTAGCAGTCCAGCATGTGGAAGAGGCATGCGTATGTGCGCTGCTCTATGCTGGCTGTTAGGGATACGGGTATTGATGGTGTCGCAGATGATATAGAGGCTTCTGCGGTGGTGTCCCAGGAGGAGAGCGAGGCGCGCGATAAATGGGGCTCTGGGGCGCTGTCGGTTGTGATTAACGGTATCATGTCACTGAGAACGTAGATTCCATCTGTGCTGCTATCTCCATGTGCGGATTCCACGCCGGTCCCGGGCCTGGTATCAACTGATGATATTGACGGCGACGGCGATGCGCTAGACAAGTCCGGCATGGCGGGCGAAGACGACATGGTGACAACGACACCCGGTTGTTTTTTCTTGTTGGGCTGCTTTTGCGACACGGCGGGGGTCCTACTTGAAGCCGTGCTGTTGCTGGCGGTCGAACTCACGCTGATACTGACACTGCGGGTGGAAGACGATCGGCGATGATCTCCATCTCTATGGCGGTCTCTATTCGAGCGTGAAACCAGAGGCCGATCGAAATCGCCCTGGTGAGGGTCATCGGGGCTTTGGGGCTTGCGCTCCGACATGCTCCGCGATGCAAAAGATGGGGGATGTCTATTGCGCGGGATGGGTACGGCTAGATCTCGTCAGAGTCGGGTTACCGGGGCTTACATAGCAATAGTAATAGCACCTGGTAGAGGTATAGGTATAGGACAGGAGGGAAGGCAGAGAGGGAAGTAATACGGATGAGGGGAACGGGATACAGCGGGAAATACATACCAGCAGATCCGATATCAGATCAACAGGACACCTTCAGATCTGCACTTTTGTCAGCATGCATGACATCTATGAGCCGTTTTCTGCGCATACGATGTAGGTAAGGCTATGCCATCTCTGAATGGGCTAAAGTGGGGGGTGCTTAAGGACTTTTGGAATTTTCCCTCTAAATCTTAAGGCGGGGCATTTGGGGCTAGTTGGGTTATAAGGGATTTAGATCGATTATATTATAACCCTGGAAACCAGAATTATGTATGTTTTCTTTTACGTTCTCTTTGTTGAGAAAGGTCTGGGATACAATGCACAGGCACGGTTATCTGCAGGTTTTCGTTGGATAGGGCAGTTTTACTCTAATTATACTCGATAGTATTTAGTTATTCAATATTAAAAGACATGTTCGTAGTCTCGACTTTAGTAATTAGAACAACAACATCGATACATCGGTGTATGTACCTATCTCCGTTTGTATAGTAAAAGATATAAAATAGACTTCTCTCGCTTCCACAGCCTAGTCAGTACAGAGTACATTCCTTACACATTAGGTCACTGGGCATGTTCTGGACAAAGCACTTCCATTTGACATGTGAATATATATCATTTTGTTGATCCTATTCTTAGATGTATGGAATATGAGTTGTAACACTGTTTCAGATTCGATCTCAAAGAATCACCTACATGTAGGTATACTAGGTACATGTAGGCTATGTATGGTGTACGGCATAAATTATAGGTGCGCCGATTCAACTACACTGCCAAACCAGGGCGAATATACAGATTGCAGGGAGATATCACATGTCAATCAGACTAGATCTCCAATATAGGTAGAAAGTGAGGAGTGAAATTTCTTCATTTTTTGCTCACAGTGTGAGGAATTAAGTAAGAGAAGAGAAGTAAAGGAACAGGGATAGAAGTGAATGAGACCACAGGCCTCAAGAGAGGAGAATGACATAAAAAAAGTAGAAGCAGGTCTTTCGACACGGAATTTTGAACTTGAAAAGGAAAAGTCTCCAGAGAGGAGTGAACAGCCAAAGGTTATAAAAAAAAAATCCCAATCCGTCTATTTGGTGGAAGCGCCAGAGATAAAGAAAAATCAAAACCAATCCGACACCGTTGATGCCCGCAAGCCAGAGTAAAAATGCACAAGTCTATATCGTTTCGTGGCGCGCATAAGATAAGTTTTCGAGGCATAAAGAGGTCGCAAAGAAGTTAGAACCGCTCTGCCAGGTCACCGCCAGCAACGGAATTGTTGGCTGACGAGTTCATGGAGGAAAAGCCAGCCGCGGGGTTGAGCATGTCCTGCACCGCAACCTTGGGGATCTGGGGCACTGGCAACTTGCGCTGCGTGCCGTCTGGTTTTGACATGATATCGGAAATGGTTGGGCCCATGTGACCCTGATTCGGGCTGTAATAACTAGGGCCTTCCGGTTGGGGCTCCATAGGCGCCAGCGCAGGAGTGTGCTGGAGGGACAGGTGGCGAATCGAAGGCAGATGCAACTCGCTGGCACCGAGAGGGCGCAGACGGGGTGAGTGTGCAGGAGTAGCCAGGGGAGTGTGGTCGGGGGTAGGGGATAGAGAATCGTGAGAGAAAGTAGGAGAAGAAGGAGCGGTGGAGTTAGGAGAGTTAGGGCGTGAGCGCTTCACACGGTGGCCATAGCCGTCATCGTCATCGTTAGAGTGCGAACGGGTCATGTTCTGCGAAATCGCATACGCGGAGAGCGAAGGGAGGCCACGGCTAGTGCCGTGATGACGGGAGCCAAACATCTGGTGTCCTCGCGAGCCGTGGAAGCCCATGTGATCGTCGCGCTCTACTTGTGATGCAGCTGTAGCCAGAAGATTGATATCCATTCCGGAGGAAGCGCGTTCAGTGGTGCGAGAGTAGGGACCCAGATTTGAGCGCATGTGGTTGGCGTAGTTGGAGAAGGAGTGAGGAGGCGAAACATCTGGAGATCCGACCTGCGAGACTGGAGCAGAGCGAGTGATGGGCTTGCTGGGAGGCGGCATCATGTTGGCAGCATTGACCATTCCAGTGTCCTGGCCTGCAGCGGCCGCGGCGGCTGCCAGGTGTTGAGCCTTATTACTGCGGCGCGAGTTAGGGTTGTTGTGGATGCGCGAGTGGCGAGTGAGTTCATCTGAACGACTGAAGCGCTTCGTACAACCGGGGAACTGGCAGGCGTGTGGCTTCTCGCCAGTGTGTGTGCGGATGTGCCTCGTCTGGTGCTCCAGACGGTGAAAAGCACGGTCGCAAAGAGGACACTTGTACGGCCGGGGCAGATCCTGGCGGACCTCCTCGGTCGCGGGGCGCGCACCCTTCATGAGAGGCGGTAACAAGCTAACTGAGGAAGCCATTGAAGAATCTCCTGGAGTCGAGGGTGTCGAGTCGGACGAGTTGTCGTGGGGATTAAGTAGATTTGAGAACCCCACTGAAGAAGCCGGCGGTGGCATGTGAATTCCCTGACGCGGATTTATGAAGGTTCGTTCTGAAAGGAGGACCGAGGACGGTTTTGTCGCAGGGGTCCCGAGCTAAGGTCGATCAAACACCCGGATTGGGATGGGAGGTCGATCCGGATCGGAGTGATGCGCAGACAATTCAGATAGCTTTGGTCAAACAAATAGTCGAGTAGAGTTTGTGGAGAGGAACAAAGCAAGAGGGAAAGGAAGAAAAGGAACCTGGAGACGACGATCTGGGGAGTCACAGATAATATAGGGAATGGAGGGGGAAGGGAGAAATCGGGGGAGAAGGGGCAGTGTCGGAATCGGACTTGGAGAAAAGAAAATTCTGAAAAAAAATTCAAGTTAAAAAAAATTGAAAAATTGAAATTGAAATAAAAATTAAAAATAAAATAATTAAAAATTAAAAATTGAAGAGATTCTCAAGGTTGGAAGGCCAAGTGTGGGGGGAGAAGAAGGGGACACTGGGGCAAAATAGGAAAAGTGGGAAATATTTTGAGGAAAATTCAAAAATTGGAAATTCCAAAAGGGGAAATTTTGGAAAATTAAATGAGAAAAATAAAAAAATAAAAAAAGACATACCCTTACTCAGTCGTCGATCAACCTCATATAGTTGCAATATAGCAGATAGAATTGACTAATGAATATCCAAATATAAAGGTATTAATCACTCTAATATGTACTCCGGACTCCGTCGCATATACAAAAAGAAAAATGTTCAAAAAGCCCTGGAGGCATCAAGAAACTACGTAACTGCATCAAGCAAAAATGTGGAGACTCGCATTTTTTCTGAAGAACCGTGTGGCGTGAGGTGCGTGTCCCTATCCGGCTATCGCGCCTCTGGAGAATTTCTTATCAGAACATGGGGAATTTGGGAATTTCTACTGGCTTCTGATTTAGTCTATCTCGGGATGACGAGCTAAACAAAGTGGATGATAAAAAATGATGGCATGCGGAGAGCCAATGACGAGCAGGAACTGGGGTCTCCAGCACTCCAGATTATAAAATTATATGTACGGAGTATTCCGTACAGTACATTTTTAACCCTGAGATACCCTCCAAAAGGGTCAAAGTCTGGGGGTTACGGTCATTCTAGGCCGGACCAGGTCCAGACCCATGTACAATGGAGATCCTGGGGACCATCTGATCCTGTCACGGAGTGACGATAGCGAGGATCATCGATGATGTCGTCTGAGGTGAAATCTCCAAGGTTAAAATTTTTGGTAATCATTTAGTCACGCGAAAAACACAACAAATCAACAGGTCATCCAGTGCAAAGAAGGTACGAAAAATGACTCGGGTCACCCCCAATTGTTTTGCGGCTTCATCATCCGGAGGAATCATCCCCCCGAACCCTATATGGTATGTATATCGACTCTACGGAGTACTCCGTACCAAACCCTGGAATCCTCCACTCAGGTTCGCCGACAATCCCCGGATTTCGGGGTAAGATATGATGAATTCCTATTTTTCCTTTTTAAACAGACTTCCCTAATTTATTGTGGAACGATAAAGCGAGCGAACAGCGCTGATAGGCGCGGATCATCCAATTATTGATAGCGCCGATGCAGCTACCATGCAGCCTCAAAGCCGCGTATCTCGACAAAGGGACCAGAGATGCCAGTGTCAGCCCCTGCACAATGAGCACTTAGCTGCATTCCTTGCGCAAGCAGACAGCGGTATCCCCGACTGCCAAGACGTTCAAGTATAGAAAGTGACCAGGGGGCGTAGATTTCCTTTCCTTGGCCGGCTGAATCTCGCAGGGTAATAACCGGGGGGGTTCTGGGGCCCCGGTTCCCAGGACAATATTAAATATATGTATTAAAATTTATGCATGTATATATTTATTATTCTCCTATCAGCAATCTGTGGCACATGTTCTCGCTTCTTTACTTGATACGCTAACAGATTACATACTTTCGCCCGATGTTCTTCCGGCTTAATGGAACAGGCCAACTAAAGGGCCGAGGTGCGGGACAAACGGGACGGGGCAAAGATACCACTCGGCAAGGCCGTCTCGCCGAGAGTCCGGTTTACGCTTTGGATAATAAGGCGTTATCTTTGAGTCCGGCATAGTATTACTCCGCCATTATCACATTACAACGTAATATAGTTATATATGGACTCCTCTACCTTCTAGTATATTGTATATTGTTATATGTTATATGGAGTACGGGATATAATATATAGTATACATTCGAAGGGAGCACTCCATACGGAGTACAATATACATACATGAACCCCGTGCAGGTCCCTTTAGTGGCAGATCCTAACGGAAGTTTTACTCCCGGAACAGCAAATTCAGCCGATCCCCACAGTTCTCCAGCGGATATTGGCTAAAGTCCCCTTGATAAATTAGGATATTTAGCAGACAAAAAAGCAAAGACACAAGATTAGGAGTAATCAGGGCCCAGGTCAGTTCGTACTTTTGAGCTGTACGGGGATCTGGAAGAAATCGCACGAATCCCTGTTCTCCTGGTTTTCAGGAAATAAAATCAGCTCACAAATATACCCGGTGGTACGGAGTAACTGCCGCAACCTGGAGTTCTCCATTTTTTCTCCACGGGGAATATGGCAACATTGTAGAGAAAGCCCGGACTCGGAGTGGCGATCTGCAGGAAGAGATAGTTTGATCTTTTTTTTAAAAAAAAAATGATTATTATTATTGTTTTTATTCCAAGAAGCAGGTACCAGTCTATAAGCAATTACCCGCCTTTTGCCGATTTTTGCGACGTGTACATAGTACTTCGTACATTTGTTGAGGATCATGAAACCAGGATGTGAGGTGCGTCTGTTTCAGGTGACGAGTTCACTGAGGTCTATTACTCTTTATGTACTCTGTAGTGGAAATCGGAATATATTTACAGAACAGCAGACTTATCGGATTCAAAGTTCCGGCACATTTCCTTCCCCGGAACTCGACTCACTTTCCCAGACCCTCACAATCGAAAGATCCGCAAACCTACGAGCTACTGCCTTTCGAACCTTGGAGGTACATATATGCGGATTACATCGTAGATAGTCAAAGGTGGGGGAAGCCAAAACCGGTAGTTCCGATTGCCGACAGTCCTGAATCACAATAATCATGGCTAGAGAACCTCATCCTCTGAACCGGTCTGCGCCCCAGAAAACCCAGTGTATGTTGTAATTATTTTCAATGATCGACCAAGTCTATCAAGCCGATATACCCGGTGACAACCCCTCTCCAACACACACAGATATGAACTCCGTACGGAGTACGTACTCCATATCTCACTCCTACCCCACAATCCCCAAGCGATACGCTTTGGGAGAAAACCCGAAACCGCACTCGCAGGAAGCGATCTACAACTGACATCTCAATCTTCATGCCAAAGCTGCCTTGATCATCGCGATCGCCTCTAGAATGTGATCCTCCGATATCGCTGTCGTCATGGGGGCGCCCCCTCCACACAAGGTCGATCCATCACGCCATCTGGGGAAAGCTGACAATCTACGGAGTATCCCGTATATTGTACGGAGTACACGAGACTACCTACTTATAGCCTTGCAAGCATGTTGACTTGGAATTTACCGCCATCCCATGAAAATTGGATTGGGATTCGTCACTCTCAGCATTCTTCTTCCCACTTCCCTTTCCGACAACGCTGATCAATTCTATTATTCTGGCATGCAGACCCGCGCACAGGGCGGGTACGTCGATCCTAGATGGGGGGAAAAAGCAAAAATCAGTCCCACGGACAAAAAAGGGCCAAGACAAAGAGATGAAATGCGAAACAGAAACAGAAAAAGCAAGGGAAAAAGGGAAAAATAGAAAAAGTCAAAAGGTCAAAAGAAAAGAGTGAACGCAATAATACTCGATTGGGAGCGTGGAGATCCCCCCCGGACTCCCTCCGTTATCAGTCCGGAGCCTCGTTGTACTCCGTGGGGAATTCCCTTTTCTATCCGAGCTCTTTCAGAATTGGGATTCAGCCCTCGAAGCCACCTATCTTCTTAGTCAAGATGTCGCCAGCGACCAGTGATATCTATTTCTAGTACCTAACGCTCGCTATCAACACCCCCGCACACCCCAGATCGTCACGCAAGATAGTGTCGGGGGGTTCGAAAGACAAGGATGAGGATACTTCTTATGTTACTTTATTATTCACACCCTATCCCCGGAGCTTGGACTATTAATCTATTAATCAAGGCAGTGTATGAGTCTGAGTCTGGACGCGACCGTCCCTTTCAGGCCGCACCCCCTTGCTACATGGGACTCAGCAGTTGCTACTGGCTGTCCTACATCCAACACGGTGTGAGTCATGACGTGCTCACGTCTCAGCTCGAGGAATATCCAAGCTGAAAGCGCCTAATAGAAAGCCAAGAAGGAAAAAAAAAGTGATAGGCTAACTAACAACAGGGGATCGGCTCATATTTCGCGCTCCGTTTCCAATCGCCCTGCTGGCGCCGGGTCCTGTCTTTTGTCTTGCTGCCTGGAGACTGAAACCCTTTCTAACCAACTTCCCGAGCGAGGCGCCACCGGTCAGCAAGACAAAGATGTAATTTACCCAAGGTGGTCTTGGATCCTTCAGTATATAACCTATGGAGTACAGTTGTATGTAGTATGTTCCATTGTGTCTCAAGGTGACATTTGATTATGCTTGGCAGGTCTCGATGCGGGGGAGTAGTCTCAAAAAGGGAGAATCCGGGGTAGGTTTGGCCTTGGAGCAACATTCCACAAGACTCCCTGAATGATGGGGTGTCCTTTCGGGTGCAGTTACTCTGTACAGCGTGGGGTAGTTTACGTAGGCTACTATGTTTCCCAAGAAGACACATATGCTTTGAAGAATTCGCAGTGCAACCCTAATCAGCTCGGGGGGGTTTTGCATGTGATTACGTAAGGGGTTTCCCGATTCAGCTTTCCAAACTTGGAAAGGTGTGGATTCTTTTAGATTTCCTTTTATCGACACTCACTTTTCCTTATTGCCCCCAATTCCGCCAAGGCGAGCGATCAGCGATCCACACCTTCTGGAACAAATCACCCCTGCGCCCAATTAGGGGCGCAAATGGCCTCACACTGATATCACCATATGCGGGGCCGCCATTCCGGAGTCCGCGATCAGGCCATTGGTGGAATTCTTGCCTTTGTCCGGGAGATTACACCCTATCTTACAATCTATGCTCTAATTTCTTGGAGAACATGTGATATTCTGGGGAATAGATAGCGTCAAAAGGGAAAAAAATAAAAAGGAGAAAGCAGAAGTCGAGGCGGGGCACAGAGTCCGTTACCGTGTCTAGTTCTCGGTGAAGCAAGCCCCGACACCCCCCATTCCACCTCAATCCCACCGGGGCAAAGACATACGTAGAGGGGCAAAAATTTTCTCTCTTTTCAACTCCACTGAGCGATTTATCGTCATTTCTCTTACCCCATATTTGCCTGAGTACCATAATGCAACCCACTCGCGGAAGCCGGGATCAACTTTTGGAAACACAGTGCCCCTGTCGCTCGCAAGATCCACACTCCCAGTTTCTATGTAACTTGAGCCTTGGAGCACGCTATAATCAGGTACCATATGCAGTAGATCACTTAGTCCGAGATGAAGTCGATCCTAGCTTTGGTTTGAATTTCGAATTTCCAATCAGGGTAACCAATTAACTCACTAGTTACGGAGTAGAGAAACAGGGGTAGACAAAGACAAGGAAAAGGTACGGGGTACTAAAACTCTCTCTTTCAATCACACAGTGGCATCCGTGGCTGAACCATTTCGCCCCAAACACATACCATAACGGGTGAATCGCCGAGATCAAACTAGGCGGGTTCTGATTTCGCTCGCGGGAAGAATCCGCTCCGAACCAGCTGCGCTCTCGCTAGCACGTGTATGGGGATTTTCTTAGTAATTATTGGATTAATGAATTATACGATTATTACTCTATGGATTGCACTATTAAAAACCGGTACAAAGGCATAACTGCGGGAGCTCCGGACTCTGTCTTTCCCCATTAGGGTACCATGAAGCGGGGGGGCCTAGATCTACACGGGCATGATAGCTTGTGAGTTTCACATGTTCCCCGTGTTCACATGCGGAAATCATGTGTTTATACAATATTTTGTTGGCTTCGGTTGAGCCTGGAATGCGGGATGTGGAGGTTTGATAAGAGTGACTGGAATGCGCCCATATTTGCGTGGCTGCCTCGGTTTCCCCGTGCAGTTGCATGCCTCTGTATAATGGCAGATACGGAGTACCTTGGGGAGTAGCGAGATTATGGCGTCATTGAAGGGGGGGGCCATGTGTTTTCTCCAGATTTGTTGCCCACATTGATAAGAGATTCAGATAGGAGAGTATTAACACGTCTTTGCATTGACCTGCCCAGTCCATAAGCACCATCTTACCTAAGGATGTTGTATGTGGTATATTACTATCACGAAATATGACGACAGAGCTCATAACCTAGACCATTCTGCTGCAGGTACCAGACCACGACATCAGCCCATAGGGCTGGACAGAGGCAACCCTCGGGTAATCTCGGAGGACGACATTGTGACATTCTCGCACAAGCTTATGGCATTTTTCCTAGTTGCGGGGCTTAGTGCCGATATGGGAATCTACCGGGACTCCACGTTGATCAGGGGGTGTTTATTTTATTTTATCGGAGTCAGGAAGAGGAAGGTATGCCATGTCTTGGCTATCCATTTTCGCCTGAAGCGTAGTATAGACCGAGATATCTACTTTGTACGTAGTTTTAGACACTATAACGTACTATTCGATGGCAAGTTCAAGGAAAAAGATTTTTTTTTTTTCACGGAGCAAGCACTGAGTCGAGCAGCGGTAATTCAAAAAGGGGTTCGGTGAGAGCTGAATTTACTTTTTTCCCCCCCCCCTGTGTCAGTTCCCGTCTCTGGAGCCTCCCGATTTGCGCAACTTGGGCGAAATTCTATCGGCATTGCCGTGCCGAGTCGGGTTCTTGGTCTCTTTGCGTGTCGCCGGGCCGGTTTTTTTTTTTCCAGGGGCAACTTGTATTGGCTTGGTACTCTCCACACTATCCGCACCTATTATTATCATTCCATACCGTATGTGATGTATTGGGGTTGTTTTCTTTTTCTGAGAGAAAAAAACTTCTGACTGCCGGACCACCCCGAAATTCCTCCGAGGCTCGGAAGTTGGGAGTCTGGGGTGAGCCGTGGGATGATCTGGGATTCGCGGACGTACTACCCATGCAGGCAATCCCCCAGGGCCTTTCCCGTCTAATAGTGCAGAGAATGCTTGTCTTCTATTATTGACTATTGCAAGCCTCGGGATGAATGGAAGAGCCTCGGGATAACGGATGTTCCTCGGATATAGCTGTTAGGTAATTCTTGGGGCATATCCTGATTCTTCTCTGGGGTCTTGTATATCCAGTCTACTCCGCATGTAGCGGTGAGGCCCTGTGGAGTTGTTAGGTCTGTATAACCAACTTGTGGAGATCTGATAAAAACTAAAAATTTGCTGTCTGGATCTGGTTGTGTGATCACTCGAGAAATAGTTCAAATTCACTTTACCTCTTTAGGGGAAGAAGGTCACAATATTGGGGAGCAAGGACTTATAAAGGTGGATAGTAATTATTGAAAACAAACTCGATGGTGTCAAAAGCAAGTCGTTGTCAGCCAACTATATATGGGGTTGAAGTCCTCGTACTCCGTAGTCCCCAAACTATTGGAGAAGTCCACTTCATTACAACGTAATGAGCCTACGCGCAATAGTTCTGAATCTTGCTACCAACGTCAACCCGAATTGCAGACGCTCGCTTTAATGTGGACGAAAAGCAGCAGAGGGATTTTGTAGTCGCAAAAACTCTCCAGGGTTGTTCTGATTTCATCTATAATCAGTTACTTCTTGGCCGCTATAAAAAGGCAGCATACATATGCTTGCAAGGCTTTTTTATCTAATTACTTCAATCATCCAAGGTTTCCCTTTTGTAGAAGATGCCCGACGAGACCTGAAAGGTTACCAGAGATAGAAGATAGTGGCAACCCTAATTTGGCATCGGAGGTCCATTCCCATATCGAGATTCGGACGTATCATGAGTCTATGACACGCCGGCTGGTAAATTTTTGCTGGAATGATTTATGCCCAGCTCTTGACCTGTTCGTTCTGCCATGTTCCAAAAGCTTCGTTTCTCGATCCCCGGATGCTATGAAGGGGACTTTGGATGCATTACAACGGTCACTCATACGAATCCTTGAAAAAGAGATTAAGACCACTGACTAGATAATACATGACCTAAATATGTATCGTCTCGAACCTAGCCGGTCGGCAAGCTTCATCACCTTTACAAGGTGCACTATGAACGATCACTATAGCAACAAAGTCTAGGTAAATGGTACTTCATGCAAATACAGCCACAGCTCCTTTTCTTCTGTTTGTGCAGACCTGATTATATGAATAGTATAAAGACACATTCTTGCAAAGCACCCCTCCATAACCACGGATATACCGTAGAGCGATTATGGGGTTGCCTGAAGGACCCCTACACGCACTAGAGGTACAAGCCTCCTCCCCCGGACACCGACCTAAGAAGATGGAGCCACTGTTGCTAGCTTACACCCCGTACCAAGTACGTGTAGGCGTAGGCCTTTGCGGCCGCTCATAGTTCACTTGTAAAGGTGGTGCAGCTTGCTGGCCAAGGAGCCAGAGGCAACATCCACGATGTGCACCATCCAGATAGAGGCCATGGCCTCCATTTTAAGGATCCGCACAAGCGATCGCTGTAGTGCGTCCAACGCCCCCTTTACGGCGTCCGGGGGGGATCGAGAAACGAAACTTTTGGACATAGCAAAACGAACAGTGCTAGTGAGGAACCAAAACAAACCGTCATGTATCAGCTAAGGGCCCGGGGAGAAAAGGAAGAGAGGCAAAGGGAGCTTCTCAAGCCAAGGTACAGAGCTGGGACTTCTAACCGCCAGTGAGCGAATCATGGAGCTGGACAGAGATAGATTCAGTTGCAGGGAGAGTGCGGAGATGATGGGCTTCCTGGATGTATATTGACGCGCAAGTTTCGCCCTGCGCGAAGACATTCTGTAAGGTAGTTGATCGCAAATCATGAGTTGCCGGGAATTTGCCATTACCGAAGCTTCAAGTCTGCTTGGAAGTATCCATGGATAGGTGCATCGTAAACTAAATATGACGAGTACTGTGCCATCTCCAGCCCCTCGACAAAGCAGAAGGGGCAGAGTTCATTTTGGAATGTCGGTATACATGACCTCACCAAAGCCATCGATCACACCTGGGAGCTATGTAAATTAGTCTTGTCACATGTGATGCACCTCCTATCGCTACAATAACGCGGACACTCCCATCGCTGTGCCTTTGACGCAGGTCTCATTCAACAAAGAAAGACCTGTCCAGTATTGGAGAGGTTATATCCAATGCAACTCGTCTACACGCCGTTGAGCCAACGAAGGATCCCAAGTGCAATTTCCCTTCCTAGAGGGAAAGGGCCCATGAAAATCACAGCTCTTGACATAATCCCAGGAACAGGCGCAAATTGCAGCAAACTGCTGTGGAACCCCGCGGCATGGTAAGATGGAATGCAAATATGAAAAAGTGAGTATATCAACGTACAGGAAAGTCCTCCAGGGCTTCAGAACAGCAATTCAAGTAGGCTTTGTTATCACACCTGCGGGCAGAATTACCAAATTAGGAAATACTCTCCGTCTATCTCTGCTTTCCCAGGTACGCCTCAGGCACTAAACTCGAAGCAGAAATGACGTTTCTGCCACACCCGGCCGCCCGGGGAAACGAGAATCTTAAGTCTCAAGTCCAGACTAAGAGCACCATCCACCAAATCTACTTTGTACGGCGAGTCCCTGTATGATTTGATCATATCAGCAGCCCCTCAATCCAAGTTCTAGACATTGAACAACACCCCCATAACGATATCCCTCTAGCTTCGAGCTCCGGGACGCAATGGCACCCCCGCGCCAGCGCACCACAGCTATTGTGGATGACTCGAGGTCAGAAGCCTCGAGTGGCACGAGAGAATACCAAAAAACCACCAAGTCCCGCAGACCAGCTGCCGCAAAAGAAAAAGCCTCAGTTACCAGCGCACCTGTCGTGGACAATCAGCACGCCGAGGAACAGCCCCGAGTATGTTTCATCCCGAAAGAGATTGATCAATCACAACGCCATACACAACACGGTTAAGAGACCATAAGCTAACCCCCTTTTCTCTCTATAGCTCCCCTGGACAGACCTTCCCCTCGAAATCCTTCACTCCTACCGCCACGTCCACAAACTCCCCACGCCTTCCGCCTTTTCGAGCGACTACTCCCGCCTGATCCTCTCGCAAGGCATCGGCCTTCGCTCACCAACCTCCCTCGCCGCCCGCCGCGCTCAATCCTCCTCATCACAGAACCACTCCCATTCCCACCGAACCAACACCTCCTCGGACTCCCTCTCCGACTCAACGCTGCGTCGCACCGTCGGCCAGGACCGCGTGAGCAAAGACCAGTTCGCGCTTGTTGTCCGGAAGCACTTTAACAGCGCTGGTCTCTCAGAGCAGGAAACCATTGCACGGTTTTTGTATACTGTTCGTGAGGATAGGAGAGGGAGGCAGTTCCGGTTGCGGTTTCAGCCGTAAGATGAGGAGTGAGCGTGTCCTGATTTAGTCTCTTGCTCTTTTCTTTCCCTTGGTAGCAGGGGAAATAGGCTTATACACGGCTTGGGATGGATATAGGGCTATTTTACTCCATACCCCGCCGTTCTGGTGTTAGCCCGTCCTGGTTGACGGCGTGCTCGGGTCGGTACGGTGAACATACACTCTGTGTGTGGTTTACTGGGTTGCCTTGCTTCGAAGGATCCGGTGGCTTGTTCTCTTGTGATATATTAAGATACCCATTGGCGTTCAGTGTGTTGATCTTGGTTGTTTTGTTTTTCTTGGTTTGCTAATTGCGGGCTCTCTCTTCTACTATGTATACTTTGCATATCATATAATTGTATAATTGTGCAATACACAGCTACACTGCTCTACTGTGTCTTTTTCAGTAAGGAACGTTCTTATATTTTGTGGCCATTTCTATCACATGAGATTACTCTGGTACGGAATAGTCGACTCTGTGTGTGGAGGATAACTTCCTACCTAGGTATGACTGACTGCCTCTCGGACACCATGCATTATCAACACCTATATCCCCATGTCAATCAAGACTTGCTCAATTAGACCTTCAAACGGTTTATCACAATCGAATATACATACGATAACCACATACGTCTATGTGTACCTACATATGTAGAAATTATGCAGGTTACAAGCTTACGTCCTTTCAGTATCGGGAAGATGCAGAGCATCGCGCCGAACCTTGGAAGAAACGTTAGATTGAGAATGAAGGAGCCTACTTGCTAGTGTATATTTTTCATTTCTCATTTACATGAAAGCACGCATGTCTTCTCCAGTAAGCACAGAGGGCAGAAAATACAGAGGGATCCAACCCGAAAGCGAGAGCAGGACAAAATCCACCTAAACGAAGCAGTTCAGACAAAGTACCAAAACCCGCGAAATATACCAAAGAATCAATCAAGGGCGGCCTCAAAGCAACATATGTGTCCCTTCTAGATGCAGGCTCCATGGTCAATTTTGCCAACTAGGTCCAACCGAATCAAGCCAATTCCACACCACCATTAGCCAGTATTAGCAATACTTCATATACAGGGCAATCAAGCTTATTTCCAGGCGTTAAGACCAGCCCATGGGTCGGCGGAGGAACCGGACTGCGACTGCGACTGCGACTGCGAGGGGGTCTTGTGGTGCCCATACTGTCTGCTCTGTGCATAGCCACCAGGACCAGAGGGGTATACACCACCTGCTGTAGGAGGGTAGGTTGTCTCTTGGGGGCGCGGCGGAGGCGGAGGCGGGATGTAGCCCTGGGGAGCCATATAGTGCGAGGGCTGAGGGCCAGCGCCAGGAGCCGGCGTGCCGGAATTTGAGTAGCCGCCGTACGGGGCGGGGGTTTGGGAGAAGAATTGCTGACTCGGGGGTGGGGACACGGGGGTCTGGTAAGGATATGCCATGGGGTTGTAGCCCTCGGATAGGGGAGCTGCGGCGCCTTGCTGGAAATGCTGGGTTTGGTAAGTTCCTGGACCACCTCCAATGTATTGCCCGTAGGGCGCTGGAGACTGAGAGAGGGGCACCCCTGGCATGGTGGGCGGGTAGCGGGGTGATGGCTTTGGGGATGGACCGGTGGTTCCATACGCTGGCGTCTGAACGGGCGGGGGTGGTGACTTGACTTTCGAGGGCGCTTTTGCTGACCCCGTGGAGGGTAAAGTTGATGAGTCTTTGGGCTCCGTTGATAGGCGCTCCATAAGCTGCCGCAGCTTCTCTCGCTCGCGATCTTCTTGCCCTGAGACACCGCGGGACTGCTCGCGGTTTTTGTTGAAGGCTTCGGCATTTCTGCGGATACTGTCGACATTTTTGCCCATACCCTTGTCGCGCTCAATTTGACTAAGAAGCTGCGCACCTTCTGACCGGCGGTTGTTGATGAAGGTTTCGACGTTCTTGCGGAGGCTGTCGACATTTTCACCCATGTCCTTGTAGAAAGTTCGTGCTTGCTTGATACCCGACGAGAGACCATGGAATGCTTTGTAGACCTTCTTGTATCGAGCTAGCACGGAACTGCGTTGTCTTGTTATAGACTCGTACTTCAATTTCTCGGATTGAAACCTTCTGTCTTGACGAAGGTCATCGTGTATCTTGTCGAGTTCTTTCATTAAATATGATTGATTGTAATTCGCCTTCAAAAGTCTGTTTTGATACGGCAGGAACTTTTCCAATTGCTCTTTGAAGAAGTCCTGTTCGTGGCCAGTAATCTTTTTTAGGTTTAGGAGCACGACTTTCCGGAGACGTTTGGTGTTCTCATCGTGGATCTAAAGCACAGATAGTCAGAAAGTTGTCGTGGACAGATACACTACGATACTCACCGCAGATCTGAGGTCATTGAGCAGTTTGAACCTCTCTTGGTCCACAAGATTCAGTTTCTTTAAGAAGCCCTCCACTTTGGCAATCTGCTCTGCAACAGAGGCTCCCCCCTCATCATATACATCATCTAGCAGAGTACCTTCCGCCGGACTGGTGATACCGTCCTTGCTCTTGCTCTGCTTCGAACGGACTTTGATCAAGGCTCGCTGGAAGAGAACATCGGCCTCATCTGTTTCGCCAGCAGACCGCATCTCGTCGAAATCGCTCTCATACTGTCGAAGTGTAGAAGACAACTGGGAATCACTTGCGCTGGCCTCATTGACAGTATCTCGATACGATCGGAGATCCCCCCGAAGTGTGGTATTGAGTCGGGAGCTGGGCTGCTGACCCCAATCTGCTCCATACTTTGATCGCATCTTCTCACACACACTCTCTTCCAGATCCAACTGCTTTGAGCACTGGTCTAATTGGGACAGCACTTCTTGCTTGCGATTCTGCAGCTCGTCGAGTGCCCTCTGGAAGGAATTGTGGCCAGCAAGTTCTGAACACCAGCGACAGAACTCCTCGTCTACTGACACCCGGTTCATGCCTCCCTTCAAGATATCGAGAGAGCCTGGAAGTTCTAGGACGGGCAAGCTAGCTCTCATTTCACTGCTGGCAGTCTCGGCTTTTTCATCCTCAGCTCGAAGCAACTTCGCCTTTTCTTCGGAGTAAAGACTGACGATCTTAGTTACCTCCTCGGGCTCTAGCTTATCGAAGATGTCTGGCCCAGTGATGTCCTCAATATCTTGTCCTTGGTACAATTCGCTGAACTCTAGCGACTTCGCAGCAGTAACCCTGGCAACTGGTGAAAGACCAGCCTCGTTGGGGACTGGCTGGTGGTAGATGAAATCATTGTCTTTGGCCATTGTGGCAAGTAAGGCTTGCACATTTGTTTGATTATGCTTGATGAGGTCCAAGAGCTTTGGGCCGGACTCTGCCGTCAAGTTCGTGTTCGCTGGAGGCGACGAGGGGAATGCCTTCGCCCAGCTTAGTGCAGTGCCGGACTGCTTATCAGCCATCTGTAAACGAGCAATAGCAATTCCATGAGATTCACTCTCACTGTCCGTAACCGCCTGATAATATGATGCTACTGATCCCATATGTGCTGCCTTTGCTTGTACAACAATCGTCCAGACCTTGTCAAACACATTCTTGGCGACGAAATTTTGCATTATCTCGGCAGCCTGTGAGTAGAGGTACGCTGCCTCTGCAGCTAGCTTGGCCAGGAGAGCAGGCTTCCTCTGATCCGCCACTTGTTTCTCAAAAAACACCTCTTGGGCTTGAGCTAGTGTGACATTTATCAGTGTGTTGATGGTTTTCCCGTCCATGTCAGTTGATGGCGGATTTGCAAAGTGCGTATTAAGATATTTGAACATTCCGGCAGATGCCTGAAAATAATGATAGGCGGTCTTGAGGCCGGTATCGCCAGCCCGGCTCTGATTGGCAGCATGGCAGGACAGGATGGCGGAGAGGTTAAATAAAACGGATGCCTTTTCGAAGGCCATGGAGAATTGAGAGGCAGACGTATGAGTGAAAGCATCGTACCTAGAGGACAAATCGGTAAGCACAAGTGAAACATACACAAGGAAATACCCTACCATGTGAATGAGATCCTGACTTCGCGGTCATTGACGGGGAACCTAAGGTCCACCAACTCCAGTTGAGCGTAGTATCGGTACAACAGATCACGACTGATAGCGCTGTCTTTCCCTACGCCCCTCATGTCCTGGCGAAGTCGGTTGAGAGTCTCGCATTCTTGACTGTATTGCTCAGGGTCCTCATTATAGTGCCCTCGAATGTGATCCTTGAGGGGCTGAATCCAATCAATCTCGTTGGTCTGCTTCAACGGACAGGAGAGCATCGGTGACTGAGCCATTGTCGGATATTTGTCAGGAGCGATATGCTCCCATCCAACAGTTCGAAAGCTGCGCGAGAGGAAAAAAAGCGCGGGGCAGGGATGGTCAGAAGCTCCGTGTCTGAGGGGATCGGAGTCGAGGCTGTGGGGTAAGGGAGGCGGAACGTCAGCGCCTGATGGCCCTTAAGTGTGTCAATGACGGCGGCTGGTTAGGTGTTCCTCAAGCAATCGGTCTAGAAGATGGTGAGATAATGTGAGAATTCTTGAGAAAAGAACAGAGTTGCCTAGAGTGTTGAAGTGTTGAAGTGTTGAAGTGTTTTAAGGAGGGCGATGTGGGATGTGATATCCGTGACCGGGCTCAATGGACGCCAAACGCCAAAACAACCGGACAACCACATAGAAACACATATTGAAAACAGCAATTGAACTGAACATTTGAATCTTGAGTAATATAAATTATTAGATGGATGAGAATGATCATAGTGTAGTCAGAAGTAGAGAGCTTCTTAAGACATCTATCCCTCGATAATACTAATAATACTAATACAGTATACTGCGCCTAAGACCTTGGCCGAACAGGTCCCCAATATCGCCGGCGCTATGACATGGGTGAGGTAAATACAAACGGATATAGAGTACATAATGATTTACAATTTTTTTAGCTCGACTTCTTCGAGCTATCTTTGCTGGCATCGCTGTCAGCATCCTTGTTTTCCGTGCCCTTGTTGGAGTCTTTGGGATCTTTCTTGTCAGCCTGGGATGGCTTAGAGGAATCACCATGCTTCTCCGTGAGTCGATGCCATACAGACTTCAGGAAACCTTCGTTTTTGGCGGCGTCGTTGGTGCTACTAGAAGCAGATGAGGGGCTATCGGTGTAATTAAGTTAGTACAAGGGCCAATATTCACGATGAGCCATGCACCTTACCTATCCTTGTTGAAATTCATTGTCCGCTTCGCTGTCTTATCGTTCATCTCGTCTGCGAGAACCTCCAAAATGGTGCGCTGGTTGCCTGTCAAGTATTTGGGCATGGCAACCTTAAATTCGACCTTAAGATCGCCATTGGGGGTGAAGCCGCGAGTACGACCACTAAGCTTCTTCATGCCCATCCCTGACAAAGTAATTCGGTCACCTGTACCCGTACCGGTGGCGACCTTGACCTTCACTTGGCTGTCGAGAGTTGGGATGGTCACCTCACCACCAAGGATGGCAGTAGTGAGGGGAATTGAGGCTGTATAGAGAATGTCGGACCCAGAGCGGCTGAAGCGATGGTCTGGGGCAACCCGAATGGATACGTAAAGATCACCAGGCTGGGTGCGAGCACCAGGCGGAACAGCTGTTCCAGTTGGCGGGGAGTCACCTTCGCCGGTCACCCGTAGACGCATGCCATCTTCGACGCCGCCGGGGATGTCGACCTTGATAGTCTTGCGCTCTCGGATCACGCCATTTCCGTTGCAGGGGCTGCACTCTGACCCTCGGGGAACAGACATACCGGCACCTCCACAGGCGTCACAAGTGGCGGCGACTTGGAACCCTCCTTGCATAAGATGAACGCGGGTACCTGTGCCATTGCACTGACGACATTGCGACCGTTTGGCACCAGACTTCAATCCGTCACCTTTGCAGGTTCCGCACTTGGTCAGCGGCGTGATGACTATTTCCTGAGAGGTGCCCTTCGCAGCGTCCATGAACGAGATGTTTGTTTGCACCTCAATGTCTTCACCGACCAAAATCTGTTCCTGGAAAGGGTTGCGCCCACCCCGGGGCCCACGGCGCGCTCCTCCGGTAAAGGCTCCAAAAAGATCCTCAAAGTTGATGTCGCCGGAAAAGCCCCCGCCAAAGCCACCACCACCGCCGAAACCGCCGCCAAAGCCATGGAATCCTCCCGCGCCAGAGAATGGGCTGCCCCCAGCGTTTGGATTGAACCCGCCATTCTGATCGAAAGCGGCCGAACCATACCGGTCATAGTTCTCTCGCTTCTGGGCATCGGATAACAATTCGTAGGCTGTCTGGGCTTCGGCAAACTTGTCTTTAGCCTGGGCATCCTTGTTGGTATCCGGGTGGTACTTCTTGGCCAAGCCGTAGTAGGCCTTCTTTATGTCGCCGGCGGATGCTTTCTTATCCACGCCGAGGACTTTGTAAGGGTCGGGAACGGCCGCAAGGGGAGAGGTAGTGTGGAAGGCCTGTCAATAGAAAAATATATGTTAGTTAGCAAATTTCACCCTAACAGCCCGTGGAGATGACGTACCCTAGCCGATATCACCAATGATTCCTTCCTCTTGCAAATGCCCTCCCGGAGACGCCTAGCCGGGGAATCAGAGACAGCTGCATGGCAGTTTCTTGTTTGGGTGGATGAGTTAACCCTATTGCCGGAAGTCTGCTTAGGGCATTGTCGCTGGGTTCGCAGCAGGCGCGCGGGGAGAGCCGCGGCCTTGGGAAATGCCGTGGATGGATTCATGGATAGTAATAGCCGAACAACGGTTGGACGGCAGTTGTGGTTGCCAGGATGACACGAGATAGATATGCGAGCGAAAACGATCAAGAAAAAGAATGACAATTTGGACAAGAGAAAGAATGGTTTCAAGAGCACCAATTACGTTCCAAACCAAGTCAAGCTTCTCTCCGGATCACAGAAGCTTCGAGTTCTCCGGCAGAGAGAAGTTTCTCGGAAAAACATGTGGCCGAATGATGATGAAAGAGTTGCTTACCGAAGCAATAATTGGGTGCTCCGACTACGGAATTCCAGCTTCCACTCTACCCCGTTTGTATTTAATACTTATTGCTGTCCTTTTCGAGCTGTGCCACGGGCTGTCACGGTTCTTCGCTATATTCTTTTTTGTTCCTTCTCTCCATTGCCCGGGCGCCCACTTCATCATACTCAAGGAGCATGCTCCGCGGCCAGACCCTCCCCTGGAGAGCTGTACTCCATCAAACGCCACGACCTCTTCTCCGACGGCCATTTCTTGCTTCGCCGAGATACAATGCAACCTTTCGATCAACACTAGTTTCGGTCCGGCTTGGTGACTCTCTTCCCTCGTCTTCCCGCGCCTTTTCTGCGAGCTCCATTCGGCGGAGAGAGAAACCCCCACCCGAGGACCCTAAAGACGAATCGGAAAAGAAGGAAGAGCTCGAAACCAGTCAGGACGATAAGGAGACGGGACGAGCTCCTGAATCGCGGAGGAAGGGAACCGACTCAGGAAAGAATGTCCCTTCTGCGGATCAGGTAGCTCCCGTGCGGAGAAAGGACCGGGCATCTGATAAAGAGCGCGGAGTGGAAGAGGAAGTTAAGAAAGAAGCCAATGTATCAGATGGTAAGGGAAACTCGAGTGACACACCTTCGCCCATCCCACCAAGTGATGGTCCGGCCGACTCCAAACCCAGCGGCGCAAGCAGCGGTGGTAATGGCGGCAATGACGATGGTGGGAAGAAGGGCAAGAAGGCCTCGGGGAAAAAGCTTTACAAAAGCCGGCAGTTCCGGACGTTTACCCGCAAGTGATGGCTATTCCCATCGCGAAACGCCCGTTGTTCCCTGGCTTTTATAAAGCGATCACTATTCGCGACCCGAATGTCGCCGTTGCGATCCAGGATATGATGAAGCGGGGCCAGCCATATGTCGGAGCATTCTTGTTTAAGGACGACAACGCCGATGGTGACGTGATTGAGAAATTGGAAGACGTTTACGACACTGGAGTTTTCGCTCAGATCACCGCCGCATACCCTCTCCGTGGAGAAGCTAGCGGTGTGACAGCGGTTCTCTATCCTCACCGGCGTATTAAGATCTCGTCGCTACTTCCCCTGCAGAAAAAATCAAAGCCGCTACACCCCCACCCGCACCTACGTCAGAAGACAAAACGACTGAAAAGCGAGGTGATGTTGTGGCCAGCTTCGAAGAAACCGCACCCGAGCCAGCTCCCAAAGACCATTACGAACCCACATCCTTCCTGAAGAAACACCCTGTCAGCCTCGTCAACGTGGAGAACTTGATTGAAGAGCCGTTTGACAAGAAAAACCCAATAATCCGCGCTGTAACCAGTGAAATTGTCAATGTATGCAAAGAGATCGCAACCCTAAACCCCTTGTTCCGCGATCAAATCTCGGCATTTTACACCGATCAATTCCCAGGAAACCTCAGCGACGAGCCGGCCAAATTGGCTGATTTCGCTGCCGCTGTATCTGCCGGTGAGCTCCACGAGATGCAAGAAGTTCTTGAGACAATGAACATCGAGGAGCGTCTCCCTAAGGCACTTGTTGTTCTGAAGAAGGAATTGATGAACGCTCAACTGCAGTCTAAAATTACGAAAGATGTCGAGGCCAAGATCCAAAAACGCCAGCGCGAGTACTGGTTGATGGAGCAAATGAAGGGCATCAAGAGAGAACTCGGCATTGAGTCTGACGGGAAAGACAAGCTTGTCGAGAAGTTCAAGGAGAAGGCTGAAAAGCTTGCCATGCCCGAAGTTGTCAAGAAAGTCTTCGATGAGGAGATCAACAAGCTGGCACACCTTGAGCCTGCTGCATCCGAGTTCAATGTCACTCGTAACTACCTAGACTGGCTGACCCAAATCCCATGGGGCCAGAAGAGCGTGGAAAACTTTGGCGTCAAGAACGCAGTCAGTGTTCTCGATGAGGACCATTACGGGCTGAAGGATGTCAAGGATCGTATTCTTGAGTTTATCGCTGTTGGAAAGCTTCGTGGAACCGTCGAAGGAAAGATTCTTTGCCTGGTTGGCCCGCCCGGTGTTGGAAAGACCAGCATTGGCAAGTCGATAGCTCGCGCTCTGAACAGACAATACTATCGGTTCTCCGTCGGTGGCTTGACCGATGTGGCAGAGATCAAGGGCCACCGACGGACTTACGTCGGTGCTCTGCCTGGACGCATTATCCAAGCTCTCAAGAAGTGTCAAACCGAAAATCCTCTAATCTTGATCGACGAGGTTGACAAAATTGGGCGGGGCCACCAGGGCGATCCGTCCTCTGCTTTGCTCGAACTCCTCGACCCCGAACAAAACAACTCGTTCTTAGATCACTACATGGATGTTCCTGTGGATCTTTCCAAGGTCCTCTTCGTCTGTACGGCCAACGTGACCGACACTATCCCTCGGCCATTGTTAGATCGTATGGAACTCATCGAATTGTCTGGCTACGTGGCAGATGAGAAAATGGCGATTGCTGAGAGATACCTTGCCCCCGCCGCTCGGGACCTGACTGGCCTGAAGGATGTAGATGTGAAACTTGAACGAGATGCCATCGAGGAGCTGATCAAATCATACTGTCGTGAGAGCGGTGTCCGTAACCTGAAGAAGCAAATCGAGAAGGTCTACCGGAAGGCAGCGTTCAAGATCGTCCAAGATCTAGGCGAGGATGTGATGTCCGAAGAGGCGGCCCTGACCGAAGCGGGCAAGGTTGCCCAGGAAGAGTCGAAGGAGCATGAGCCAGCGGATCCTGCGCAAGTTCCGATTGAGCCAGAGAAATCGACCACAGAGATCCCTCGACTGGCCCTCAAGGTCCCTGACAGTGTGCATCTCAGCATCGGCAAGGGAACCTTGAAGGATTACGTTGGACCTCCTGTCTTTACTGCCGACCGCCTCTACGACCAGTTCCCTCCTGGTGTCACCATGGGTCTTGCATGGACTAGCATGGGTGGAGCGGCTCTGTACGTTGAATGTATTCTGGAGAATGCATTGAAACACGACTCACGCCCGGGGCTCGAAATCACCGGCAACCTGCAAAACGTCATGAAGGAGTCCACTCACATTGCGTATTCCTTCGCCAAGTCTGTTATGGCGCGACAATTCCCTGAGAACCAGTTCTTCGAAAAAGCCAAGGTCCACTTGCACTGCCCTGAGGGCGCTGTTCCGAAAGATGGTATGTGAAACTTTTATGTGATGGTTAACAAGTCGGCGGCTAACCATTCCAATAGGACCCTCTGCTGGTATCACCATGGCTAGCGCCTTGTTGTCTTTGGCTCTCAATCACTCCCTTGTGCCAACCGTTGCCATGACCGGAGAGTTGACTGTGACTGGTAAGGTTCTGCGCATTGGAGGCTTGAGAGAGAAGACCGTGGCTGCTCGTCGGGCTGGTGCCACAAAGATTCTTTTCCCTGCGGACAACACATCTGACTGGCTTGAGCTACCCGAGGTGAGCCATAGAGCTATCTATTCCTAGTGGTTATCTTAGCTGACTGTTTTCTCTAGAACATTAAGGAGGGTATTGAAGGTCATCCGGTGAACTGGTACTCCGAAGTGTTTGACCTTCTCTTCCCAAGTCTCGACCATGAGGCTGCCCGCATGGTTTGGAAAGAAGCATTGGCCAAGCCCGAGAAGGGTAGCCACGAGGCCAATGAAGATTAGCATGCTGATACCTTTTGGTTTTTTGGGGAGGGGTTCCCCTTTCGGGTAATGTCGTATATACCTGTTATGTTTTACTTTGTATAGCTTTTGTGTGATTTATTGTGTACATGGCGTCTTTGTCTTCCGACACGGAATGCATGGATGGAGTTGAAGGACTGTTAGTAGACCTTTCGTTCCCATGTGAGATGTATGGACTAGAACGAGAGCCAAAAAAAAAAAGGATTACTCCACTCAAAACAGGTGTTCTAGTTAAGGTATGTGTATAGTATATCGCGATATTGCCAATGATAATGCAATGATAATGCAAAGACTCACATCTACTCCGTATATCTCGAGTAATATTAATGTAACAAAATTTAGGGCTGCTGTCGTGTCATGTAGATTGACGCCAAAATAACAGGGCGTGAACGGAGCCCCCAATCAGGCATAAGGGTCAGGCCGCAACGCATCCTCGAATTTTGATCTGTGCGCTTTTCGATGAATCATATCTCTATTCTATTTTTTTTCTTCCTCACCCTTGTGTCCCTTAGAAGGGCTTCTGATTGATCTCCTGCAAGGTCCTTTTGCCTCCAGACATTTGAAGCCTTGCAGCGGAAGCATCTCATCACCGCTATCAAACGGCTGCAGGCGATTCCTTAGAAAAAAAAAATTAGAGAGGGGAAAAAAAAAAGAAAAAGAAAAAGAAAACCACTTATACCTAAGAAATTTCATCTTGACCGACATCTCTCTCCCCCTTTTGCAACTTCCTTTTTACTTTATGAGCTTGTGCTGGGCCGGTCTCCCAGCCTCGCCCATTGCAGCCCGACGTTGTGCGACACCTGAACGTTAGACCTCGACGTGAACCTTCCATCTCCAACTCGAAAGGAGACCACTTGGAACTGGTGGGACAAAAACCGTGTCAGTGTGTCAGTGTGTCAGTGCGACGCCAAACTTCCTTGACTCCTTGACCCTGTCTCAATTCTTATGGACATCGGAGATTCGGCCAGCGGGGTGTTCGAGTCGTTCCTTACACGACAGAGCGGCTTGCCGTATGGCCATCTCTGTTTCCAACTCCTGTAGCCCGACGCGGCTGGCTTTTCTGGATGACAAAGGCGGAAATCCGCCAAAGCAGAGCATGTGGCACCGGTTGGGTTTGCGAAAATTATGGCAGGGCCGCGACGATCATCGAGACACGTCTGCCGGGGAGAGTCAAGACGAGATTTCTCCCCGCCCTTCTTCTGACAACTCCCGCGCCAAACAAGACAACTTGACACGTCGACTTTCGCGAAAAGTTGGCGTCGGTCTACCACGAACCACCCCCTTTAAGCGACAGAGCTCTGATCTCGACCGACTGGCTCCTCGGGAACCTGATCACCGCCGTGCCCTTTCCGCCGACCGCCGCCCCTTGAGCTCCCAGAGAAGCAGGTCTCCACCGCCAACCGTAGGCCCCAGACAGTCCGCGCCCGAGGTTCAGTGGCTCGGCCCGGCGCCCACAACCACGGTCGATGACCCCCTCGAACCCCAATCCGAAACGAACCATGCCGATGAGATTAACGATATCTCCGAGAATTCGAACCCCTATCCTGGAATGACGACGGATAATTTCGACACGCCAGAGGAGGAAGAGGATGATCACCCAATCGATCTGGATATGGAGCTAGAACAACGGTGGATTTTGAACCTGAGCATGCACTTCCGAGATGGATCAGAGCGGGAGAAATTCTTTGTGACGTACGCGGAGACACCGAACCGATGGCGCCGGGTGACGATTTCCTGCGATTACCACGATGCACCACCATATTCACTGGAGCGGGAACTGAAGGAACTACGGTATCAACGCGATAAGTGTGCCCGGATCTACGAATCCATTCGCGAGTCCCTTCTTGCGATCCAATTCTATGAAGGTGTCACAAATCTCAGGCTCGAGACGAGCGATGGCCGCTTACACGTTCATGTGACTGAGGACGTAAACGAAACAATCCCGTACCCGCCCATCTCCAGTATCAGGCATTTGGTCAACGCTCCTGTCATCCCCGAAGACTTGTTGCATTTCGAATCTCATCTATCCGGCTTCGTTTACAAAATAAACCTGGACGGACGTTTCTATATCAAGAAGGAAATACCGGGCCCCGACACTGTGGATGAGTTCCTCTACGAGATTAACGCTTTGCATGCGCTGAAAGACCGCCCAAGCGTAATCCAGGTGGAAGGAATCGTGATCGATGAGTGGCGAGGCGTCGTCAAGGGCTTGCTAATTAGCTATGCAGAAAAGGGCGCACTGGTTGACATTTTGTACGAGCAACGCGGGAGAACAAGCTTCACACGACGCGAGCGATGGGCAAAGCAGATTGTCCAGGGCCTCTGTGAGATCCATGAGTCGGGCTACGTGCAGGGCGATTTCACACTCGCGAACATCGTGGTGGATGCGGACGACAACGCCAAAATCATTGATATCAACCGTAGGGGATGCCCAGTGGGATGGGAGCCCCCGGAAATTGCCGCTAAGATCGAGAGCAACCAGCGCATCTCCATGTATATTGGGGTCAAAACTGATTTGTTTCAACTGGGCATGACGCTGTGGGCATTGGCGATGGAGGAGGATGAGCCTGAACGACAACCACGACCTCTTCGACTGGGCGATGATGCGAATATTCCAGACTATTACCGACGGATAGTGGATATCTGTTTAAGTCCAACTCCGCGACATAGGCTCTCTGCGAAGGATCTTCTCTCTATGTTCCCCCCACTGCCGGAAGCACGGGTATCACCACCTGTTCAGTCACTGGGAACCATTTCCAACGATGCTAGGCACTTGCCAATTAGTAACTGGGCTCAGCATCAGCCTGCTGGCCTTGGCCTGGCATCTCCAGGGGGCATGATGCAGCAAAATGATCATCATTACCCTCAAAAGGAGTTTCCGGGAAATTCGTATGGTGATCTGCAACACCCCATGTTCTCTGAGACCCATGACATCGTCAAGCGATCAACAATAACTCTTGCAGAATCCCATGGAGACATGGGGTTCCCATCTAAGCCATCTTCTTCCTCTACCTTGAATCACCATGAGCCTCACGACCATGACAAGTACATGGATTTCTCCCGCCATTTCAACGATGGCTCGTTACCCTACCTACCCTCTGCCTGTCAGGACCCAGAAGCTACTCCAGTTTCTCAGACAAGGTCGATGGGCAATGGCTTCCACGACCACCAAGTGGAATCACCAGTCTTCCCAAATGAGCCTGTCTGTCTCGAAAATAATAATCAGCAAGATGAACCGATCTGTAATAATTCCCGAGCTTTGCTTGGTTCTGCGCCTCCACTCCCGCATCCAGTCAGCACATCTCTTGTCGAGTCGCAGAAACATGAGGCTCTGAATCGACCGAGTCCAAAGGCTGCCGATGACGAGGGCGACCTTGGAATCTCAGCTTTGCCCATCAACCCTACTTTGCGTGACTCCAGTACATCAAGTGGCAACCACTCCACCAGTTTTTCGACAATTCCATCCTCAATTAAGCATGCAAAACAGGACGGTTTGAATCAGCTATGTTCAAAGGCCACCAATGACAAAGATGACCTTGAATCTTCATCTTTGCCCCTCAGCCCAACTTTCCGTGACTCTGGCGGTTTTATCGGTCTTCAGAACGCCCCTCAATCGGTGAAAGTTTCTCCTATCGAGCCGCCCAAACAGAAATATGCGGATTTACCATGCGCCAACGTCGAAAACAAACCTAAATTTACTGAGCCATCACCCTCATCTTCATGTCTCTCTCTCTCGGAACTACCTATCAGCCCTACTTTCCGTTCTTCTGGAACTTCCATCGCCGGTCTAGGTACAACTTCATCGCTGAAGTCTTTGCCTATTGAACCGTCAAGGCAGGATAACGTGGATCAAGCACATGCAAAGGCTACCACCTATATCAAGCCCATACCCACAACACCATCAGACGCAGCATCTTCTCAGGCTCGCCCGGCATCGTCTATCAATCCCACCCTAGCTCGCTCCAAACCTTCGCTGGAGCTTCCAAGTATCCCTCTATCAGTGAAACCGACTACCATCGAGCCGCCAAAGCAGACTTGTGCGAGTTCATCATGCGCAAACACTGGTATTAAAACCAAATTTACTGAGCCATCCCCTTCAACATCAAGTCTGGCCGGTTCGGAATTGCCTATTAGCCCAACATTCCGTTCTTCCGAGACTTCCCTCGACACTCTAAGTGCCTCTTCCTCACAAGGTCCTTTCCCTATTGAACCGCCAAAGCCAGAGCATGCGGTTATGCCACGTGAGAGCGATGTCACACCCAAGTGGCCGTCAGCAACATCTCGATTTTCTTCAATGCATATTTCGAGCCTCCGTCACACCGGGGCTTCCATTGGCTCACTGGGTACGTCATTCGCAACAAGTCCATCTGTCGTTGGGATTGGACTTCTAAGGCGGCCATGGGAAAAACCATCTGCAGATAATCCAGATGTCAAGTCCACATCGACAATGCCATCAGGATCAGCCCTCGGGAATTTTACGACTTCAGGGAAGCCAGAGAACGCCGTTTCGCCGGCCGAAACATCCCCCATCGAACTGCAGAGGAATGAACCTTTGGGCCAATGCAGCTCGAAGACAGCCGGTATCAAGCCTGCACAAACGAATCCATTGAACTCCAACCCGAATTTGCTGGGTTCGAAGTTGCCCATCAGCCCTGCTCATCCAAATCCAAAGCCTAGTGGCACTTATTCCGGGGTCGAGATGGCACGCCCTGTTCATGGCCCACCTTCAACTCAGACCAAACCGAGCATTTCGAGCCAGACACGTTTCTCGAATCAAATCCAGTCACCGACCTATCCTGCACGAACAACTTCGTGAAGCCCTTATGGGCAAATTCATACCTCGAACCAACGCAAGATCCCTAATATTTTACAAACAATCTTGCTACATTGGCCGCCACCCACGACGCCACGACCCATTTCTCCGAACGAGCCCCATATTCGGGGCCGAGCACTCGATACCCTTTTGATTTGCTCTGCTTGTACAGTTTATGCCTCGTCGTTTGCCTCGTGTTTTCAGCTTTCGGAAGCATTTATGCCGATGGCGGACGAAACCCGGGAGTCCTAAAAGTCTTTTGTTTTCTATTTTTTCTTTGCATTTTGGCGGATTTTAATTGGATTTTGTTCCGGTAGCTTTTGTTTTGTTTTCTCTACCTGTTTTATGCTGTCTTTTTTCTCGATTCCTTGCTGTTTATTCTATGCTTTTTCTGTTTCCTCTTCAGCGGAGGCCCTCGTTCTGCGTTCTGGTGTTCTCACCCGGAAGTCGATGTATATTGATGGGATCTTTTTATACCTCTTCTTGTCTGACAGGGCTGTATTATTCTTCTCTTTTTTCTTTCTTTCTTTCTTTCTTTCTTTTTTCTTTTTCGTTATGTGGCAATGCAATTCTTGGCTAGGACTGGCTTCCGCATTCTAACCGTAAATAGGCCCTGATGTCTCCTTCCATGGAGCAATGACTTCTCTCTGCTTGATCATAGACAATGAATTCCCCTTATTCTGCAGCCAAACAAGATTCAAAACTCTCTTGCCAAGGTTCTATACTTGACCCTAGTCCTCGTCCAATCAGTACAATCTTGCACTGGAGTGGCTTAGACTTATCCTCGGTGCTTATGGGCTCCGCATCTCGAATCTCGAATACATCCCGCACGGCTTGGATGATTCTGCTTGTCCCGTCATTCAGGATCAGTATACCCTTTAACCGGTGAACCTCAAAGTCCACCGGGTATGGCTCGGATGAGACTGATTTCGCAGGTGCAGGGAATATTGTGTCCCACAAAACAGAGCGCAGCCAGGCATCCACGCAGTTGACTTTATCTGCCGGGATTGGGGGCCTAACGATCGCAGTGGTGGAAATTGCCTGGTTATAGTTTAGAATCCCGAGAACACTCCCTGTTTGAAACGAGCAGAAGAAAAAGACAATATAAACGTACCGGGTCCATGTGGCTGTGTCCCTTCTTACTGAAGTCCAAATCCGCCAAGTGATCATAAGCATGCAAATCCAGCACAACGCCCTCAATCTGCGGCGTCCGACTATGGTCCGTCACATGGATTTTAGCCACGCTGTTGATAGAGGCGACACGATCTCGCACAGCCTCTAGCTCCTGGTCCGTTACTAAATCCGTTTTGTTGAGGATCACCACATCTGCATGCGAAATCTGCATATGCGCCATAGACAGAACAGGGCCAGAACCATGGTCGTGGTGCACGTCGTGCGACTCGGCCTTTTCTTCAGGCGCCGGCTCATCCAACAAGCGTGTTATGTTCTTTGCGTCAACAAGAGTGACGATCCCATCGAGGTAGATAGAGCTGCCGAGTCCTTCATCCATCCAGAAGATCGGGGCGATGTTGCCCGGGTCAGCTAGACCGGTTGTCTCTAGAAGGATGTAATCGAAAGTGCCGCGGCGTTCCATCAATGACTCGATGGCCATTACGCCTGAGTCTTTCACGGAGCAGCAGATGCAGCCATTGCCGACTTCCATCCATTCGGTCACTTCTTGGCCGCCCTGATTTACGGTCATTGGTTTTTCAATATCCATTGCTTTGTGATATCACGTTAGAATATAAGTTTTTGATCCTTTCAGGTGAACGCCTTACAGTCTCCAAATTCTGAAAGTGTATTAGCAATGTATATCATATCTCGCAGCCATGTGTAGTAGACGAACCATTCATGATCACGGCAATTTTCTTGCCGTGTTTCTCTGTCAGGATATAGTTCAACAGGGTCGTTTTTCCCGCCCCCAGGTATCCTGATCAGTGTATTAGCCTCATGTTATGACCTCAACCAATATGCGCTCTTTCATCATACCAGTAACCAGCGTGATGGGCACTCGAGTTGTTGGTTCTTCGTCTACCGATGTTTGGTCTGCCGGCATGGCAGACACATCGATAAGCTCCGGAGGAGCATCCTCATCTTCAAAATCGGCAGACATCCTAGTCTTTACATAAATGTTGCGTAAATATACAGAAGAACACAGAGCCTGGAGAAACAGAAAGCCCGTAGATGTAGCGGATGACGTTGTTTCCCAAAATAGGTATTAGGGCACAGGGCTCGGGCGGTCAGCGGTTGCTATGTTTATGGTTGTTATCTTCAGCGTCTAAGCTTGCTCTCGATACTCGACTTTTTGCTTTCATAACACAATTCAACAGGGCGCCTAGGGATAATCCACTCTTTTATTCGTTTCTCGGTTTTTCTCGTTTCATCTAGCGCCCTAGTTATACTACCGTCATGACTGCTGCGGGAGTCTCTCCGTCAAGCTCCCCGCGGCTTCCTAGCCCTCCTCCCTTTACTGAGGTTCAGATTGGGCCTCAGTCGCTGTCGGTCGGTGAATCCTTTGGCAAAGATGCAGACTTGCTTGGTGTTGCGATGGGAGAAAATGATGGCTCGACGCGCAGAATCCGGCCAGGGACCAAATCCGCCAACATGGGCCTGCCGGTGATTCCCCTTTCACAGGTTAGTTGCTCCCCGCTAGCTATGTTGGACGTTACTGATAAAATCAGCTTAATTCTCCATTCCAGCTTCAGGAACACCTCAAAGCTCAGTACCAGAAGCTCGCGTCCCAGTACCCCCGACTTAAGGAGAAGTACGATGTGCTTATGGAGAAGTACGACGTGCTTATGAAGGAGTACAATGAGCGCAAGCGCGAAGCATCTGACAAGGAGGACCCGAAGTACGATGTGCTTATGAAGGAGTACAATGTGCTTATGGAGGAGTACAATCAGCAGAACCCCAGCGAATTTGACAAGGTGGACCCGACTAGCGAGGTTGCGGCAGACCCGACAGAGCAGACAGAACGCCCGGACATCGAGGTTGCGAAAAAGCCAAGAAAGCCGGAGAGTGAGGTTGCGAATGAGCTGACAAAACCCCCGAAGGGAGTCGATGAAACGGTTTGGAAATATGAACTGTGTCGCTTCTTCACTATAGAGGCTAATCGGCTGATCGAGGGCTTTTTCGCTGAGAGCCCGCCCTGCTCGGTCCAAACTTGTCCTGAGATGCGAGTCAACGATTGGCAGTATATTTGCGCGGGCGCCGGGCACCCGAAAGCCAAATATTGCTGCGCTATTGACTATTGCTGCCATACTCTGGATTGGGCCATGAACATTCTCACCTCGAAGAAAAAATTCCCCAGCCGACTTAGATTGCCAGATGATGAGAGTACCACGAACCCCTTGCATGATATCTTCCGCCGCCTTTACCGCTTCTTCGCGCACGCATGGTTCCGGCATCCTGGTGTATTTTCCAAGGTAGAAAAGCATGGCGGTCTGTACGTGTTTTTCAAGACCGTTTGCGTTCACTACAACCTTATCACGGACTACACGATTCCCATTAAGGCTGGAGGACCGGATGAAGTCGCAGCAGCTCAGAAGAGGCAAGAGGCCAAGAAGAGAAAGGAGGAAGTCGAGGAAAAACCTGTCAACAGTAGCAACCGTTTCACTATTCTACGCAAGGATGATGAAAATTCATTCGGTACCGCTGTGGAGGGTCAGGACCCGGCGCTCGCCACTGGCGCGACCGCCCGTCGCCACAAGCACAGTCCTTCAACCGGATCGCGGGTTACAACTATCGCGGAGGATGCGGAGGATCTGGAGGACGTTACACCATCAGCGCTGCGTGAGCCCCTGAAGCAATCGCCTGAACCACGGCCTGTTTCTGTTTTGGAAATACGGACTAGAGAGGAGCCTACTGCCGCAAATGAGCCACCTACTGATGTGGGAGAGTCGTCCGAAAAGCCAGTTGAGGAATCTCAAGAACAGCCACCGCAAGGACCCTATGGGCAGCCATCTGAAACTCCTGAAGAGCAGGAGAAGAGCGAGCAGGTCGAGCAAATTGAGCAGACGCCCTTATCCGAAGATTCGGCTACAAACACAGAATCGCCCATCCAGAAGAATGCTACGGAAGGCGATGAAAATACAGCTTCCTACGAAGAGGCAACCCCAACTGAAGAGCCTCAAGCAGAGATTGAGGTGGCGAAAGAGCCTCCCGTTGCCCCTGAAACCAAATATGAGCCAGAGAAAAAGGAGTCTTGATATCAGCACCCTCTCGAACCTTTCACGCCAATCTCACACTGATGATAATTGACTGTTTGTATGTATTCTTCGTTTCCCTTTGCTATTACCCTTGCAATCAGCGATGAGTTGCAATTCTTTAGCTATCGAATACTCTCTTTGTAATATAGTTCAGGATATTGTTTATGGCCAATGTCAATGATACCCATTCTAGCATGCTTGCTCAACATATTCATGGATCAAACAAAAAAATAGGTAGCTCGTAGATCTTATATAGGAAGCCACATCTGTATTTATATATATAAATGTCCATGCATGGTACATAGTACATATATGTATGTAGGTTGATAGGTTAGTTAGTCCACAGGTGAAGGGAACCTCGGGATGGGTGCCCAGGTGATCTTCAAAGGTTGAATCTGATAAGCGCTTATCGACATATCGCGCGACATCACCGGAAAACTAATAGGACAACCTTTCCAAATTTACCTCAAATATCCCATAGGTATCCAACTCCGAAATGTCAGCTCTCAAAGGCGCCACAGCGCCTATATACTTTGGCTCCTTCATTGTTACACCACAGGTAAGTATCTCATGACCCAAACACCCCCTAGTCTCCTCAACCAACACCAACCACATTATAGCACAGAACCAGCCATAAACATAGTAACCCTAGCACACCAACCTAACTAACAACTCACTACTAAACCGCAGGTCTTCCACACAACCCCCCCTAACCTTTGCCCTGGTAAACTTGAAACCAATTCTCCCAGGCCACGTCCTAGTCTCCCCACGACGTGTTGTCCCCCGTGTCACAGACCTCACCCCCGCGGAAACAAGCGACCTCTTCGTAACCGTGCGGCGCGTGGGCCGTATGCTCGAGCGCATATACGGTGCCACTAGCTTGAACATCGCCATTCAGGACGGCGCTCACGCCGGCCAGAGCGTGCCGCATGTCCATGCGCATATCATACCGCGCAAGGCGGCGGACCTGAGACCATGCTGGTGGCATGGATGCGATTTATGACTTGCTTGATGGGGACGAAGGGGATTTGAGGAAAGCATTTAAAAATGCCGTTTCTACGGAAGAGGGTCGTCAGTCAATTGAGGTTGGGAATGGAAGTGCTGTGAATTCGGGGAGGAGGTCTAGGTTCCCGGTTGTGGATAATGACGCGCGCAAGCCTCGAGATGAAGAGGATATGAGAACCGAAGCTGAAATGTTGGCACGGGAGATGGAGAGTGAGCCTCTTGATTAATTTGGTTTATGCCTTGCATGTGAAGATCCGGGGCAATTGTATACATGAGTCTAATAGAAGCGGATATGACAGTTTACCAGTAAAATAGGCCGAGTTGTGAGATGGACGCCGCAAGCTGAATTCTTCATGCTCGTTATCGTGTTGTTAACTATAGAGCTCGGATTTGAGCTTTAACATTGGCTCTGAAATCTGTGCTGACAAGATCGTCAGATGGCTCGGCTAGGGCATCTTTCTCCTCGGTCGTATCTAGTTCGGACCGGAGAATGGGCTCGTTACCGTATTCTTATTAGGTTTCAAATTTGACGCTGCTTGTTATTCATTCCCTGTAACAGAGCTTCAATTTCTTATGGGAGTGTTGCTTGGGCATCATCAGAGTAGCGCGTCACATAGAACCCCCTAGGTGGGATCTGATTGTGGTCTTCATAGAACTTCCCAAAATCCTAGATGAGACTAAGAAGTCAGTTTACTTCATCTCCGGTAGCTTTGTATCTCCTGTCACTCTGGCTTCTGTATGAGTCTTTCGAAATGGACGTGCTGTTGTCTTGACATCAGCCGCTGCGTTGTGGCCAGATGATCGCATAGCCAAGCTGCAGTCTTGTGGCACTCGACAAACTTCAAGTTAGATCGACTGGGCTGTAAAGACGAATAATCTATGATATTCCTCGCCGCTCATTTGGAAGTGAGCTCTTGGAAAAGCTGAGAACTTGAAGTTGCCTATGTAGGCAGAGCGATATGTACTCACCGGATAACAAGTATAGTGAAAATGAGAGTTATACTACGCCTAAAACTTTCTAAAAATTCATGTGTTCTCGTAACTCGTCCTCTATGGTATCTAAAGTACCCGAAGGGGAATGAAACCCAGAGATAAAAATGGAGAAACAAACGCCGAAAATGCAATGGGTCTCTTAAACGATAAGCCCAGTGCATGCGAGACTCCCCAATCACCCATTTCCTGCAATCATGCGCAAACTTCATGCATATTTATGCCTTCTTCCGTCTTTCTTGAATGACCTCAGCAGCCCACGCTTGAATCTCGGGCAACCGGATGCGCGAGGCAACGTGGGTGAACTCGGTGAGATCAACCTCGCTTGAGCGCTCATACTCAACCATCTGCAACAGCAGCTCCATCTTGTCGATATCATGTACAAAGTGGGCCTCAAGGGTTTCGTCCTTCTCGTATTCCTCAAACACTTTCTTGATTTCCCCGCCCGAAAAGATGCCTCCGGGGACCTTGGCGAGGAGGGTACTGGTGATGTAGTCCATAACGGAGGCCTCGCGACGAGCCTTCTCGGCCTTGGTGATGTGGTGGTCAACTGGAGTGATATCGCCGACAAGCGCCTCGGCCATGTCGTGGATCAAGGCCATCTTTGTGCAGTGCGGGATGTTGATCTTAGTTGCTAGGGACGGCGGGGCCATCATCGTCATGATCGACATGCGGTACATATGGTCAGAGATCGACTCGCCATTGATGCCAAAGCGGCGCCAGCCCTCGCGCTTGGTGGTCTTAAGGCGCTCAATCAAGTGGAAGAAGGGAACGGGTGAGGTAGAGTTCTCCTCCGGGCGGTGGGGGAGCGTAGAGAGCACTGCAGATCTCAGCTTTGCGGGTTCTAAGAAGAGAAATTCCAGGCTTACCGGTCTCGGGGGTCCACGTAGAGTTGTCAGTAACCATGGCTGATGTCCTTGAGGGGAGAGAATGACTGAGAGGAAGAAAGAAATACAACAAAAATGATAATTGAGGGGAGAAAAAACAAACTACAATGAACGCGGGACTGATAGGCGCTGCAAACAGTGCAAACCTTCCTTATCAATGTTTACTCTCCGCCGCCTGTTTACTAAAGTCCCCTTCAACACAGGATGGCTGCAACAAGGCCTGTTCGGCCGAAACCCCTGGACTGGGCAGGTCCCTCGCATTTGGATGTATTTGTTCGCAATCTAAAACTGTTGCATCTGGATCAACGCGAGGATTGGCCCGGTATATCTCTCCGCACCTTGAACCTGACATCACAGAACCAACGACACAGAATCCGACTGATAGAATGGGCCCTGTATCACCTCTACATGATTTGGGATCCAGAGAGCGCCCAAAATGTACAATTTCTCAATCACTAACTTTCAGGTTTGCGAACTTTGCTGATATTCCATGCAGAAACTCCGGCCCTTCTTCCCCCGTTAGAGCCTTTACAGTCTGTCAACCTCCGCGCGGCCTTGTTTCGGTGTCTGGGTGAATTGAAGAAGAATGGCGATCTGGGAAGGGAAATTGTGCTCCGCAAAACTATGCTGGATGATTGTAAGGGTGATAAATTCGAGGAGATGCTCGCTGGCTTCTCCACCGCCGTTCTCCGTAAAGTTGTGGCGGTGTCCGCGGACGAGATGCTTCGGAATCCTGCCATGAAACTTTCTACTGCGACGGCCATGACCCCAACCGACTATCAGAATCTCCTGCCGCTCATTCTTGCCCAACAAGTATCTCTCGGTTCTGCGGGAGAACGCCATGCCCGAGTTAGAGAGGCGTATGATCGGTTCTCACAACTTCTAGATGATAAAAAGGTTGAATTGACCGAACGCGCGAATCAAGGATCAGGTAGTCACGTGTATGATATGCGGAGCGACCCTGAGAGCTTGGTGCGTGAGTTACAAACAAATTGGCTAGGCAGCGAGGAATGGGCCAATGCACTGCTCGAAGGCGGATCACAAAGCAGCACTGATTCTTTTCTTGAACTCCCTTTCTCAACGGCATGGATGCGGGCAAAGGACTCGAATGTGGACGGTTTCAGCAGTGGGTTGAAGCAGGACCTGATCTTTGATTTGGAGGCTCGTGTTCTCCTCCAACGAAGTCGACTACGCAGGTGGCATGAATACAACAAGTCCCTGTCAAAGGACAAAAGAACCGACGAAATGGGCACATCCTCGCCTAAAGAACCACGCGTGTTATTCCTGGATCACCAGTCTCTCACAGTTGCTAGTATATCCAAAGCGGTTCGCCAGCCCGGGGATTGTGGGCGGACTTTGAAAGGGCCAGAGAAATATCTCCTGTCATCTGTAAATGAGGCCCTATCCCGTATCAACGGCAAATCCCGCACCAAGCCATCTGCAGTTTTGACACCGGAGGTCAAAACGAGCAGCAAATTACAGTTCAGAAGCTCATTGGATATTGCCAACTCGCCATCAACAGTGGCAGAAGACCACAATGCCCCAGGTCATCCACCAGACTTGGAACCTCCAGAGCTCCGTCCAGAGCCCAGCTCCAAGCCCAAGCCACATCCAGAACCAGAGCATATTCAACCCTCGCAACCAACTGTCCGGCTCTCCCCAGACTGCCCCTCACCAGACGAGGAATTAGCCCCAGAACCCATCAAGCGCACTCACACCTTAGCCGAGCGCACACGAAGGTCATTGTCACTCCTCCCACCCGTGGCGCATGAAGAAACACGGCCCCGCCGCAGATCCCGCCCGTCCTTCCCAGTCAACCAGTTTGTGACGCCGCGGAAAACCTCCGCGCACTCAGCTCGTTCAAGGGATGAAGTCTCACGTGCTTCGACCCCACACGATCAGCTCTTTGAGGAAGATGCTGAGTACGCAAGTGTCTTTAAGTCGCGACCGCGTGTGGCGCTTAGTCCTATTTCGTCGCCGGCTGTGCATGTCAGCCCTTCCTTTGAAGATGAGAGTTTTGAATTGGATCATGAGGATGGGGATGAGAGTGAAGGTTGTGAGTGGGGGGATGTTGATTCGCCTTCGGCTGCTCCGCGATTGAGGAGCTAGCTTGTCAAATTATACATATGCATCCATACATACCCATGTTTTCCCTACAGTGGCTTTTCTATATATGCTAAACTCTTATAGGGGGGTTTAATTTGCCGCAATTGGGTGAGACAGTCAGCATGTAAACTGGGCTATTATCTAGAAGAAAGTCAGAATCACTGTTGGTCTAAGGTGCTTAGCCTGGAACAATTTAGTTTTTCAGATCTCTCTTTGCCCCTTTCTTGTCTTACTTTAGTTACTTATCTGTTTTTCTGTCATATTCTTTCCCCTCAGTAGTATAGGACAGCTAGGGGTGATAGGACGAAAAAGATTCATTTCATCAAAGAAATTCATTGCGAAAAGGCCTCGGGAGCGGGCGAAAAATATGAGGGAAAAGGGAAGGGACCAACGCAGGTATGTATAATCTAGTTCGCTGACCACAACACTCTATCACCAGCCAGACTCATGATAACCTGTTCAAGACCCCGTTTTCTCATGGTCATTTCTGGCTTCTTTATAGGAGTAGGTATCAGGTCCCCGGCGTTGAGCAGCTGCCGCACCATCTCGGCGTCCCCCTTGGATGCAGCGGCCTGCATGGCGTTGCCATATTCACCACCCTGGGTAATGGCCTTGGCCCCGGCTTTGAGTAGTATCTGCACAACGCCGGTGTCCCCCTGCCCTGCTGCAGCGGCCTTCAGGGCGTTCCCGTATTTACCACCCTGGGTATTGACATCGGCCCCGGCGTTGATTAGTATCCGCACCAACTCGGCGCTCCCCAGCCATGCAGCGATCTGTAAGGCGTTGCCGTATTCACCACCCTGGATATTAGTACCGGCCCCAGCGTCAAGTAGCATCTGCACCAACTCAACGTCCTCCTGCCTACAGCGGCCTGTAGGGCGCTGCCATGGCTACCACTCTGGGCATTCACATTGGCCTCAGCGTCGATTAACAGCTGCATCACATCACCGCGCCGCATTGATGCAGCGGCCTGCAGGGCATTGCCGTATTTACCACCCTGGGCATTGATTTCGGCCCCGGCCTTTATTAGCATCCGCACCACCTCGGCGCCCCCTGCCCATGAAGCGGCCTGTAGGGCATTGCCGTATTCACCACCTTGGGTATTGATCTTGGCCCCGGCCTTCATTAGTATCCACACCACCTCGGCGCTCCCCGTCGATGCAGCGGCCTGTAGGGCGGTACCGTATCTACCACCCTGAGTGTTGACATCGGCCCCGGCTCGGATCAGGAAATTCACCGTATCTCTACGGCGGCTTAACGAAGCGGCCAGCAAAGCGCTTCCGGCTTTTCTTGATCTTGTCTCGATGGTAAATCCGTTGTTCAGAAGCCATTCGACGAATTCCGCATGTCCATGTTCTGCTGCTTCCTCTAGCGGTGTCCCTCCGGGGATACTCTTTCTGTCATATTCTGCCCCCTTCTTCTTGAGCATTTGAGCCACTTTCATATGACCGCGTCGCGCCGCTAAATGAAAAGCTGACTGCTCTGCTATATCTGTCTGATCGATGTCCTCATTGTTTCGGATCAGGTAATCCAAAACATCGACCATGTTCGCAGCTGCTGCCATATGGAACAGCGTCGTTCCGTATCGGTAATGCTCTTCTCGGTCTCCTATTCTTCCGTAACGGTAATACTCTTCCCGGTCTATCCATCCCAGATGCTGATTGACTACCCTGACCATCTTTGAGATATTGAGCCATCGGTCAAGAAGCTCCCACAGTGTCTGCACTTCATCATGTAGCACATGTGAATGAGGGCATTTGTGCACTTCTGCATGACTGAAAAGATTGACGATCGTTCGAGACGATCCAGCCTTTTCTGCATGCACAAAAAGATTCGTGGTTGCATAAAAAAGAAATGGTACTTGCGAAAAACCCTTGCCTTTCTCATGTTCGGGAAGAGCCTCTCTGGTAAAATAGACCAAACATGATTGGTAGAGCGTCGCATGGCATTGAAGAATCATTTCTTTGCTTTCAATGGTTGGCGCGCTTTTATCGACAACCTTTGACCTCAGGTGAAGCAGTCCCTTGTTACGCAAAAAGTCATGGACTGTTTGGTGGACTACCAGTACGGCAGTATCCTCGCGGTAGAAGCCTATTTCGGCCAGTCCACCAGAAAGCGCTTGGATCTTGAAATCCATGTCCTCGTCGTATCTGATAAATCCGCCTATCTGCTCCCATGGCTGGCTTGATGGTATTGTGGCATGTTTCGTCGTCAAGGCATACCGCATTTCTGTTTTGCTAAGGGGTCGCTCGGCCGCGCATAGCCACTGAAAGAACAAGAACACTTCTTGCGGATTTTCAATTGTCATGACACGTTCCAGTGTGTCCAGATACATTTCTTCAAGCTCGCTCGGCACCGTACGTGACCATTTACGGATATCTTCAGCCGAATGCTGATGAAGAATCTTCCGCTGGATGGTAGGCATGATGATATGGACCCATTGGAATACCCCATTTGCCTGCTTGATCAGTTCGTTTGCCAAGCTTCGCCAGGCATCTTGGTCACGAACTCGACAAGGAAGTTTGTCCCTGACGTAGGAGGCGATGTCCATGAAATTATGATGCTCGACCGTTATCTCAATGGTCTCGTCACTGTCCACAATTGGATAGTGTCTGCACGAGAAGCATATTTTCAGGGTAACCCGAGCACGACGCGCAGAACGATTAAGCTGGTGGAAATAATCTGCCAGCTGCTGCGCAGAAAACTGGCCAGTCTCGTCCAGAGCATCCACGAGAATAGTCACTTGCTGGTGAGTGGCCGACATCAGGATTGCCTTTTCTAGTAACTCCTCTAGCAGCTTCTGTGGCCATTCCGAATTGTGCTCGCCACCCGCAAACTTCTCATGTCGTCTATTATATGCCGCACGCACTAAAGGACGCACGGTCGCATCGTAGAGAAAGAGTTGGTTGAGCAATGACCTGAGCATCCCTAAGGGTGTGCGTTGCAACTCGGTGCCACGAGCAGTAAAGAAAAATTCGAGTTGAGTGCCCAGGCCCATGCCTCGCGGTCCCTTTAGCTCATTGTATAGAAACTCCACCAGCGTCGATTTGCCCGCCCCTGGCTTGCTTTGATCCACAGCAAAGCCTGGGAGCGGTTCATCCAGGACTTGTACTCTTCAAGTCCCAAAATCCACTTGCAAGTATTTGCATGGCGTCTTTGAATGCCTTCCCGCCGTGTGAGCATTTCAGGAAATGCTAGTGATCGAAGGATTTCTGCTATGGCAATTAGTGATTTCCTTCCTGACTAGGCATTCAGGGCAGTGCGAACCGTTGTCCATCTTTTTTTGGTCTAGAAAGTATCAATATCCTGTCGCACTGTATGGAAAGGGCTTACTCACTTTCTTTTTGTTTAAGCTTGGGGTTTTTATACCTGCCGGATATATTGACTGCAATTATTTAGGAAAGGCATAATCTCTAGCTTTTTTTATTGGGGTCTCGTTACCTGTGCAATCATTGTACTGTGGCCCGTTAGAGTTGTTGTTGTATTGGCTTTTGCCATTGGTGTTGACGTTCTGCACTCCATGGCCAGAATTGTTGAAAGTGCCAGTGAACGTTGGTTGGTCCATTATTGCCGCAAGACAACAGAATCCTAGGACATAGCAGGGTAATTATAATATAGGTGATGGTTTCTGGTTTTAACAGCTGGGATTCATTGTATAGGGACATGCTATACATAGTATAACATAACGGAGCCGCCTATGAGGGTGGTCATAGCACGCTAGTCATGGCTAATCCACGTCGAATAGATTAAATCCAAAACACGACGTTAAATAGACAAGCGTCAACATGGCTGGCGTCTCGCCTTACCCCGTCTTTGCTTTTTTCCCTCACCCCAAACGGCTGCAGCGGTTATGACTTCTTATCTTCCTAGTAACATGAAGCAGTCTAGCCTGCTACCCTGCAACCTTGGCGCTCTTGTGATCTCAACTGACTGCTGTACAGAACAAACTACCTTCTAAAGATAGAGTCCATGGCTTTGGCCTCAATATACGGTTAGCGCCCACAGTCAGCTGTTGCAGACAGAGCGTTAACACAGGCAGTCAGAGCAAGAGAGTTAATTTATCACCAAGTTGCCAAACAGCGTGCCCTCGAGAAGCCAAAGTGACAATAGTACCTAAGAGGCTCCGTGATCAGAGCCTTGTCTCTTAACATTCCTATGAAATTCTCCATGTCAACCCAAATAAGCAATCAACCACAGCGATCCCTGCGTGTTGTCCGCCACAATCACACATCACACAATCGCATTCACTCAGTGACGAATCAAGCAACACGGTCCTCTTATTATGCATGATTTGATGAGCCAAGACGTTGTTGAAGCTCAAGTCTCTAACTTCAGCTCCTATTGTTGGTACTCGACTCCCTCTCTTGCCGCTCAAAAGGAAACCTTCGAGTTACCAAAGGATCAACAGGATCAACTTGACTGATTTTCCCGGGAAAGTGACTGTTAGCCGCCGTCGAGCCATTGACCCCGCAAAACAACTCAATCTCGCTATTACCTGGCCCGCTGTCAATATCTTGTCTGCTGCACTTCGATGAGACATGTCACTCCCCAGTACCGGTCCATATCGTTTTCTCTCTCCTCCCCTCTCGAATTATGTAGCCCAGTTTTGCATTTGACGCAGAGTCTCCTTCTACATGGCTTCTTAGCAAACGTCGACTTCCAACTCCAAGGTCACATCCAAAGTATTTCAGCACGCTTAGGTGGGGTCCGCTTCACTGTCCATGCAAAATGTATAAGCATAATTGCTGCTGAATTCTTTTCTCAAAGGGTCTAACAACAGTCTAAGCTTCCAACAACAAGGCTAAACTTTCAAAGACCAATGAACTTAATGGACAAAAAGAGCTTTCCATATTCAATATGATTAATGGGGTTGTCGTGAAGGAAGCTGTAAGCCATAGATGGGGCCATTGAACATATTACCACTGCCAAAGGAGTTATATTGAACAGCTGAACCATTGTTCGTGTTTATCAAACCGGCCCCATAATTGTTAAACACAAAGGGCGAGCTGTCGACCGTCAAATCTTTGTTTTCATCTGTTCCAGCAGCTAACCGACCCGAATCAACGCTGGGCGCTTTAGTTAGCATGTTTATAAAAGTACACCAGCTCACTGTGCGACATACCCGTTTTCATTCATCCATCTCTGAAGCTCGCCGAGCAAGCTTTTGTATCCATTATCTTCCTTGGAGGCAAATTTTACCATGGCACTATGATTGGCGTGGATACCGATGGAGTTATACCCATCTAGGGTTGCCGATTCCTTGCACACCACTTGTCCCACCATAGGCAGAGGCAGCTCCTCGTAGAAGCACGTCACTTCGAGATTCCCAGATTCACGCAGCATGTTCATGAAGTCAAGTTGGAGGGACTGTATCAATTGATTCTCAGTCTCCAGTACCGTCAACAAACCCTTATTGGTAGACTTCATAATCCCCAAAGCTTTGGCGGGAATCCGGGACCAATCAGCTATCCACGAGCCCTTATGAGGTGTTCCCATGAATATGACACCCTTTGTGCAAGTAAAGAGTCCTCGGAGATGGGTGTCCGGGTTATTTCGGGAAAGGAGTATGGCCATCTTGCAGACAAGACCGCCTAGGCTATGTGCAACGAAAATCAAGGGTCTTGATGATGCGTTGCAAGAGGCTCGATCTGTCGTCAAGTTATTCAGGAGATTCGTAGCGTGGTCCCTCAGCCGATTTGATGATGCGACGGACTTTCGCAAAACATAGGCATCATAGCCGTAAGTCAATATACGAGCTCGAGTGGTGATTTCAGCAGGGAAAAGCTCTTGTGGCCATGGAGCTGGCTGTTTATTTGCAGTCCAGGTACTTTTTGGAGCGGTCCAAGTAGTTCGTCGATCTCCAGTCAAACCGTGGATAAAGCAGATATCAAACGCTGCCTTAGGGCACTCGTATAACACTTCGACCCCATCCGGAAATAGAGGGACTGGCGGGGGATTCTGCAACCCCTCGCTAGTCTCGACACTGGATTGCAGTTTGGATCCAACGTGGTCGCCGCTCGTTGGCTCGACTCGAGAGACTTTTGAGGACTTGTTGAACCAGGGACGGTGACCAAGTTCAGGCATCCTTGAATGCGAGACGTCAAATACGTCGAAAGAGTCTTGTCATAAATGTTAGAGTAAACTGAATTTCTGGCTTCAGGCGCTGTAAGGTCTCAAACTTGATGCAAAGAAAAGGTGCGATTTTTTGTATTTGGCTAGACTGGAATAAAATCGAATTAATTGGGAAGAGGGGAACTTCTCTTCAAATGCAATGCACTAGGTCCCTTGCCATGTCATACTTGCATATTGCCTCTAGCCTATTGGTTGAAATTGGTTGAAATCTGCCCACTTCGGATGTACACGCAAAAGAGAAAGGTTTATGGCTTGTTGCAGGAATGCCACGGGGACATGCATGAGTCTTGCAAGTCTGGGCGACCTCCATAGATCTTACCGGCGGGGTATCAAGTACTAGGACACCTCCCATCTCGTGCGAGTACTTGAGTCTTTCATAGCACTAGTACTTCTATGGAGTACAGATTATGTCCCATCCTCCCACCTCGAGTCTTTGCACTACAAATTACCTACTTTAGTGGCCATAATGTCATCTGCAAACCCTACACTCAGTCTCATTTTGGGTGACACTATCAACGCCCTCAAAAAGGCAGAGAGAAACAGTGGTGACCCAGATGTCGGAAACACACCCGCTATATTTCGCGAAGCAGCCAAGCGCATCCCATCCCTCCTGGTATACTTCAAAAAATGCAAGCAACATCTTGATGCAACTATGACAGCCGAGGACCTCCCTCAATCAGCCATTCACACTATGGAAATCTGCGAGAGTAACGCTCTTCGGGTGAATGAGATCTTCTCAGGTGTGGTCGGAAGTTCAAATGCAGCTGAACAGTACCGGAGAGTTGCACGAGGAGACCGATTGGAAGATCTGATGAAGGAAATACTTACGCATGCGATTCAAATCTCGAACATTAGCCAGCTTGCTGCTATAAGGGGCGCGGAAGTTGAGGAGCTCGGTAAAGCTCTACGCTCTTTTGTGGCGATGCCTGCGTCATTGCCGGAAAACAAGGCGTCGTATTCTTTCAACAACTCCGGAAATGGGTATCAGAATATCAACACCAGTACCGGACAACAGTACAACAACACTGGTGCCGGCAATATGTTTACTGGCACAATTCAGGGCTTGCAGATGTCCAGATGATATGTGGGGAGCAACACTGCTGTTCGATTACAGTAAACCCTGTATATAACGAACCCAAATATAGCGAACCCGTATATGAAGAAGCCCTATATGTGTTTCGATAATTCACTGTGGTAATAGGTTTTTTTTTCTTACACTATGAAATTCTAAATTCTTCGCCTTCCCTCATTATGGGACAGTAAAGGATCAACAAAAAGTGACTGAATATAGTCTGAATTGAAATGTCGAGTACATGAAGCAGCCTGGTGTGATTCATATGCAGAAGGAGGCATGAATATCATCAAACTGCATTCAGCTGGACGCTAGTCTTGTTTCGGCAGGATAGTCAAGGGTCGGGATTTTCGCAGAGCTTGCACCAGTACCTCAAGTTCAGGTTAGCCGTTTACCTTGCCCAGCAATAGGCCCTGGTTAAAATAAGATAGTTATTAGGCTTTGGGGATGTGAGAGTTTCCTACGGGCGAGGAAGTAAGAGGTAGAAGTAAACAGATACTAGAACGATTTTAGACTATGGCTTTATATCTCGAGAGATATCTACGACCTGGACATTACACAATCCTCCATTCAACGTCCACGGGTTCGGCCTGTCGTACATATTTAATTCCGTATACACATCCAATAGTTACTGTATATTGCTCTCATGCAGGCATGGGCCTCGCAAGATTAAGGTACAGTTCCAACGATGGAACAAACATGGAAGTTCCCAGGGTTCCATGAATGGATGGTTGGCAGGTTCACGTGGTCCGTTTCCAGCTTAAATCTGGCCTCAAGCCGCCCACATACAGGTTGACATCTCTTTCCTAGAACTCTCTCCAATTTTTGTATAAATCATTGATTGGCTTCAGAACTTGAGAAATCATTGATCCTTGTTATCTTATATGTATATGTACTCTTGCTGTGTTGTCTTAAAGTTTCTAGGTTACCCTAAAATTTCCATAAGGTTTAACCTTGAGCTTGTTTTGAATCTTAATATACTACGGAGTATACCTGGTATATCCTACTAGATAATGCCTTGGGAAAACTCACATAATACCAATTGTTGAGCAAAGTTGACAGGGGGGGAAAATACATAAGCTTCAAAGTAGGCCCACTCAAATCGTAACATTTGGAGCTGGGGATCTATATGAACAACTTGCATAGACGGGAAACACACAAAGAGACTCTTTTTAAAGACCATTTAGTCACAACCCCAATAGGATTTATAAAGCCGACATGATCATAAAAAACAAATGACAGTGAATGGTGACTCGTATTTGCGGCACGGTAAGGCCGAGTGGGGGTTAAGTATGATGAGATGGCTGTTTTAGTCTCGGAACATGAAACGCAGACGTTAGAGATAAATTGGAGGGCTCCGTTTCGAGATCTGCAACGTCAAAAATGTCGAACCCTTGCAAGCTCCCATGTGCACTATTATCACGTGTAGATGAACCGAGATTCGAGATTAAAACAGAACTTATTTAGGTAGTGCCATTGCATCTAGACCTTGGAAAGAAACCTCAATGGCCATAATCAAGATCAAGATCCCGGGAACTTTGCCACGTTTTGCGATTGTAACAGGGATGAGTCTCCAGGAGGCCCTTGCTCGCAGTCTGGCGATCTTACTCGTTGTAGTGTGTAAATGCTGTAATTGCCCTTGGGCATTGGTCTTGAGGGAATTGCCCCCGCCCTCGTGCGCGATGTACTTGGGCCCCAATATTCTCTTGTCTGATTGTTCATATTTTGCGGATGTTGTCAAAAAAAAAATAATAAAAACTCTGAAAACAAAATCCTTCCTTCCGAAGAGGTTCTTCGGCGTCACTTCCTCACTCATGGCGTCTCCCTCAGCCACACTCGTTCACACCCTTGGTCATAATGCCTTGGGAAAGACAGATATTGCTGTTCAGTCGGTTCTTTTGGCTATTGTCTTTCTTTCCGTCGGCCTGCGGTTATGGGCGCGACGATTGCGGTGGATTTCGCTGGAATTGAATGATTTGTTGATTATAGTTGCGACGGTAGGGCTATCTATTTCATTGTTCCTTCTAATATGTGACGCTTTTGATTCCCCGCAATATCTCACAGGGCTGACTAAAAAACTAGTTCTTTATGGTCGGTCGCTACGTGGTGGAAATCCTCATGGTTGTGCTCTGTGGAATGGGGCTGCATTCCACGGAAGTAGTCCAGGTCGGAGGGTCCGAAGTTCTTGTCCAATTCAATGAGGTAAGTCACAATATGGCATCTACGTCGTGTGTTTCTTGGGCTAAACCCACCATCAGCTTACATATGCGGGTGATCTTCTCTGGGTCACGGTGGTCGCCTTGGTCCAGTTGTCAATTCTCAACTATTATGTGCACAGCTTTGGCCAGAGCACTATGACCTTGCTATCATATGTAATGATGGGTCTATGCTCGTCTCTCTGGATTGCGGGCTTATTTTCAACTGCGTTTTTCTGTACCCCACCGAAGAGAATATGGCTTGCCGACACCCCGGGTCATTGTGGTGATCGCAAAATGCTGCATACCGGTGTCAATGCGAGTGAAACAATCCTCAGCTTCTTCGTTGTCATTCTCCCTATTCCCTTGATATGGGGCATGCCCTTATCGAAGACTAGGAAGATTTCACTGATGTGTATCCAAGTGCTAGGGCTGGCGTGAGTAACCAACCCATTATCATATTCGAGCAATATATAGTACAGACATAATAAATGGCTAACCAATTTTCCAGTATCGTTGCCATCATTGCTATCCGCATGAAAATCGAGTTCGACCTCGACCCAGAAGATCCAACCCACAGCTCTGCCAGGAAGTCGATACTTTCATGCATCGTGCCTCTTCTGGGGATAATTGTTGCCTGCCTCCCAATCTTAGAGCCAGCCATTCAAAGGATCTTTGGTATGTCGGTGTCTCCATCTCCAGCCCACACGTCTATATATGATCCAACCTTTGCGAGGTATTGGAAGACGACGGTTCTTTCGGGCAGGGGTTTGGAGGAACCAGAAATGCCTCTGGTCACTCTTACGCAGCCTTTTATGACGAAGATGGGTTATCTTGCTCCTGGAAATATTCAGGTCACTTCTCATTGGGAGATTCATTCGTCGCGGGGTTCGGCAAGACTTGATAGATCACCCGTGCGGCAGGCCTGAGGGTTTTTATATCGAGAAATTTGTGGCTTGTTTCGACTGAATTACATGCATATAGACTTAGGGTCTGGTACCCGAGATAGATTAAGTCCATTTCCTTATCTACTTCCCCGAAGATCGGTAATAAGTGTCCTCGCCTGAGGAGTATCGACCACCCGGTGTACATATATAGGTTGTGCTTCCAATTATTCCAGTATATCTATCTAGGTACTCCTTTTCATTGCTTTATTGGGAGGCCTGGGTGCCAAATGTATTGAGTAGAATATTGATATATTGGAAAGTTGGTGCCAAATTCGTACTCGTGGAGATGTATATATCTCAAGCATGATGATATTCCTACGCACTTGGATAGGTTAGGATAGGTCACCAGTCCCCTTTCCTCCTTTGAATTCTTTTACCACAGTATATACCAAGCCTAGAGGCAAAAATTAAGTATATTTTCCTCTTTGGTAGTTTGCTCAATAAATCTAGGAAGGCGCAAACAAAGCACAAGTTCACCCCTGGACACGGTCAGGTGCATACTCTCAATTTGGGCATTGAGGCAGTACCTTATATACGTCGGCCGGTCTCATTCTTTATCCCAACTCTTGGTGGTTGGCCAATTGGCCTAGTGGTAAGGCATCCGTTTCCGGTGCGGGAGATCGTAGGTTCGAATCCTGCATTGGTCGTCAACTTTTTGCTTTCCTCTCCCATAGACAGACAAACCATAGGGGACATATTTTTACACTTTTGTTACTATTGATTGACTGACTGACTGGTTCGTGACGAGGTGGGCTGAGTTAGAATCACATGTGGTTAATTAGGACAAGCCATGTCATCGCCATTTAGAGACAGCGACACAGATACAGACAGACATATAAGGGCGAAAATGGAAACACCTACCTACTTACATAGATATGTAGTTATGGACTGGATCGAATTGGATAAAGAAGATCATATAAATCAAACCGATCTGACGTGTTAATTACCTACATGTCCTTCTAATTAGAGCGAGCTGCTTTATCTGATAGACAGAAAATATATCTTGCCTGAGTGGATTTGAACACCTGGAATAGACATGTATGTATGTAATGTAATATGCATAAAATAATGACTACGAAAGATAATTCGACCAACCATTTATGTATCGACAATGGATAAGTAGATGCTTCTAGATAGATATTGTATGACCGAATGGACAGATGGATATGATATGGATGGGATAAGGAAATGTGCAAAAGCTTGCACGTTTCCTAGAACCTTCCTCACCATACAGGAATGAAGAAGAGGCCTCAAGGACAAAAGCTGCACCCCGGTTGGAAAAAAGAAGACGTATTGTATATATATATCAGACAGACATACGTACATATATACGTTAGGTAGACAGATAGAAAAAACAAAAAGATAACGACCAATGCAGGATTCGAACCTACGATCTCCCGCACCGGAAACGGATGCCTTACCACTAGGCCAATTGGCCGCCTTGTGTATTAATTGATCAGGAAAAGCCATTATCAGGAGAACTCGTATTAGCTAGAAAATGGTTGGAACTACCTAGGTACCTAGCTACATACAGTACACGTGAGTACGTAGATTGCAGTCTGCGGATACTCCCCGATGATTGAGTTGGGATTTGCATGTATACGGCGTTCCCAGCGATCACTACGAATGGCAAAATAAACAAATAGATGAGATCCCAAGCAGGAGACGATAACCCTAACTAAGGTGCAGGATAGACAGTTTCTCAAGCACAAACAAACAACCCCTTAAGGAGGGCGTATTGCCCACCACCAATCAATTCCTCCTTCAAGGAACTCTGAATTAGACATCCAGGGCAAAAGCATCAGAAGCGCAAGTCCCGGCTTGCATCGTCTCCCACGATCAGCCAGGATCATCCCTTGCATAGCAGGGAGGTGAAACAATGATCGTCGGGAAAATTTGTCGAGACCAAGCATTGGTGCATTCCTGTCGAAGGAGAAAAGAATTCAGCCACCCCGTCAGAGCAGGGAAAGAAGCTCGAGGACTCGCCGCGAGGGATGTTGATGCTGCCGCACGGGCAGCCGAGGGCGAGGGCGCAACGACACCCCTTCATATCCCAGTTATGACAGAATGTCACGAAGACGATCAGTTCTGAAAAGATTAAAGAAAGAGTTGAGTCCCTCAACGGCGCTCGCATTCCCGTAGACGTTCGTTAATACCCCTTCTTGTTTTTAATTTACTACATCCAGCTCCGTCGCTCGCCGGCACTTCCTTTCTTTCAGCTTAACCTACGGCAAAGGCCTATCCAGTCAACACGATGGTCAAGACTACTTATGCCCTGACGCTTTTTGCGGCTGTCAGCCTGGCGGCTCCTGTTTCTCAACTTACTGGCCGTGCCGAAAAGCAGGGTTCAGTAGAGCACAAGAATATCCTTCAGGGACTTACCAACCTTGTATGTATATATTGGTTTTTCTTTTAATGAGCTGGAATACAAGAAACGGAAACTAACACCAACCGATAAACAGAATCAGATTGTCAAGCGCGATGAGTCTCAGCCTGAGCACCACAACGTCATCGACGAGCTTCCGATTATTGGAAAGCTTCTTGGCAACGTGAGTTGCCCCTTGGGTGCAAATATTTCGAATACAAACATAGCAGTACTAATTGGAGGCCCAAAATAGGACAAACAGAACCAGAACCAGCGCCGAGATATCGCGGATGAGGGCATTAGTGGCTTGCCCCTCGTCGGAGGCCTGTTCGGCAAGGTATGTGTTTTTAACCGGTAGTCGTGTTAAGGGATGGGATGTTGATGGACTATTAGCACACACATACTGGCGGACCAAATGGCATGAACAAGCGCCAAGGATTTGGCCAAAACTATGGCCAGAACGCCGGTCAAAATGAAGGTCAGAATTATGGCCAGAATGACGGTCAGAATGCTGGCCAGAACCAGGGCCAAAACGAAGGTCAAAATGAGGGCCAGAACAACGGCCAGAACGCCAGCCAGAACGGAGAAAAAGGCTGGAAGCGTGACTTGGGAAGCAGCCTCAGGGGCATTCCCATAGTTGGAGGCCTTCTTGGAAAGGTACGACAGACATTATCGGCCGTTGGAATACCCAGTAGAATCAGAAAAAGAAAACTGACATGATATAGGACCAGGAGAAACCCTCTCACCGGCAGATCGAAACTCCTGCCAAGCACATTGATACTCGCCAGGCGGGCCATGCCAAGGGTGTCTTCGGTGTCCTGCAGTCTTTGACTAGCGGTGATGTAAGTTTCTTTAGCGCATACAGACATAGCCATGTATACGAGCGCTAATCATTCAAGTAGCCCGTTACCAAGGGCCACAAGCGCGATGAGGAGTTCGAGCAACTGGAACCAATGAGCGACGTTCTTGAAGGGGCCGTTGCATCTGGTATGGAAGCAGAATCTTCCGCCATGCCGGTATGTCATACTGCCAGCCTTGAGGAAGCCTCGAGATAAGAACAACAACCAATTGTACTAATATCTTGTCAGGTGCGCCGTAATGAGCCCGCTGCCCCCAAGGCCAACAATGGTCAACAGGCAGACCCGAAGCCCAAGAACGAGCAGAGCAAGGGCCTCCTTGGTGAATTAATGGGCAAGAATGGCCTGGGTGCCATTAAGGGCAACTCCCACCACGGCCTTGGCCTCTTCCCAGTATGTGCTACCTACCCACCGACCGAAAAAAAAACCCCCATCAAGCTAACAGCCGTCCAGATGCGCCGTGACGAGAAGGACCTCGAGACACGGCAGGCTCCCATCCAGGGCTCCACCCTTACCGGTGTTCTCCTCCAGGGTGGTGCTGTGGGAAAGCTTACCAAGGCCCTTTCTGGAGGTGCTGTGTCCAAGCCCGGTGCCAATTCCCCCTCCAAAATCGGTGACGGTTCTTCTGCGGCCCCTCCCGACCCTTCGTCTGGTGTTGGTCCTCACTCTGGCCCTGGTCTTGCTGCTCAGCAGCAACAGGCGTCTGGTGCTGCTTCTGAGTAAGTTATACGGGGGACAATTGTCTTGCGTCTGGTCGCTTTCTACCAGTCGAACAGATTGTGATGGGGTTTTATGACACCAGTTGGACTTGCTGGGCAAGATTGGGGATGCGCAATCGGTCACGCGGTGTTGCTGAGTTGTTATTTACGTATTCTAACAATGTCAAACGCGTTTTCAATGTTCCTTGATTCAGTTAGAAACCGAAGCTTCGGTGTACAGAGAACACAGGCAATTTTGAAGTTTGGACATAGAAAATTAGAAACCCGCAGGGAAACCCTGCTATGTAACGAGACAGGCAGACGAAGCTGCAAGGAGCATACGCAAAGAATCAAGACACAAAATTCGTTAATCGTAGTCAAATCAAAACCGGCTTTTCCGGTCCGGACCACCCAGTTAAAGAGCGCCCTTGGGGGGTATCAGGTCGTTACACGCGATGAAATCAAATACAGCAAAACCACTCGAGATGGAACAAGAAGCTCCCAAAGGCAAAGACCAGCCTAATCAGACTCATACATGTCCACATCGTCCACTACCACTGTCGTCCCCAATGCCTCTTTCCCTTCCCGGATCATTGCCTGCAACTGCTTATTCAATCGCTGGAGACTCGCATCTTCTTCTCGTTCCTTGCGGCGCATCTTAGCAGCCTGTCGCTGTATATCCGACGCAGGAATATCCTTCAACCGAGGGGATGGCAGGCCTCCTTGTCCCTTGGTAGGCGAGTGGGGTCTGGCAGAAGAATAAGAGACCCGTTTAGCTAGCCGGGGCATCACTGCAGATTTGCGGCGAGGACTCGATGCCTGGAAGGTGCGTCGTGTGCGGAGTGACGGGCTAGCAAGCTCGCTGCTACCCACAAACGGATCCGAGCTCTCGGGGACCACCACCCAGCTCCGATCGACCTCGTCATCTGGATATTGGCCGGGTACGGGTGTCGAGCAAAATGTGTTCGGGCTGTACAGGTCTTTCTCGGCGGATGGGCTGCCCGAGGGCTGCCAGCTGGATTCGAGGGTTGTTGCGGGGCTGGATGACAGGTCGTAGCCCTGCCCTCCTCCTGCATAGAACCCTCGGAATGCGCCAGTCCAGCATAGATCGAGGACTTTGCTCACGGCTTTGATCACGGTCCGACCCCAGCCTGTGGGTGTTGTGTTGTTGGGGCCATCGGGGCTTGCGGATATGACGCAAGAATCGCGGCGGCTACGCTTGCGACTGCCGTTATAGTCTGCTAGATTTGCTGACTCGTCACCGGAATCGAATGAGGGTGGGAGGAAGGATTCGCGGTATCGGTTCGGGCGGTAATCTAGCTCGGCAGAAGCGTGGAAATCGTTGCCTCCACTTACGCTTACTGAGCGGTAGCTAGGGTGGATCATCGGGGACTCGGTGAAATTGGACTCAAAATGAGATGAGAGTTTCTCTGTGTTACGTGGTCGCTTTCGACTGAGTGAAAGAGAATAGAGCGATGTGGAAGCCGTGGAGGCTGGCACTTGGAATAGCTGAGAGGGCGCATTTGAGAGGTCGACTTTAGGTGGTGAAGCAGAGTTGAAGACAGCGTGCATGTCGGGCATTTTTAAAGGAAAGAAGAGAGTAAGATAAAAAAAAGAACAAAGAACAAAGACCAAAGATCAAAAGATCAAAGATCAAAATCGGGGAAAAAAAAAGAGAAGAATGAAGGGAAAAAAAAGCGAGAGGTTGGATATTGGCCGTGACAGGTTTAGTGTTTTCCTTCCCAAGTCACTTCTTTGTCTCAAAACTATTTACAACCCCCTACATGACATTCTCATATATCCATGGAGGATGGAGTACATGGATTTTCATATTGAAATTACAATCGCTGGCTGGTCCATTGTACTCCAGCTGCCTCCAATCCCTCATCACCATCAACTAACACGCACCATCCCTCGCTGCCCTGTCCCCCATCTCCCGCAATAACCGCCTCAAAGTGACTGTGAGCGTATTCAAGTACTCGATTGTCGAAGGTACCAGGCTGTAACCAGACTGCAGGGATTCCCACCGAGTGTGCTTCCTGCAGCACCTGGAGGGTCACAGCCGGGGGAGTCACCACTGAGAGGGAAGTCTGCGCCGGCGATGGCAAACTGGACGGTGAGGGGACTGTATCGTAAGCGCGCGAGGGGAGGGTGATCTGCGCTGCTCGCGGATTGAGCGGAGTCACTGGCAGGGAGTGCTGATGATACCAGGCGAGGACTGTAATGATTTAGTTCTCCATACAAATGCCAACAGAATGTGTTCTCCTACTCTTGTATCCAAACTTATGAGTATCATTGCTGGCCCCCGCCACCGCAAAGCGGGGGGAAGAGAAGAATCGCTTGACTGCTGCCATTGTAATTTGAATAATTTAATAGAATGAATCGATTTATCTTTTCAAAGAGTCAGACAATCTTGGAAGGTTAATGTAGGCAATAGCAAAAGTTGCAAAGTTGCAAAGTTGCAAAGCAAAGAGAATAAAATAAAGCGCAACCTCGGCCGCGGCCGATGACGACTCTCCCTTCATCGCCATCTCCGACATTCGGCGACCCCCAACTCCCTTATTATTTCACATCGTCACATCTTCACATTCATTCGCATGCCACCCTTCCTCCCCCGCAAGCGCGTATCCTCCGAGGACCCGCCCCCGGCCAAGCGCCAGGCCCGGCCCGATAATCCTCAAGCACCTCCCCAAGCTACCAATGCTCCGTTCCACCTCTCCGACTCCGACTCCGACTCCAACTCTTTGAGCGACGCACCTGAAGGTCTCCTCAACAAGAGCGATGCACTCCAGGCGTCTGATGAATCCGAAGATGAAGAAGAGGATATCGACTGGGAGGACGCGATAGACGCGAAGACCAGCGCCATTACACCTACTGTCGCAGCTCCGGAGCTACAGGACCTAGAATTGACCCTAGATCAGAATGAGACACACGTGTCTGATCTTCTGGATGGTAAAAAGGGGCCTAGTAAGATCGAACGCCAAATCCGGATCCAGACACACTGTATGCATGTTCAATGCTTGCTTTTCCACAACGCTATCCGCAATGCCTGGAGTAATGATTCCAAAGTCCATGAGATCCTGCGCAAAAAGTTGCCGGAAGGGATCCACAAGGAAGTCAAGAAATGGCGCATAGCGTCGGGCTTAGAACTACCAGAGCCAAAACCTGAGCCGCCCAAGAATAAGAAGAAGGGCAAAAAGGCCCAGAAGAATAAAGACTGGAGTGATGGCTCGGAACGACTGGAGCCAGGCCAGCCGGACATGAGCCGTGGCGATCCTATCATTACGTTGATCAAGGTGCTGGTCGCATACTGGAGGAAGCAGTTTCGCATCACTGCGCCTGGACTGCGAAAGTATGGATACCGACCAGTATCTGCTCTTGAAACTGCAATCACCGAATTTCGCGAGGAAGAGCATGACCCAGAGCGCCATGGTGAGCGTATCGCCAACCTTGACGAATTCCGCGCGATCGCCGAGAGTATGCAGGGATCGCGGGACGTTGGCGCACAGCTCTTCACGGCTCTCGCTCGCGCTTTAGGCATTGAGGCCAGACTCGTGGGTAGTTTGCAGCCGCTGGGTTTCGGTTGGACCAAAGGGAGAGACCTACATACCTGTCACACCTTCCAAGGCAGATAAGGAACCCGAGAATAAAGGGGAGTCGGAAGGATCCGAGTCTGATACTGATGCAGCTGAAAATAAAGTATCAGCGAAAGGGCGCAAACAGTTTGATAAGGATTTGCCATTTCCTATCTACTGGACAGAAGTTGCCTCACCCGTCACGAATGAGATTATATCTGTCGACCCGCTTGTACTTTCCAACCCTGTGGCGCCATTTGCAGATACAGACCTACAAGCAAACTTCGAGCCTCGCGGTGCAAAAGCAGACCGGGCCAAACAAGTCATATGCTACGTTGTTGCCCACTCATCAGATGGTACCGCTAAAGAGGTCACAACAAGATACCTTCGACGGCGGACCTGGCCCGGCAAAACGAAGGGCTTCCGAATACCCTTGGAAAAAGTACCAGTAGGACCGCGCGGGCACTACATCGCCTTCGACTGGTTCGGGATGGTAATGCGCGGGTACCAGCGAGCCCGCAAGAGCAAAACAGCAGTCGACGAACTCGAAGAAACGCGAGATCTACAACCCAACCAGCCCGAGAAAAAGAAAACAACCCAAACCGTCGATACCATCCAAAGTCTCCGAACATCGACCGAATTCGTGCTAGAGCGCTTCCTCCGCCGCGAAGAAGCCCTCCGCCCCGGCGCCGAGCCCGTCCGAACCTTCATCGCGGGAAAAGGCGCCCGGGCTAAAGAGGAACCAATCTTCCGACGAGCAGACGTGCTAAAATGCCTCTCCACCGAAAGCTGGCACAAAGAAGGCCGCCAACCGAAACCGGGCGCGGTAGCCCTCAAGCGCGTACCTATCCGCGCCGTGACGCTCATGCGCAAACGCGAAGTGGACGAACTGCACCGCCAGACCGGCGAGAAACCACTGCAAGGTCTGTACGCGCGACACCAGACAGAATATATTATCCCTCCGCCTATTCAGGATGGCCGCATCCCCAAGAATGAATATGGTAACATCGACTGTTTCGTGCCGAGTATGGTCCCCGCCGGCGCGGCGCATGTCCCGCTACCTGGTACTGTGCGCGTGTGTAAGAAGCTTGGCATTGACTATGCGGAGGCAGTGACGGGGTTCGAATTTGGGTCGAAGATGGCTGTGCCGGTTATTCAGGGTGTTGTTGTTGCGGCTGAGAATGAGGGTTTACTTAGGGATGCTTGGAAGGTTGAGGCTGCGGAGAAGAGGAAGAAGGAAGAGCTTAAGGCGGAGAAGAAGATTCTACAGACGTGGAGGAAGTTCTTATTCGGGTTACGGATTATGGAGCGGGTGAGAGATGAGTATGGGGGTGGGGATCCAGATGCTGATCGGGAGCGCGATTCGCATAATCCCTTCGCTGCGCAGAAGAAAAAGCGGGAGGAGGAATCGGATAATGATGGCGATGACGAAGAGATGCCTGATCGGGAGTCGTCATATAATGCGATTGATCATGGTGGTGGCTTTCTTCTTCCTGGTCATGAACATGACGCAGACGATGGGTTGATCGTCGAGCACCATGACCAGAAACGGAGTAATGCAGGTCCATCCCAAACTGATGCCAATGACCCCGATGACAACGAGCCAGTCGAATCTGGATCGCCTGCTGCAGACTCCCCGCCTGTGTCTATCTCCTCGGGTTCAGACAATGAGGTAGATAATGGCGAGGGAGAAGTCGCAGAACCTGAATATGTACCTCGCCCGACACGACGAACGCGAGGCCGTTGATAGAATAAATGTATGTACCATCCATATGCCCGAGGCTAGAAGAGGGCTGTGTATTCTATGTAGTACTACATAACGATCAAAATTAATACCGTGGCAGCAGTCTCTTGTATGAAGAAGATTGTTCGCAAGTTTATGACAGAAAGAGCGAGTCCTTATTGTGCGAGCGTGTTTATGACGGATAGCAATTTATTTCTGAGTAACATTTGTAACCTTCTAAGAGCAGCTACAAACCTATGACTACAAGCCCGGTATGAAGAGCGAGGTAGAACCCATCAGAAACACCCTCAACCATTGCGACAGTGAAGATAAAAAGCCAGTCGAGGACATGAAGTCAAACATCTTGCGATCCATCCGTTTACTGCAGTTGAGAGGCAAGCATACACCGTCTCATTTAGAGAGGCGTGGCCGAGGCACTTGGGGGAGCACCACTTGGGGCACCGCCTGGGGGCGAACCACCACCACCTGGAGCACCGGAATTCTCATTCTCAATGCCGCCCTCCTCAGTGTAATAAGCCGCAGGGGTAACAGTGGTGTCCTGGGTAGGGTCCATACCAACTGTGATCCAAGCGAAGATTCCATCGGAGATGTCATCGCCTAGATAGACATATTCCATGAAAGGGTCAATGGTATCGAGTTCTTCAGCGAGAATGCTGTCGTCGGCGTTGGCCGTCACCTCCTGCGTGTTGGTTGAGTACGGGGCGACCTCATCGACGGCGGAAATGAGATCCTGGTCGAAGAAAATCTGTCCAACGTGCGACGAGTGCGAGGTATACAGGCCGGAGATGGTTCCGTTTGCAAGGACCTTGGTTTCGTTGGCTGGGTGGGTGAGGACTATTGAACAAGTTAGTCAATATCGGAATCAATTCAACTAGCAGGATGTGACAAATGCCACCGCGCAAACAGAAAGGTACAGTGGTAAAAAGATGGCCATAACCATGAGGAGAGGATCTTGTATCTGGGCACCATACCGTGGATGTGAGTTGCCCGGCCAGTGTAATGGCCTGGGAAGTTCGATTGGAACTGGATGACACCTTCCTTGTTACTTTTCTGGACACCTCGGTTGAAAGTCGTGTTGAGGTTGGTCTCATCGTCAGAGTTCCCGTTTCCACTGGCGACGACTCCAGAATAGACACCCTATGATGATCGATGTGAGTGGAACGGTTCATAAGTAATACGGTTGGCGGAGAATTTACTTACAGTGGAGTTGCAGTGCCACAAGTCCATGTAGATCTCCGGAATGGGTTCGCAGGTGTTGGTGTCGATCAGCTGGATGTCCATGTAGAGAGGAATACCCTCCTGGGACTCCGCGATGTTTTTACGAACCAGTTCACCCGTAACATCTAAGCCGCGTTAGTAAATTTCGGCCATAAAACAGAAATGGGAAGCTAACAGTAAGGTCCCTGGGTGACCTCAGGTCCGAGAATGCAGGTCGCATCGGTGCCAAACAATACATCGGGGTCGGTAGAAGAATTCACCCCTGTGAGATTGGAGTGATGCGAAGTATCCAGGGCGCTATCGGAGCGTGCCTTGAGCAAGTGGTTGGCTATGGGCTTGTTAGAACGTGATAGTGCTTGGCATTGGCTTCAAAACATACTAGGCTGAAGACCAAGGCGGCGACGGATGTTCTTCACGGCCATGTGGCGACGGGCCACGTTTCGGCTTTGCTGGCCTCGACGCTGAAGGCGAGAGGCACATTGTGCAAGGCTGCGCGAGTGAACAGGGGCATTTTTCAGGAATGCAGCTCGCTCGGCAGCTTCAGCTTTAACATCATGTCCCGGGTGAGCAGACACAATGCCAGTCAGAGCAGTCAGGCCGATGGCAACAATAGCTGAGAGATGAACCATGATCGAGGTAATGAGGCAATTGAAGGCGAATGTGAATGAGGAAGTTGAGGATACCACACCTGGGTGTCTTGGGGTGCTTTATACCTTCCTGTTGCCTCCCTGGATAATACCAAGGCGGAGCATGGCTAGATTCAGGATAGACCAGTTTGTGATAAACGGCATTTGTATGAAGTTGACGAGTGACATGGAGTAGCCCTGGGCCTGAATTGACGAATGAAACGCGGAAGGTTTCTCAGCGAGAAACGCACCCTGGTAACTGCAGGCCCCCCCCCAGCGGAGCTCAACCATCTATGAATAGAATTGCGATATCATAGGGCAAAGGGGTGCAATTGCTTGCCGCCGGTAGGACATCGGGAGATTGCGAAAGAGCCAGAGGTCTAGTTCGGCAGCAACTCTAACCAACTCTGTTGAATCCACCGTCGATCATGCTGGCACTATTTCCCTGCCAAGGAAATTCTAGCCATTGGGGTTTCACAATTTTGCATGCGGGGAATTAAGGACGCGGCCCAAGTATAATCTTCATAGAACGAGCCCTCGTCTGCATGGAGTCTTCGTCGTAACATGCGTGGTCTGTATACGTATTCGTCTTGGCGGACCCACCCGAGGTCCCCCGCGAGAACAGTCAGCGGAGAATGCAGCACCGATAGCTTTGGCTGGATATCTGTGCGATCAATCGACGGTGAACATGTCGAACTCTGAGACTTGGTATCGGAAACCTTGGATTTTGATCAATGCAAGACGCGCGTGTGAAAATTTTTGCCTTATCAGGGGTGCGTCTTCCCGTTCAATCTGTCTCCTTGAAAAACATCATGTTCGGGACCATCCATGGATGTTGCCAAGACGCTGATATGAGAACAGGAAAGGCTTGGCAATTGCTTGCTGTCCGAAGATCTTTTGATGTTGAGGGTTGGTGGATATTGGTAAATGTGGGTTTCAACCATATATTGAGAGATAATACGAAGCAACTTCTTAGTTACGCCTCTGGGGTTGTTTTGCACACGCAGCCTGACGACTGCATTTTTGATTATGCCCCCAATGTTCCCATATCAATTATCATATTCAAGACCACGTTCCCCGACGTCTGTGGAAATTTTTGGTATTCAAGCAATGTGATAATTGAATTGCCATCTACAAGAACAGAAAAATTGTATCAAAAGCCATAGAATTGGATTAAATTATGTTACATGCATATTCGTGGATATCAGGGGAAATGTCGCATGAAACCGTCAACGCATGATAGAGGCAATAATTGAAGTAAGACCCGCTGGGAGTGGGCCAAAACTACGTAAAAGGCGAGAACAAGAGGACCACCACAAAAGAAACAATCCGATGGATTAGACCTCCTGCTGGGTCACGCTGGGTGCCTGAGCAGCCTTCTCCTCCAATCCAATCTCGGCAGCAAAGGTGGTGTGAGGCTTCCACTTAGCGGAAGTGCGAGGAGTAGTCTCTTCCATCATCTTGTCAACCTGCTCAAGGGTCAAACCCTTGGTCTCGGGAATGAGGAAGTAGGTGTAGATAAAGGCACAGGTACACAGAGAACCCCAGATGAAGAACACCTTGGGACCAAGGTTACCTTTGTCGGCCTCAGTCATGTAAGGAGTGATGACTGCGATGATGCAGTTCCAGAGCCAGTTGGACGCGGTGGAGAGGGCAACACCGCGGGACCGGATGGGCAGAGGGAAGATTTCACCGATGACGACCCAAGCACCGGGGCCCCAAGTGCTAGCAAAGAAAAAGATGTAGATGCAAATGAATGCGATCATTGAACTGACAGCACTCTTGTTCTGCGAATCGGTGGTGACACCAACAATGGCGACAATGAACTGACACACAACCATACCCAGGGCACCCCAAAGAAGCAAAGGGCGACGTCCGAATTTCTCAATGGTGTAGAAGGAGATGGGAGTAGAGAAGACATTGACGATCGTAGTGATCATGCTGATCAGGAAAGGATCATCAATTGTCTTGAGATCCTGGAAGAAGGTGGTTCCGTAGTAGAAAATGAAGTTCACACCAGTCCATCTATAGCTTGTTAGTTTCTATTCCCTAGCAGGAGGAGAGTAAGGCATACTGTTGCATCATCTGCAGAGAGGTACCCAGGATAGTACGACGAAGGTTGCTGTTAGGGTGCCAGAGGCTTCCGGTGAAGCAGCTGAACCAGGTGGTCCAGTATCCACCCTGGGGAATTGCCATCATTTCGTACTGATTGTTGGCGTCGATCTCATTCAGTTCGCGCTCGACAAATTCCGAATCCTCGGGCTGGCCACGGATACGAGCCAGCACAGTGCGAGCCTTATCCTTTTGGCCCTTGCGGATGAAGAATCGAGGCGACTCGGGCAACATAAACAACCCCAAGGCCAAAATGAGAGCCCAGAGCATTTGGAGGGCAATGGGGATCCGGTACGACCCACTGTCTGTACGCTCCTGGGTGCCATAGTTCACACAAGAAGCCAGCATCAAACCGATGGTGATGCAGAACTGGTAACCCGAGACAATGGCACCACGGACCTTGCGGGGTGCAATCTCAGACATGTAGAGAATGATGATAGCGGAGACAAATCCAATACCGAAACCGGAAATGAGACGACCGGCAACAAGAAGTCCAACGCTGACAGAAGCGGTCTGCAAAACGACACCAACGATGAAAATGGCGCAGCCAGAGATGATAGTAATCCGACGACCAAACCAATCAGCCAGATCACCAGCGATGAGGGCACCAAAGAAGGTTCCAGCGGAGAGAATGGAAACGATGAGCGACTTTCGAGAGGCAGGAATAGAGGTGGCGTCCTAGGTGCGGTTAGTGAGATTCTGGAAACTGTGCTGGGACGTTGACACTCACTTCACCAAAGAACTCATGGAGGAAGTAATCCATGCCGAGAACACCATTGATGTAACCTGAGTCATAACCGAAGAAGATACCACCAAAGGCAGCAAAGGCGCACATCAGGTAGGCCTTGAACGTGACCGGGGCCTCGACAACCATGGTGTCGACCGGCCCAGAGATGACTGCTCCACCAGGCATGGTAGCGAGTCGATGAGAGTAACTGTGTTTAAAAGAGATCCAGAAAGAGATGAAGTGAGACGTCTCAAGAAAGATAATGTGGGGTGAGAGATGGAGAAGGAAGAAGAGGAAAGGAAGGGACTGGGGAGGAAGAGAGATTTATATTGTGGGGGAAAAGAGAGACTTGAGCTTCATCCCCAGGCCTGCCCCAGGCCCGGCAAAAAAAGGAAAAAGAAAAAAAGAAAAAAAAGCAAACGACCGGAAAAATTATGATCTAATCTAATCCATATTCGGCTTGGTTACTATCGGCATAAAATACAAGAGGAAAATCTAGAAATCGGCTGGAATGACTGTGTAGCCAAGTCGGCTCTAGAAAGTTGACCACGCGATAGAAACGGCAAGTATAGAAAACCGGGGAAGTGCTACACGGCCTAAGCCGTAAAACTGTAAGATCAGAGGATCTGATTGGTTGTAACCCCCAGAAATGATCCACCTATCCCTGTCTCATCGGCTACCTAGGTATACAACATAGGTCAAAGTGACCAAACCAAAACCACTTGAGGAACCAAAACCAAACAGAGCCTCGGGTCTAGAAACCGGAGATGTCCACTTTGGGATAGAGGGTCCGCGGGGAAATGAACTCTAATTGGTTCCAAGGTTGCCATGGGACTGTGCGCCACGTGCCCAAAGAATTTTCTTTGGTTTTTCTGTGACTCCAACATCTTCTCCAGGTTATTTCTATACTTAGTACACTACCCAGGTACCTACCTACTTATTTAACATATTTGGCAATGGAAGACAAAGTGACTCATGAGTCTGGTGACCTAGAGGAACTGTCACAGCTGAATACCTTTAGGCTAAACCCTACTTGTATTCACGTCAATGTCACATTGAGGGCAAGCCGAAGCACAGACCTTGGAGACGCCACAAAATCACACTCTCCCCTTTACTTTTAAGGGAAATAAAAAAACAAGTCTTGGCATAAGGGAAGCTGACTACTAGTGTTGGTAGGATACACAGTAAGAATAATCATGATAAATTAGATTTAGGTCTGGTTGGCTTTCCAAGGTTACTGCTTATGTTCCTTGCCGTATGTTGTACGTAGTCAAAAAAGAATAAAACAAAATAAAACAAAATAAAACAAAATAAGACTTAACATGATCAACACAGTCAAAGTGGCTCGCAGCTCGGGCATTGCCGAGCCAGATAAGTGGGTCGTCTATCAGCACACAAGATTTCCAAGGGCAGAGATGGGCTTTCGAGGCTTTCTCCCACGGGGAAACTAGCCAGTTACACAACGGGGACATGGACTTTCTCAGCCATTCATCTCCGCATTTTATCTTGGCTATCACGTGAAGTCGACTTTTCGCAGTCTATCCCGTGCCAAATATTCCCACAAGGTGAATGAGCGGATAATTATCGGGATTTCGTGTTTGTGCTTTCCCGGCCTTCCAGTGTCTCTGTCTCGACAGCGCGCTTGACCGTGGCATGTTATTCGATGTCGCAAATTGTGGCTCTACTAAATCCCCAAACCCTCCCTGTTACCGAACTCTGGAGCAGCCAAATACAGCAAATGCTACGTGCCCCGTGCTCGGCTTACGGAGTACAGAGGAACCGATGGGAAACTTACCATATGTTCTCGGTTGGAAGTTCTCGGTGGAAATGGTGGCATGAGTGACCCACATTAGCCATACAACGGGGACCGAAGTTGGGGAGTTGAGCACCTGAGGTTTCCCCCGACCGAAGAAAAGTAAACGAGAAAATGAAGCGAGCCGAGAAAATCATCTCCGATGCCGGTAAACAGTCTCCGTTAGAATGTGAATTTTTTTGTCCTTGAGGGGGAAATATCTATCGACGTACGGGGTTGGATTTCGTTGCTTCCAAGTAAGACATGCACTACTCCATATCCATTAGGCCTCGAGAATATGGACAACTCTCCGGATCTTCCGGCTTTAAGTTAGGGTTTCCTGGGGAACACTACCCCGGGACTTGTTCGAGCACTTGTTCGAGCACTGGATCTGGTCACCGGTGTAGATTTGGTTATATTATTACTTCAATATCCTCTTTCGGATTCTAATACATACCTAGGTACCTAGGTACGGAGTAGACCTCCACGTATAGCCTCGACTCTGATTGGAGTTCCGTTATTTTTTTTTCTCTTAAATCTGACACACTCGTTTTGACACATCTTTTAACTACCTAGGTACCAATTGGATTTTGATTGTCCTACGTTGTACTCCGTACAGGGGTCTCGAGTCCAGGACCCGAATGTTTGGTTGCACCTGCGTCAAGACTTGTCTCCTCCCTATAGCAGTACCTGGTAGATTTCATCTTAATTAAACACAAACCTTTTGAATCAAAACAGTATCTAAACATTATGTTCGAACATTCCAAAATCTACGTGTCATGCCGAGACTGAATGTCAAGTCCAGCCAAACCGCCCGTCCGTCGCCAACCCTCAATCTCCTTCACATAACTCTTAATCCCCTCTCCCCCAGATACTGAACTGTGCCGCCCGCAAGCCTTCAAGGCCGCTGAACTGCAGCCCCTCCCGATTGAAGTACCCCGGAGTGCAATTCAGAATACCCTCCAGTGCTCGCGCTCTCACCAAAACCTTGGAAGTCCATTCTCCTTCCGAGTGAGAGCTAGGCTCAATAGTCAAACCGGCAACGGTGACACCTGGGTTCCGCTTCGAGGTCAATTTGCCGGCTTCCGAAATGATGTGGGCGACATGGACGGCTGTCACGTCCTGTGACAGTCAGATCCCCGCGATCGGCACTGCCTCCAAGACTGTAACCGGTCCCAAAAATGATGGCATCTAAATCATATTCCTGGCCCTCGGTTAAGATCCCCCGGTCTGTCACAGTCCGGATCCCTTTTCCATTAGTGTCTACCAGAGAAACATTTGACCAGTTGAATGTCGTGAGAAAGTTGTCACTGAAGCATGGCCGTTTGCACCACCCGGGATACCACGGCTTCAAAACTCGAGCAGTCGCTTCGTCGGTCACAGTGGTTTCCACGCGACGGCGGATGGCCTCTTGGCGATGCAAGTCCAATTGATACATCCGCGTCAGATGGTCCGGGTCAAGGCCAGAGGGACTGCCGACCAGTACACTGAAAGACTGCATCTTGGTCCAACCATCATCGACAAGGTCTACATCTGGGAGAGGATTCTCACTTGAGCAGAAGGAGTTGAAATTTTCCATGCGCTCTCGTTGCCACCCAGAGCCTCCTTGGACCATTTTCGCCCACCAGGTGCGATCCGTGGGGTGATTGCGACGCCAGTCTACAGCAGACGGCGTGCGTTGAAACACAATCACTTTCTTTGCCCACTGGGCAAGGTGTGGAATTGCCTGGATGGCAGATGCACCCGTTCCGACAAATCCAACTGTCTTGTCTTGTAGTCTATGCATGGTTGGGTTGTTGGGACTTCCTCCAGTGTACTCATAGTCCCAGCGCGAGGTGTGGAAAACCTTCCCCTTGTAGGTCTCGAGGCCGCCCAATTTTGGTATTTTCGGGGAGTTCAGCAACCCGGTAGCCAAGATGACAAAATCAGATTGTATTGCAGTGGGTGACTGGCTATGTGGTGTGACATGGACTGTCCATTGACGATCCTGGTCGTTCCAAGCCAACTTATTGACCACGGTTTGGAATAAAGCCCGTCCAGTGAGATTCCATTGACCGGCGATGCGATTCGCGTGTTCTCTCAATTCCGGCCCGTTGACATACTTCTGCAACGGCATATACTTAGTTTCCTCCAACAAGGGCATGTAAGTGTAACTTTTAACATCACAGGCCAAGCCGGGGTATTTGTTCCACCACCACGTTCCTCCGAAGCCACCTGCTGTATCCACGAAGAGGATCTCAGTCGCGCGAAGAAATCCCGACTGGAGTAGTCGCACAGCGAACAGCAATCCCCCAATCCCAGCACCCACAATGAGGACTCGGACCTTCTTCTGCTGGAGCAGGCTGTTGTCGATCGCGACATTTTCGTTCGAATGGAAAATGCCCGTGGGTTCATCGGTGAAAGCTCACATATTGGGCTGGCCCGTCAGGCCGCAGGCGTTTCTTACGTTCCACGTCATACTGATCTTGTATCTTCTGCAGATCGTGTTCGCCCGTCTTAGCTATAATGACTATATTGGTGGCAGGTTGGTCGAGAGCAGGAGCTTCTGCAGCAGTGGAGTTCTCCAGCATCATGACAAAATGGCGGAGAAAGACTCCCTGCATGCATATGAGCAAGGCGGATAAGAGTTTATAAATGCCATCGTTAGTTGTTTGGCAGCTGTTCAATGAGATGTAAGGTGTTTAGCAACCAAACGGTTTGTGTTCTATCTGCTATTTCCTAGTCACAAACTGAAAACAAACCGAGAGTAAACGGCAAAACGGAGCAAACGGAGAGAAAGAGATGGTGTTATCCAGAGAGCATGAAGTACATGTGAGCGGTATATTCCGAAAGCAAGGGACCAAAACCCGACACTAAGAGGCCAAACTAAACCCCGTGCAGATTAGAATGGGACCCACCAGCTTCGGATGCACCGTGATAGGTACGGAGTTAGGTAGAGGGAGAGGTTGTGATAGGCTGCAGGGAGGGCCAACGGGATCCATTTGGGCTTGGCTTGTCTATTTCCAATCTCGGCATTTCCCACTTAGACCACAGGGGGGAAGATTAGACGAGAAGACGAAACTGACCCCCAAAATAGGTAAATGAGGGGATTCCGAGGTTGTTTATGGCAAGATCCTTTTGGCCTGATTGGACCTGTTCGAGCCCCATGCCAGACCAGCGAGAACCTGTGGCTCTAGCCTTATCACGTCCTAGTGTAGATTGACAATATAAGTAGTGCTTCTTCCAGGCACACTATGTCGTGGGGAAAAAGTGTTTATCGCGTCAAAAGTACCTGCTAGCATGAGTCTCTCATCCCGTGCGCTTTTAGCTTTAGCAGCCCTTTCTTCTCTATCGCTCGCTAAGGAAGTCGGTTATTTCGACTCATCCTCATGCGCCGATCCCAAGGGCTTCGCAACGTGCTACGAGAATGCAGACACCACATACGCGAACTGCGTAAACAACAATTGCGCTGGGGGAAGTGAATCCTGCTACAACTCATGCGGTGGAAGCACATCCTGCATGAACGAGCAGTGTCCTGGTCTGGGAATCGACTGCATCAACGCTTGTGAATGCGAAAGGTCCGCTCTTCAGATTGATTGTGCAGGCCAGAGTTGCTGGAACCAGGTAAGAGTCCTTTCGCAATTCATATAGCTTTTACCTGAACATCCATCTTAGGTCTACTCTTGCGAGTATCAAGCTACAACCCTGGACTACCTCAGCTTCTGTCTCAACCCAGACCGAGATGGATTACCGTACTGGCCGACACCGGATGATGCCCCTGATTCCTGTTCCTGCAACACCGGTCAAATCGAACAAAAATTGTACCTGATTACCAATCAGATGGATACGTGCTCGAATAACCAGACAAATATCGGTCAAGTGATGACCGATGTTGACGCGATAAATGAGTACGCCCAGGCATGTATCTGCTGTTCATTCAGTGCTATTATCTCCGCGTATGATCAAACTCCAGAATTCAAAGTACCCTTTCTTTTACCCTTCTGTTGCTAATGATATTATCCAGTATCTGGGGCACCTGCCCTGACACTCAACCCTCCCTATTAGCTGCAGATGAATGGTTTGCTGGCCTTCTCAATCCCGGCCACTGGGAAGACTGCGGACCTTACCTCGAGAACTATGATTGCGCTGGCGATCTAGGCTTTGGTCGTGCCGACGCTGGTGGGATTACCAAATTCTACTCTCCCGGCAACCTGCCGACCAATGGCACGAAATCCTTGTATAATTTGGATGGCGTCGTCTCTACCCCGGTCAGTGGTGATGTTTTCACATGGACCTTTGCATCATCGTTGGTGCACACTGTCACTGTATCTTCGGCAGACGCTACTGCCACCGGCGCAAAGGCTAGTGGAGGGAGCGATGCTACTGCAACTGGTACTGCAACGAGTACTGCGACTGGTACGGCAGAGAGTGATGCAAAGCCTGGGGTGGGGTCTTCTTTGAGAGTTCCCTCCTGGACGATCGCTGGCATTGTTGGTATCTTGATTCTATCGACTATCTGAGGATCAAAGATATTGTATACGCATGAAGATATCTAGATCCCATCCACTGGGATCAATTGATCACTTCTCGGTGCTTTCTAATAAGCCACTAATCGTAGATTGCTGTAATCTATCATATACAGTACAGGAGCCCTGAAGGTATGCTTCATATGGCGCGTTAAAACAACCCAATCTTTCTTGGCTCTCGTAGTCCTTGTCCTTCCATCCTCAAGACCCATTTCTCTCTGCACTAAATACCTCTGCAGATACCAGGCAATTGACGATCCACTTACTGGATAGCAATGTCGGAACAGGAAAGATAGATCTGACCAGTCTGGAAAGAGTTCCACTTCCAGGAGAGCAAAGTGTGGTTCGAGACGTAGTCCGGGAGCTTGATCTTTTTCGAAACAGTGTAACCGCCGGCGATCGTTGTTTTGCAGGAGCCAAGCTCAGCACTGTCGACGCCTTGGCACTTGGTATCATCAAAGCCATTGCAAGTGAACCAGTCATTGCGGTGGCAAGCTTCGCCCTCACCACAGTCGGCACTGTAGTCGCAGGCCTGCCCGTCGACACCAGTGCATTCAAGAAGACCTTTGTTGAAGCAGTCCTCGGCCGCTTGCTTCTCCTCGTCGGTTGGCAGGTAATCCGGGTCTAGGAATTTGTCCACAAGAGCTTGATCTTGGCAGATACGGTAGGTGAACATGCCACCGTGATCACCGTTGTGGTCAACGCACCACACGACGTCAATGACATCGCCAGCTTTGTAAGACTTAACAACCTCTTTGCCCCAGTCGCTGCCCGGTTGGTTGTAGTCGACGCTCACACGGGCATTGTATCCGCAGGGTCCGCTGCGGCCAACCGGGGCTACGTCAAGATCGGGCCAAGAGGAAACGGGCTCGAGGATGGTGCACTCAGGACATGTGTCAATTCCAGCCTATGTAATGTCAGCCAAAGGGATGTCCTTGATACTCAGTTCATCCAAGAGTCTAACCTGGAATCCGAGCTTGGTTCGACTGTCCGGGGTAACAAGGTAGCCATGTCCAGCAACAATGGTAGACAATGAGCCTAATAGTACAACTGCGGCAGACTTCATAATGTTGGGGAAGCAGTAGTTTGTTCGAAGCAAAGGGATGGTTGAATTGAATACAGGAAAAACTAGATGTTGAGGATGGTCCCTTTTATATTCTCATGTCTCGCTGCTTTGCGCTTCACTCATTCCCGAGTTAGTTGTTGCCGTCTAAGATTATGCTACGTTTTTACAGGGTGCGGACAAGAAGTCCAATCAGGAAGAATTGTTTATTAGATCGAGCATTCTGTGATGAGTCTGGCTCGACTAGGCCCCTGTAAATATGATCAGCATCGACGTTGCCAAGTGCAGGACGAATGCCGGGGTTGCAGAATACATGATCAAAGTGATTGGACTATATTGCTATGGGCCAAGCCTCCCAACGCCATTGGGGAAACCCCGGGCTTGGCAGTCATTTGGCTGAAGGATGCGACGCCCGATATATTTCCGCTAATTAACAGACTCCAGGCCCAGGAGATTAGATCGATGTGCAGGACAAGTGCAGCATGCATAATTTACACAACTATACGGATTACAGAGAAGTTTCATACGTATACCGACGGGATAGTTAGTTTTTCCTTCAAATTTTGCTTCACCGCAGCTCTACACTGGAATCGACATCTTGTTTCCATACCGTATTCTTCATTTACCTGAAACACTTGAGCCTTGCCGTGGCAATGGTGGCTGCGGGGTATTTCAGCCTTTTCAACACCATGGCGCTCGGACAGAAAGATCGACAGAGACATCTCGGTTTTACAGGGGTTTCCCGACTATTGCCCGGCAACTCATTGCTGTGTGCACCTTAGTAGTTTCGAGTCAGACCCCTGATCACACGCTGCAAATTCGTCCCCAAGAAGTCTCGTTCAAAATGCTTGCCTGTCACGGTCATCATCTACATCGGCACTAACGGGCATCTCTCAGCCGACGGACTCGGCGATCACACCTTTTTTTTGCATGAAAATACCGGAATGTCTAGTGACAAGGGTATACATCAATGTGTGGCTGGGTTAGGGTTCCGGCTATAGGAGTAGGGCTGTGCTGCGGCATCTTTCGTTCCATAGTACCAGGAACCAGATACGATAAAGTGCAAGATCTATGATATCGAAATACCGAATCGAAGGAATTTTATATGATATGGATAATGCGGAACACTGCAAACCACGGGGATTTTGGATCATGCTTGGGCAACAGAGATTACCGTATAGTCAGACCAGCGTTCTACAGCCCTAGTCGATTCTGGGCTGTTGCCGCTCAATGCAGTACTTGGCTCCCTGCTTTCCGATGAAACATGTATATACTATACTAGCCATACAGTATCCACTGCAATGGCTGACATCCTATCCCACAGGCGATAAACTGATAGGGATAATGTAGGGTCCTTGTTATACCACTACCGGGCCTATCTAGCCCTCTAGCCCCGACCAGCAACTTACTTTTCATGCATATTGGGCGGCTCGGTCTCCTCTCTGGTAGGCACGGTATCCAATGCGTCGAGAGTGATATCGACACGAGGACCGGTGAAATTCTTCCTTCCATCCACAAACCACTGGAAAACGGAGATGGTGATGATAACAGCAAATGCTGCGATACAGTAATCTATATAGGTAGGTTAGTGAACATACTGTCATAGATAGCCCCACAGGTAATCTCACTCATACTGCTCCCCGTAACCGTGCTTGACGGAGGGAAGACAAACAGGACGGTAGTCAAGGCGATATATGATAAAGCAACCTAGTCATGATCAGAGATGTTAGATGTTCCACTTTATTCAAATTCCCTCATGACCGCAACATACAGAATCAACAAACCATCCAAGTGCATTGGGCAATTTCCATTTTCTTTCGGGGAGCGATCTGCGCCCCTGAAGACAGTTGATGGCAATGGGTATTCCATAGGACAGGTCAAGAGCCACGACTGAGGCTGAGATAATTGCGTTGAAAGCACTGGAACATGTTAGTTACCATTTGCACGGCCGCCTCCGGATGGAAAATTTACCTTGTAGAGCCTAGGAAGATACACCCGAATGCGATTACTACAACAACACTAAGAATAAGGGCGTTGAGGGGCAATTTGAGGGTTGGGTGGACTTTCGCAAAAAAACCGAGAGGCAGGAAGACCCCCATCTCTGTGAAGAATGAGTATACGCGTTGTATGCTGGAAAGAAGATCAAGTACCTTGCGAATGCAAATATCATTCGGCTACTAGTGGTCATGACGCTAATTATAGCAAAGACCAAGCATACCAGAGGTAACCTAGAAAATAGCGTCAGAGTGGAAGCACAATGGGGGAACTTTCAGCACATACATCAAGAGGCATATAGCTCCCGCGTTGCTCTTGGTCGCATCGATCAGGATCTGTAGAAGAGGACCAGCTGCGGAAGTTGCGACCTTTTCCATGTTTCCTGCGACGAATAGGAGGACTATCAAAAAGATAGAACCGGTGAACACCCCGATGCCTACACAGCTAACCATGATTTTTGGGCCTTCGATCTCAGCGTTGGGTACCTCTGAAAACGCGATGCGTCAGTCCCTCTCCTTATCTTATTAGACATAGGGCAGTCCTTTACCTTCGATCATGTGTGCCACCGCATCCTAAATAAAGTTAGTTGGCTTGATTTGTTTTCGTGTCGCAGTAGTCATGGTAACTTACAAAGGCAGTCACACCAAGTCCTCCTTGAAGCAACTGGAATGTCTGTTAGTATCATTGTAGTCTTGGTGAGTATAGTACACGTACACCCAGAAGCCATGCGATTCCATCAGGCCCTAGGCTGAATTAGCAAAATCATCATAATGGAGTTATCAGGCAGCCGTACATCCTGTCGTATTGACAAAGTCGCAGAAGACAAAGCTGTGGATGTCAGTAGTCTGCTATAAACTTGTTACTGTCAGAGTAGTTCATACTAAGCTGAGTTGTAATTGGGAGAAGCGCATGCGAGACACGTAATTGACACAATCACAAAACCTCCAATCGACCACATGACTGCATATCGTTAGAGATAAAGCGAGCCAAACTGGGAGAACGTGACTTACAAGCACCACGGTAAATGACTGGCAAGATAGAGTTCATGAAAGCATTGATGACGAAGGAGCCAACGGTCAGTCCAATGTAGATAAGAAATTGATGCCAGCGTTGCGGCACATAGCTCTGCATATAATGTTAGTATTTGAGTAGGAGTATGGATGTGATCTCTCACTTCGTGAAGGACGGAAATGATGCCAACAATAAGCTGACTAGAAAGAAGGGAGTTCGTGGCTACGAGTGCAACCTGACCAATGTGTTAGTTTAAGCATCACATTGAATTATTGCTCTTCCTACCCAACCTGCCACATTGATCCAGCCTGTAACCCATGATAGGATTGGCACTGTGCTCGGCCACGCGACTTTCGATTCGTTAGTATGAACAGGGACAAGGTGTTAGAGAGCAACATACTGGCTGGCATCGAGTTAGCATTAGTCCGGATGACATAGTATTTATAGATACATACCTGCAACCCAGTGATACTGTCCACCCGCTCTGTGAAAAAAGAAAGAAAGAAAATTAGTCTGGTGTACTGAAAGGAGACAAGTCAGAGCTTACGTCGGATATGCCGATAGAAATTCAGCCAGCGAACATGCGATGCAAAGATTGCAGAATCCTGCAGTGAGCAGTCCTAGAATTTGATATCAGCAATGCAATGTCTCAGAAACCAAGTGTTTCTAAATAACATACCCCAAATCACACTTGTACTTCCACCAGATGTAAGACTGATCGACAAACTGGCCGAAAGAGCAGTCCACGACTAGCCTTGTTAACAAAATACCCCGGTCGCGACCCATGCCTGACATACATTAAGAACCGCAAAGGCCAAGCCAAGCATTGACCTAGAGATCTCCGTCAGCCCCAAGCTTTGTATATGCTAGCGTATCCCTCTCACCATGTCGAATGACTGCGTTGGAGTTCAGGCCGATGGCCCATGGCCGCCAGCCGGGCATCATCGCCTTGAAGTGGAGCGTCTTTCATAGTGGATCACGATTCAAAGATGGATAATATTTACGGAGTCAAAGAGCTGGGGAGAGAATCACTCTAAGTATCTCTCCCATTCAAACGTATCAGGAAGGCATTGCCAGACGAGTTCTCTTTGCGGTTAAGCTCCGATAGGGGTCTATTCCATATGCGGGGAAATGTGCAGCTGCGAGGTATCTTACCTCAGAGGCTTGAGACGCTTATCACGAGTGTTTATACACTAAGGTGCTAGTCGGCAGGCCGCATGGACTTGCCCAACACCGTATAGTGTTGCTAACACCAATTAAAAATCGGGAAAAGGAGGACTTCCAAATTATCACATTAGTAGGGGGAGCTTGGTAAAACACAATGTAGCACGGTGTAGAACGCGATCTCTATATGTCAAAGTCAATATAATATGTCTTTCATTTGGTCTCTCCACTGTGGATTATCCACGCTAAATGACCCGAACACATGTCTATGATAATGAAGTACTACCTAGGGGGGGTTATATATACATCTACCCCTTACTTCCCAGTCTTTTCTATATCCAAAGAACGAGTTCAGCCTTGGGGCCCTGCCCCCTGGTCGCGCTGGAATATTCAACATACATTCTGAAACAATATTTGATTGTAAAATTGCTTCAAATTCCAAATTGAAACTCATGAATGTATGCGATCAAGCTGATACAGCATTAACTCCAAATATGCCTATTCCCAGGGCATGCGATGCCTTGGAATCCACCAAGTCCCAAATCCCAAACCCTCCAAACTCCTTCAAACGCAAATCGCAAGCCGAGCAAAAGAAGAAATACTATCCTTTACTTCAAGACTACCAGCATCTTGAAGTATGGATCCGATGTTCATTGAACATTGTAGGTGTCAAGTGCATGCTGGACATCATGCAGACTATTCTTGTCGCCGTACGCGTCCATCAACTGTTGGTTTCGCGCTAGGCGTTCCTGTTCCTCCAGCAGAGAGCGTTCCCGCCGCGACTTGGCCTCAACGTAGTAATTGTATGCACCGAACCCTGCACGTGCCCAAGTCAGTATTATCCCTACAACATACGAAGAATATGCAGATTAAGCATACCCAGACCAACTGTAGCCATCAGGGGAATCAGTCTAAAATGGACAGGGTCAGCAAATCACGGTACTAAAATAGGGAAAAAAAAGGGGGGGGCGGCACAACTTACAGCCGTCCAGTCCGGGGTTTGAGACTGGTTGGGTTTCCGTATCGTTTGCTCGTACCCGGGAGAGCAAATTGAGACATCACGATATATATATTTTTAAAATGTAGAATGTTCCTGGAGAGTATTGCTTGGGATATTCAGGAGTATTGAAGTGAAGCAAAGAAGCAAAAATGAAGTAGGTAAATACAACGGAACAAGCGGAATGCGGGGAATCGTGACGTGAAGGTCCGAGGATCGCCTCCGAGGTTCGCAACAGGTCTTATACCTCCTGTGCTGATCAGGCCACATTGGGCTTCATCATACAATCCCTGCAGTGGTATAATAATCCCCCCTAACTCATCTAGACTTCCTACAATTTCAACGTATGTTACATTGAAATCATGTCATAATTAAATCATGTCGCGTGTCATCCATCCGCATTCGGAAAAGATCAAACCCGCTTGAGTCTTCATATTTTCGTCTATAATTATATTAACTTCAAAATTGCACCGATTCCCACAAGTATCATATGAGACCTGAGACCTGAGACCTTAATCATGCAAGCGCCTTAATTGCCATTGTTCTGAGGCGCAGGGGTTGCCGGACCCTCCGGGGTCACATAAGCCTGAGGTAATTCGTTAGCGCAATCTGGGGAAATTACCCTACACGTCACGCTTACCTTGGTCATTCCACCGTCGACAACGAAGTCCGTTCCATTCACGAAGCTGCTCTCGTCGCTGGCCAGGAAAACCACAGCGTGAGCCTGCTCAATGGGTTCACCAAATCGGCCAGTCGGGAAGTGCACCTCCCGACGGAACCGCTTGGCCTGATCATCACCCAGCCAGTCTTGCAGAAGAGGGGTGCTATACCAGCGTGAGCTAATGTTCAGCAAAATCCAGCCAGAGAAACTTACTTCAAGGGGGCGGGGCACAGAGCGTTGAAACGGAATCCCTCACGGGCATGAACGATAGCCAACTCCCGGGTCATCGCCAGGACCGCACCCTTGCTCGCCGTGTACGCGAGCTGGGGAGTGGCTGCGCCAACCAAGGCAACGACACTAGCTGTGTTGATGATACTGCCACGGGCCTTCTTGTGACGACGCAGGCTGAGGACGGCGTGCTTGCTGCCGAACCAGACACCCTTGACGTTGATGTTGTGTGTGAGGTCCCAGATCTTCTCGGGGGGTATCGATGGCATCTGCGTCGTTGGCGTGCATAATTCCGGCATTGTTGAAGATCACATCGGTGCCTCCCCAGCTATCCTGGGACTCAACCATTGCTTGCACATCCGACTCCTTGGACACATCGCATCGGATCGACTCGACTCGAGGGGCAGTGGGAACTACTTCCTTCACTTTGGCCAATGCCTTTTCGAGGGCGGGCTCCGAGACATCGGCCATCAGGACATTGGCACCCTCACGGGCGAAGAGGATACTGGTTTCGAGACCGATGCCACTATCCAAGTCCGGAATCGGTTAGGCTTTTTCGTGACGGTATTTTATCTTTTGGGAAGGAAACAATAGACATACCCGCCTGCACCAGTGATGATGGCATTCTTGCCTTGGAGACGTCCTTGGGGAGTAGTGGCAGCCATTATGACCTTATCTTGGAGCTCTGTATAAATGGACCTATGTTAGCAATGACTCAATGCCAAGGTAGTGTGATAGATCCATGGAAAACGCTAGAGAGGAGATCACTCACATGAATTGAGAATAATCGAATCAATATGAAAGTTGTCAATATCACCGAGGGTGTTGCACCCGGGGGTATACGCGGGGCAGCGTGGATCCCGTTAGGTAAGCGGTGACGATGCTGGCCCGAAGCGGTAAGGCGTCACCGATATCTCGCTGATAAGCTTCCAAGCTGGCCAGGTGTGCTGGCCACTTGCTCGGAATCCCTGAACTTGAGTTACTCGATTTACCCGATTTTTCTGACTTGAAACGTGACTTTGATCGTTCGGCTCCCTCTTTTCTCTTACCCTTACCCTCCTTCTCTTCAATAATTTGGACCCCTATACTCATAATTCACCCTTTGGCCCCGATCTATCATGTCGAACCCCGCGGACCCCGAGGTCACAGCCGAGAATGTCGCCGAGGTCCTCCGGAATGACACAAAAGTAAAGGTGGCTGGAGTGGATGTGGATGGCATTTTGCGCGGCAAACTCATGAAGAAAGACAAGTTCTTATCCATTATCACCGAGGGCTTCGGGTTCTGCTCTGTCATCTTCGGCTGGGACCAACACGATGCGACGTATTATAAGGAGCTGGCTATCAGCAACAAGGAGAACGGATATCGCGACCTTGTCGCAGTCCCAGATTTGCGCAGTTTCCGTCGCATCCCTTGGGAGAACAATGTGCCCTTTTTCCTCATCAGCTTCTTGGATCCAGACACACGGGAGCCGGTTTGCGCCTGCCCACGAGGATTGATAAAGACTGCAGCTGCCAAATCCGAGGCGGCGGGGTATCGGGCGATGGCAGGAGGTATGTCTGATCGCGGACCAGGGTGTGTGCGATTCAACAGCTGATTAGACTGATTTTAACCAGCGGAGTATGAATTCTACCAATTCCGCACGCCGGGAAACCACGTTACCCCCGAACAAGGTGCATCTGCAACGGCCGCCTTCCTCCAGTCGAATCCAGTCGATGCATTGCCGCCGGTGACAGAAGGCATGTTTGGTTATTCTCTCACTCGGCCCATCCACAACCAAGATTACTACTATGGCATCTTCGAGGCCTGCGAGCAGTTCCGATGCGATATTGAAGGGTGGCATACTGAAAGTGGACCAGGAGTCTATGAAGCTGTTAGTGACATGAGAGAGTGAACGGTTCGCATTGGGACTAAACATCGTGATAGGCATTACAATTTGGCGAAGCAAAGGACATGGCTGATAAGGCGGGATTGTTCAAGTAGGATTGTTCCTTTGCCAGCAGTTCGGGTTCCCCTTTCATCATGGGCTATTGCTAACCAGGGTGCTCGAATAGATACGTCGTCAAAGCATTTGGAATTAAGCATGGCATTACCCCATGCTTCATGGCCAAACCCCGACAAGGCCTGCCAGGGAACAGCGGACACATGCATATCTCGCTCGTCACGGCCGACGGAAAGAATGCCTTCATTCGCGATACCCCTGATCCATCCCCCCTCTACCCCGATATCGCCCATTTATCCGACCTGGGCCGACACTTCCTGGCTGGTCTTCTCGTCGGCCTACCAGATATCATGCCGATCTTGGCCCCGACGATCAATTCCTACAAACGCCTGGTGGAGAACTTCTGGGCACCGGTCACGGTCTCTTGGGGACTGGAGCACCGGGCCGCGTCAATCCGTCTGATCACCCCACCGACAGCCAGTCCGAAGGCGACCCGGTTCGAGGTGCGCGTGCCAGGCGCGGACACCAACGCGCATCTTGTCCTCGCGGCGATCCTGGCATTGGGGTGGCGCGGAGTTGAGAAGAAGCTCGAGATCCCCGTGCCGCCTCTTGCCCGCGGCGAGGATATGGGCGGTGCTAGTGACCAGGGTGTGCGTTTGGCAAAGTCCTTGAAGGAGGCGATCGTTACATTTACGCGGCCAGAGAGTGTCGCACGGGAGGTCTTTGGCGATTTATTCGTCGAGCACTTTGCCGGAACTCGGGAACACGAGGTGCGCTTGTGGGAAGAGGCGGTAACTGATTGGTATGTGATTCATCTACTCCGTACTGCGATGTCCATTTGTATGCTGACTTGACATGTTCACAGGGAGATGAAGCGGTACATCGAGACCGTGTAAATGCACATTTCATTGTCGTATTGATTTTCCGATTTACAGAGACGCATGATTCGGCAGACATCGGGGGAAGAATTGTACATAGTCGCATTGGCTTAGAGATGGGTTCGTAAGGGTGCGTAAAGGCAACAGTAGCAAGGTTACTGTCTTTAGATATATACCAAATTACCTTCAACATTGAATCGGAGGCTGTCGATTTACCAGAGTTAGGACGTATGTACTAGATTAAGAGTCACACATTTTTTGCTGAGCAACGTCACATGCGGTCACATGCCGACGAACACAGGGTGACGCAGAAAACCGCCGGGACAATTCGGCTTCGGATATGACTCTTTTCGAACCCTGCAAGACATGGATGATCAGAGACAGCCGCGGTTGATTGGAGTTTCCGGGATATGCGGAGAGTATTCTACAGCCACTTTCGGGTGAAGCAGGGGCTGAGGGTAGGGATGAGAGTTGTTCAAAGTTTTTGTATATTAGATTCGAGAATTGGTCATTATCATCCTGAAAGCTATATAACTCTCATGTTTTCCCAAAGATGTTGACCGAAGTGAATAAGTGAATAGCCCGATAAGACTCGGTGTACGGCGAATGCCGTTTCTGATAGTGATGGCGGTGTTTTGTAGAAACAAATAAGCTTAAAAAGAACGGGGAACAGGGAATGTCGGCAGAGAGGAAGAGTTTCCCGTGGGAAACTTGGCAGGTTAAGCAGTTCAGTAGGGGGGAAATGAAAGAAGAGACACGGCCAAATGGGGTTTCGGCTTATCGCTGAGCGGGTCCAGAACCAACCGCGGCAACTCTGGTGGCTCTGACGTATTTGATACCCTCGGGCAGATGGCTATATAGAAAGAATATTAGTATCTCTATTTCTTCCTCTTCTCAATTTGAACTGTGATTCTGTACATGGAATACTAGTATATCATCTATTGCATATCTCTACCTATTCCATCCACACATACATCATGTCTCACGTCGACACCCAGCTCAAGGATGTCGCTATCCTGGGCTCCATCAATAATGATGCTCGCAAGATCCTGACCAAGGAGGCATGTGCCTTTTTGGCTCTGTTGCACCGCACCTTCAACCCCACCCGCAAAGCTCTTCTCCAACGCCGCATCGATCGCCAAGCTGAGATTGACAAGGGAAATCTTCTCGACTTCCTTCCCCAGACTAAGCACATCCGTGAGAACGACGCCTGGAAGGGTGCTCCTCCCGCTCCAGGTCTTGTGGACCGCCGTGTTGAGATTACTGGCCCCACCGACCGGAAGATGGTGGTGAACGCGCTGAACTCTGATGTCTGGACTTACATGGCTGATTTCGAGGATTCGAGTGCCCCGACTTGGGACAACATGGTGAACGGTCAGGTCAATCTGTACGATGCTATCCGCCGACAGGTCGACTTCAAGCAGGGCGAGAAGGAGTACAAGCTCCGGACTGACCGCGCTCTGCCCACTCTGATTGCCCGTGCTCGTGGCTGGCACCTGGAGGAGAAGCACTTCACCGTGAACGGCGAAGCCATCTCTGGTGGTCTCTTCGATTTCGGTCTGTACTTCTTCCACAACGCCAAGGAGCTGGTCGCCCGCGGCGCCGGTCCTTACTTCTACCTCCCCAAGATGGAGTCTCACTTGGAGGCTCGTCTCTGGAACGACGTCTTCAACCTCTCCCAGGACTACATTGGTATGCCCGCGGAACCATCCGTGGAACTGTCCTGATTGAGACCATTACTGCCGCATTCGAGATGGACGAGATCATCTACGAGCTGCGCGATCACAGCTCCGGCCTCAACTGCGGCCGCTGGGATTACATCTTCTCCTTCATCAAGAAGTTCCGCAACCACCCCAACTTCGTCCTTCCCGATCGCTCCGACGTCACCATGACCGTGCCTTTCATGGACTCCTACGTGAAGCTCCTTATTAAGACCTGCCACCGTCGTGGCGTTCACGCCATGGGTGGCATGGCCGCACAGATCCCCATCAAGAACGACCCCGCCGCCAACGACAAGGCCATGGAGAGTGTTCGCGCTGACAAGCTGCGCGAAGTGCGCGCCGGCCACGACGGCACCTGGGTTGCACACCCTGCACTTGCCGCGATTGCCTCTGATGTCTTCAACACCCACATGCCCACCCCTAACCAGCTGTTCGTCCGCCGTGAGGATGTCAACATCACCGCCAACGACCTCCTCAACACCAACGTCCCTGGCAAGATCACCGAGGAAGGTATCCGCAAGAACCTGAACATCGGCCTTAGCTACATGGAAGGCTGGCTCCGCGGCGTCGGCTGCGTGCCCATTAACTTCCTCATGGAGGACGCCGCCACTGCCGAAGTTTCCCGCAGCCAGCTGTGGCAGTGGACCCGTCACAACGTCAGCACAGCCGAGGGCAAGCGCATGGATAAGGCCTTTGCGCTGCGTCTGCTGCAGGAGCAGGCTGATAGTCTGGCGGCTAAGGGTGGCAAGGGCAATAAGTACCAGCTTGCTGCTCGGTACTTTGCCGGCCAGGTTACTGGTGAAGACTACGCGGATTTCTTGACCAGCTTGCTGTATAACGAGATCTCCTCTGCTGGTAGTGCTGCTAAGCTTTGAGTGAAGCTGTGATTTTATGATGATGAATACCCTTTGTTTCTTTTTCCTGGTCTGACTCGAATATGACCTGATCCACCATCTGCAGTTAGCATAGTTGTATAAAATCCATTTTATTTCGATTACCTTTTTACCAGTGTAGCATTTAGATGAGTTATCTCTACAAGTAGCAAATAGCATATTGATTCGCAATTCTTTGATGGTGCAATATGCAATGGGCCGTTTATTGATCCTATGTTTCCTCCAACAAGCGGATATCAGAACATGTTTTTGTTCTATCCTGTCTGTCGGCTTAGGGTTATATTCCGGAAGTCTCATAAACTTGGCACTCCGGGCCTGTCTTTCCCTTTATTGTTTACCTTTCGCCTCTCTAACTAGTCGATATAGATGTGAGCGCCTAACACCGCTGACCCGGTTATAAATCATTACACCAGTGTATTAGATCGTGCGCAGGATAATGCGCTCTCTACAATCCGTTGAACTGTGCACCGTACAATGTATGATCAAGGAAGCGCAGGCCGGCTATGCTCTATTCAATTAACTTAGCATCTCGATCATAGGGCTTGTTCATTTTCGTTCTAAGATTATCATGTAGGTCTTGATAGAGTGAAATTGAAGATATCGTGGTGTCTCTTAAGAAAAGTCGATTTCGGCCGACTGTCTTGCTCGAGACAACCTATATCAGTAAAATTAAGGATAGACGTGGTAGTTTGGAGAAATGGCCAAAAGAATACAGGGTCAACGATACAAGTATCCAACTGCATCATCCATGTGTTCCCCAAGATTACAACTAATAATCATATTGTACAATCCAAATGCCAAGTTACAGGCTCAAACACTTTAGATGTACTCCCAAGTAACCGGGCTGGTAGTGTTGACAGCAACAGCCAGAGCCTCGAAGCCAAGGCAGTCATCAACCTTACCAGAGGGAACAGTAGCGTTCTTCAGAGCAGCATAGACCTGCCACTTAGGGGCGGCAGCAGCGCCCCGACGGGAACGGCGGTAGCCAGAGGTGCCGTTGGTAGTCGGGCAAGCCATGAAGCCAGACGCACCCTGGCCCTTGAAGGTCCAGTGGCCGAAAGAGTTGCCGGGAGTGTAGACGAAGGGACCGTCGGAGGAGCCAGCGGGCTCGTAGGCAGAGTGAGGAGAGGTGAAGCGCAGAGCACCCTTGTTATCGACGTAGATAGCTTGGCCACCGGGGACCACAACGTCCTGCACAATAGAGTTAGCAAATGGGAACGTCGAAAAGATACATATATGTGTTTCTAACCAAGAAGTGACTGTTGGCAATCACGGTCTGGTTGGTCTCGGGAACTCCGGGAACGGGAGAATGGGTGTGGGCGTTACCACCGAGCCAGAAGTAGGTACCAGCGGCATTGAGAGGCAGCAGGTGGACGGGGGAAGCCGAGCGAGCAGAGATAACGCTGAAGGCAGCGTCGGAGCTATTGGCCTGCTTGGAGCCGGGGATGGCAGCCACAAGAGGGGCGAGAGCGAGAAGGGCGGAGAACTTCATTTTCAGGGAGAAGGGAAGTAATTGATATTGAATATGAGAGATTTATCTATAGAGAAAGAGATTCGGGGGGATCTAGCAGGGCCATATATAAAACGGGCTCAGAAAGGGACGCGCTTGGGAAACTCCATAAGCGGATCCATCAGAGACATTTTGTGATCGACATTATTAAAGTCCGGTGGAGCTGAAGAAGAATCAAGAAAGAGGAGGAATGTATTATCTACACATCAACCCGTTCAACCCGTTCGGGGGAGAGGGAGAGACGGGAGTATAGGCAGCCGTGAGACCCAAAATGGGAAGAAAGCCGAGTTAGGTAGGAATGACAACAAACCACTCGCATACAACGCAATAGAATGTCTCTGTTCACTGCCCACTTGGACCATTGAGGGTGTCGCATTTAGAAACATGGCAGGATCCAACTCGGTTGCAGAATCTCCACTGAAGATCGGACTAAATGGACCACGCATTGTACTCGTTTCGGTTGTTTATGCCATTATATTGTATACCTCTTCACTGTGTCAATTGACACAAAAAGCAGATAAAAATAGTAAATGGGACCCCAGTTGATGCAAGACACACATATGGTAGGATTCTGAAGATCCTAATAGAAGAGCCCAAAGAAGCCGTTTCAGAGAAGTCATGAAAGTTGAACAATGATTAAAGATCGACAGGACTTATCGGAATCCCGACAGGTATTGCCCCAAAGGAATACCAAGAAGAAACCGTCAACCTCTTAGCTGCGCCATCTGGGGATCCACGATATCCACATTGTCTCAGGGCACATCCTTGACATCATTGGCTTTTGCCGTCGATCGACATGATATCAGTGATCTATTGGGAATTACTCCGTATATATATTGCAATTCTAATTTGGAAGTTCTCGAATGCCTCGGCTTGATTAAGATGATACAGATTATATAGTCGTAACGGTTGACTTGAAAATTTAATTATTCTTATACATCGATGTACATGCGATATTGTAGTATGATGTTGAGGACTTCTATGTATAGTTGGATATAATTAGTCAGAATTAACTAGGCATCATCCTTCGGGACATACTAGCACTGCCACCGTCTTGCGATATATATTTGTCTCACCCTTAAAATGTGGAATGGATGACATGGAATGATAGCCCTATCAAGGTAGCCAACTCCGTGAAGTACAGAGTAAATTGTTTATGTTGCATTGAAAGGATTATAACAACATAGCATGATAACACAAACATCCTTGTACACATCCCACCATGTTCTTAACCTGGTGACAATAAGGGGGCATTTGATATGATGTCGGTGATATGATGTCAGGTGACCCACCTTTTTCTTCGTGGACACGCTCGAGATAGGACAACAACCAATCTACCAAAATTGTGCTTGATCATTTTCAGAGAGTCTGCAAAATCATGGGCATTGAAGACTGAATGGCTTCCCCACGTGCCAAGGCCGGTGCCTCGCGCTTGGTCAAATCCTCCAACCCTCCCACGCGTCGCGGTTACACGTCACTACAGAATCCAACAGCCGAACACTCAACGTCAGAGAGCAGTTGGGGACAAAATGATGACCCGGACACCCCTTCAAGTGGAGATGAATCCTCAGAGCAGACCAATATAAAACTTCTGCCTTTGAAAGGAGGTAGAGCTGGAGATTCACGACCCTCGAGCTCCAAAACAAATGACCCGAAACCTACTCCCGTCGATGTCCCCGACGATGAGCGTGACGTCTCAAAGCACATAAAAGAGCTTCTCGCAGCCGATCACTCGGCACTATCGGATTCATTCGCTACAGATTTGGAGGAAGGGCATTCGGGCAGAGACTCTCTGGCTCTCAGTGATAGATACAGTGACGACTATGGCATGCCGTCTGACAAGGGCTTTCTGTTGAAAGACAAAAAGAGTGAAGATAGAGAGAAAGGCTTCGAATGGAGGTCATTGTTCCGTCTGCATTCGTGGTGGAACGTTGTCGGCATTTTGACAATTGCCTTACTGCTAGTATGGTTTTCGATCAGGGGACTACCCTGGTCTTCTGCCGGAGCTGCCGTTGGTGAATTTGTAGGTCTTTCTTCCTTTCCGCTCGACTACTGGGATATATATAGAAACGTTCCCTAATAACCACAGCAAGCGGTCCCGTGGTACCCTACTCCCCTCGGCGGAACGAGCGAACTATGGAAGGAAAGTTATGCCAAAGCCCAAGGGATGGTCAGAGAAATGACCCTTGCCGAAAAAGTGAACGTCACAACTGGGACAGGTTGGCAAATGGGACTCTGTGTTGGAAATACTGGTAGGCTTTTGCTATCTTCTCAGTACAACGACTATGCAAACACTGATGCGAACTGCGTTGTCTAGGACCTGCCGAACTCGTGAAATTCCCTTCTCTTTGCCTACAAGACGGCCCACTTGGACTCAGGTTTGCGCAAAACATTACAGGCTTCCCCGCAGGGATCACGACAGGCGCGACATGGAACCGTGAGCTTATGCAAATGCGCGGGTTTGCTCTAGGAAAGGAAGCGCGGCTGAAAGGCGTGAACATCATCCTTGGTCCATCCATGGGACCGCTCGGCATGATGCCTGCCGGTGGTCGTAATTGGGAGGCGTTTGGTTCGGATCCAGTTTTGCAAGGCGTGGCTGCGGCAGAGACTATTCGTGGTATCCAGCGGAACGGAGTCATGGCCACGGCGAAACACTTTATTGGAAATGAACAAGAACACTTCCGTCAGTCATTTGAATGGGGTACTCCAACTGCACTCTCATCAAATATTGATGATCGCGCATTGCACGAGGTCTTTGCCTGGCCCTTTGCTGAGAGTGTACGCGCCGACGTGGCTAGTGTCATGTGCTCCTACCAAATGGTCAACAACAGCTATGCTTGCGAGAATAGTAAACTCATCAACGGCATTCTGAAAGATGAGCTCGGCTTCCAGGGTTTTGTGCAGTCGGACTGGCTGGCTCAGCGTTCAGGCGTGCACAGCGCTATTGGAGGCCTGGATATGAGCATGCCCGGTGATGGCCTTCATTGGGCCGATGGTGTCCCCCTTTGGGGAAGTGAACTGACACGCGCAGCATTGAACACGTCTGTTCCCATGGAGCGCCTGAATGATATGGTCACTCGAATCGTGGCCGCCTGGTACCATTTCCGACAGGACTCATGGGAACCTCCGGCACCTGAGGGCGACGGCGGGCCGAATTTTTCGTCTTGGACGAAGGATCGAGTTGGGCATTTGCACCAAGGCTCGCCGGATAATGATGCAATGGGTGTGGTCAACAAATTTGTCGACGCACAGGAACAGGCGAGCACGCTCATTCTATTGTTGCTCGCCATATCGCTGCAGAAGGCACCGTGCTTCTAAAGAACGTCAATAATACCCTTCCACTCTCGCGCGTACAGTCCGCGCCCAATGGAAAATACCGGGTCGGTGTATACGGCGAAGACGCTGGTCCCGGCCAAGGACCGAACGCTTGTGTTGACCGAGGATGTAATCAAGGGACCTTAGCCTCTGGTTG